TACCAAGGGAGTTGGATGATCGACAACCCCATCGTTGGTGTTTAGCATTGTAGTCTCGTCCAGCAATAAAGCGCGATCCGAAGGATTGAAATAAGAATTCAAGTAAGTTGTAGGTAAGAGTATGACCAGTAGGACAGTATACAGCTGAGAATGTTAAATGGAAAGAGCGAGTTGAAATGATTACTGATGTTGCTTGAATAGCCTCAGTTGGAGTAGAAGGAATGAGAGAATGGGATAAGGATTTATAGACAAGAATGCGAGAACCGGCATGAGAAGTGTTGTCGGGGTGGTCTGATCTATAACTGATATAGTCACGTATGTAGAAATATGAACGTCGATTGAAGTGAGTTTCTGTCAGTAGAGTAATATGAATGTGGTAGTCATGAAGAAAAATGTCGAGTTCGTCTCGGTGGTTGTGTAGTCCGTTAGTATTCCATAAAAGAACAGCTAGGGGCTTTGTGCTCATCGTGAGAGATTGAAGGGAATTTCGGTAAGGATTCTTGTGAGGAGGGTGATTAGTGGCTTGATAGTCTCTTGGAGATCTTTCAGGAAGGACGTAAGGGTGGAGTTTATTAAATCGATCGGGTTTTGTTGGTCAGGTTGATTTTGATTAGGAGTTCCTGAGGGAAAGCTCTTGTGACAAGGAGTGTCTGATGAAGGATGTACCCTTGGAACTTGGGAAGGAGAGTAAATATGAGCAGTAGGATGGGAATAAACAGGAATTGGATATTCAGACGGTAATTTTACACGTATAGGTATCTGATGAGGAGGCATTTGCTGACGTAGAGATTTTGAATGAATGTGGGAGATTTGAGTCTTGGATTGGGAGTTCTGGATCTTAGGTTTGGAAGCCTGAGTCTTAGGTTTGGAAATCTGAGGCGTCTGACGTCGCGGCTGTTGATTCTTCACCGTGGTGTCTGAATATGGTTGCCTAGAGTCTTAATGGGGATGATCTGTTGATGTAGAAGGTTAAGGTATCAATTGTGGTATTATTTCGTTCGGCAGTTGAGGAAACGCTGCCAAATTTAGGAAGCTATAATACATTATTATTTACTAGATAAATTTGACAAGATACAACACTAAATCACTAAGAGTTTGTAAGAAGCAATGCGGTCAACCCCAATAACTGTCCTCAAGGTGGAAGCTAGAGATTCACCGCTGAAATATTGTAGGTAATTAATTTCAGAAAGATTTCTTTCGTCGAGAATGTTATTAAAGCAGGTCACCCAACAGTCACGCACATCAAACAACTAGCTGAACTATTAAATACAGATTTTGGCAAAAAAAGAACTACCTTAATTGGTCGACAGTTATTCGAGACTTGATCTTTTAAACATTTCTATTCAAAGATAATCTTGTGACCTCTGGAGCAGTGGTCTGATAAGATAAATGAACAATAGAAATAAAATACAAAAGATTGATGTAAGATATTTTCATTTTTAACGTCCTAATAAAATTGTCATTATAAGCTTTATTCTTCTTCCGTATGCGCTTTAGTTTTAATTAAAGTATTATTTATATTTAAAATAATTGAATTGGCTTACGCTGATGTCCTGTGTATATCCTACATGAAGATTACTTAATTCACTTCGTCATTATCATAGCACGTTCTTAATGACACGTAATTATAAAAGGAAATATACGATAATGAACGATTTACACGTAAAATTTAAGCTCATTAATACTTATCACATGTAAACGAGATTATAAGACTAATGCGGGAAAAGGTTATGATAGTCATGTGGTTAATCAGCAACTTTCAAAAATCGTTATCAATTCTTTCGCCCTTCCATAAGAAAAATCCGGAAGAGGAGAAAAACTCTTTCATTGTCCTAACAATCAGTTGAAATGTAAATAATTTTGTCGTAAACAGGGAAAACAATAATTACCTAATGAATGAATTTGAATTTATTTTTGATAACCTATAAACTATCTTAGCTATTTGAGAAGAAGATCAGTAGCAGTATCTCCCAGCACAGTTCATTAAATTTTTACGGGATGCAGTGCGATCTTGCATTTTCGTGTTGCTGAATAACGTATTTTCTGTTGACAATCGTTGGCCACTTTTCAATTGAAGATTGATTAACACGATCCAATTGTTCACAATAAAGGTCTGCATTCACAGTTTGCCAAATGATCAATGCCGGCAATACTCCACCAAGCACATAAAAGTGCTTTTTTGGCGTGTAAACCTGGCTTAGCAGTACTTCGTGGCGATTCTTTTGGAGAGAAAGAGACACTGTCTTTTGTGTTTTGGATTATCATAAGGACCAATTTTTCACCTGCGGTGACCAAACGGTCAAAAAATGCTTCTGTATTGTGACGTTGAAGCAATAAGTTGCATATGGTGAAGTTTCCGAATCTGCTGCAAATGTTCAGGGATGGTCGATAAATGCTGATTAAGGCTGACAATTTCTCGATTGTCTGCACGAGTTGGCTTCGACTTTCACCTTTAACACGTCATTGTCTAAAGTTGTTGGTCTTCCTGATTGATACCTGTAGGATAGATAAAAAAAATGCCGGATTTGAGCTTCCAAACCACTTTTTGCATTGATAAACGTCTAATGGATTTGGATAAACATCGCAAATGTTTTTGGTAGCAACTGTTGCATCACTACCCTTGCGAAACTCAAAAAGCATGCAACGAGGGACATGTACCTCTTCTGCGATTTGGCTGACCATTTCATAAAAAAAAATTAGTTTAATTATTATTTGGAACTAAAGAAGTCACTATAACCTTAGAACGTCTTTGCCACTATTTAGAAGTACACAATGAGCTGACAAATGACAACCAAATAGTGACATGCTCAGAAACGACATTACTTTCCTGTCCCCCCCCGTAGTTTCAAGAAAGAGGCTCAACAAGTCTTCTGGAAAATCTCAAAGTGAGAATTGCTGAAGCCCAAGCAAATGGAAAAAACATAATCCGGCAGGATGAAATAGAAGAATGGAATTGGCATTGGATGACAAGCCAGAAAGGATCTACCCTGAGGAAGTACATCATCCTGGACTACTGGCTCTTCCCATTCCTCACAGTGCATGGGGGTTTTCAGGCCAAGCTTCATGGTCATGGCAATGATATCGATCATTTATGTCCTGATTGTAGCATCCTGGAGACTGCCAAGCACATCATGGACTGCATCGTCTTTGAGGTGACTAAGCTACTGAGAGAAAACGAACTCTATGCCCTAATGGAGAATGGTTTTCCCCAGTTACTTACTGCAGAAAACAACCTATACTTCAAAGATTTTGTGTACAGGTGGAAGTAAGAATTCAGTTGGACCACTGAAACCTTAGGCGAAGAAGACCCACTCCTGGTAGGCGACCAGATGGAGAAAGAGTACAAAGTGATGAAAACTGAAGAAAATAAATGAACTTACTTCTATAAAATTGTTACTTATTTATGGTAAATTGTCTGGTATGATACCATTTAGAAGGACATCATACTGAACTACTGGCTCTTCCAAGGTCAAGATCTGCATAGAACTGTTCCTATCTAGTCTGCTTGCATGGTTTGTCGGAGCATACACTTGTATTAGGGTCTATTTCCCTATGCACAGATTATTATTTACTGCTAGGATAATTACTGCTAAGTTCACTGGCTCCCATTCCTCCACTCTTCTGAACACCTCATCCTTCATTATAATTCAGACTCCCTCTGCAACCCTATTTTCTGGAGGGACTCCTGAATATATCAACCTAGGACCCCTATCCATCGCCATAACTCCAGCTTCCTTCGCACCTCACTGATTCCTAGAATATCCAATCTGTACTTCTTCATCTCCTCGATGATTTCTGCTTCTTTGCCTATAAGTGATCTAATATTCCAAGTTGCTAACCATATGTCCTTTTCCATGGGGAGTCGTTTCCTTCTAGTCTGTCCAAATTCGAGGCTATCAACTCCTAAGGTTCCGTGATTGTATTCCTCTAAAAACCAGACAGCTCCTTGTAACCTCTCTTGTATCCCCCCACTTCGACTACGGCTGCTGTGTGTATGGAGGGCTATCTGCCAGGCTGGAAATGAGACTAAAGAGACTCATGAATTGTTTCATATGATACATTTTCGGGATCCCCAGGCGTTCACATGTTTCACGCTGGTACACCGAGTTGAATTGGCTTTATCCTACTTCCCGACGACAATTCCTCCTAGGTGTTTTCCTTTTCAAAGTCTTCAGAACCAAAAACTCTCCCTACATCCTGGAACTCCTTACTCTGCGCTCCTCTATCCACTCTCTCAATACTAGGTCTCAACCTATAGACTTATATATTCCCTCCCATAAAACTTCCTCCTTCAGCAAATCGTTCGTCATTCGTGCTGCTTCCTTATGGAACTCACTTCAATCCTCGTCCACAAATTCCTTCAAACAACTCCTGTTCCAATACCTACTACCCATTCAAACTTCCCCTAACATGTAAAATTACTTGCATCTATACAATGTTTAATTTCAATCCATTGCACAATTGAAATAACAATTAACAGTAAATTAGTTGGTATTTTTATTATATCAGACTAAGATACATAAATTTGTAACTCTGTTATTATTCTTAGGGGACAGTAGTCCCAGAATAAAATTATTTTTTCATTTTCATTTTTTTTTCACTATGTTTCTTTGAATCGTTTATACATTATTACGGGTGATTGGCCCAGTAAGAACACTGGTGGTTGTTAGCTATACCCCCAACATTGGGTCTTCCCAGGGAAGGTGGCCCTGAGGTGAGTACTGTAAATGACCTTATGTAATGACTCATTACACATCAATGAAGTGTACTATTCTGGGTGAGGAAGTACCGTGTACTGAACTCGGGACCTGGGGGAGTGTTATACCCCACTAGTCTGTTATACCCCCAGTACTTATACTATCCCCTGCGGGGCTATGTTCACTAATAAATAAAAAAATTATATGTACCAAATATAAAAATTTATTTTCACTAATAAATATTTATATTTGGTACATATAAATCCATCTTTTGTTTAAGAATATGGGAAGTAAAAACATATGAAATTATTAACATGTTTATTAAGAAATTGTTACAAAGAAATGATTTTAAGTCTAATATCAAATCATGTAAACGTTTACACATTTCAAAAAATAAAAATAATCACTGTACAAATACAAAATCACACTCTTTGTACAAATAAATACAGTCACAGATACAATAAAATGTACACACATACGCACACATAGAAAAAAAATCATCTGGACATTGCACAATTTCAGATAGTCATATCAAATATTTTTAAAACAGGTAACTTATAGTTTTCAGTAATAATGGAAAGGAATATTTATAAATAACGACATTAAACAATTAAAATAAAACACTACAGCATTAAGTTTATTGCTCTACACTTCAGTCTTCAGTGGTAGTGAATATATCGTATTTCTTTTTATAATGAAAAAAAATTGTCTCGTAAACCATCTTATTCAATAAATAATATCAGATATATAATATCTTTAAAACTAGAAAAGACTAAACAAATTTTAATTTTTTTTTATAATAAACAAATTTGAAGAAAGAAATTAACATATTTAAGATGAATTAATACTTTTACATTCAATCCTTAGTTAAAAACAAATTTTTAAAGCTAAAACAAACTTTATACAAATTATTTCTAACATAGTTACCTACACCATGTAGTACATCGATCTAACATAGACAAGTTATATAGTTAGTTGTCTGCAATAGACAACTTCACAATTTTATCAAATATTACAAAGCCAAAGAAGAAAATAAAATTAAATTAAATTTAAAAAATGGTAGAGTATGTATACTTTTCAGGGCAATAAGCACTGAATATTAAGGGAATTCAAACTAGCTCATAATATATAAATACATATTTACAAACTGAACTATGTGCAATATAAGTTTTACAAAAATATTTTTTTTATGGCATGTTCGATTTTACCTTGGAAGACCACTTTAAAAACGAGAGAACATCATTAATTTAGTTTTAAGTTATGTAAATGTGGTTAATTTATAATTAATTTTCAACAAATTAAAATATTTTCCCAGTTATAAAAGAGCAATTTTTTAGACAAATTGAGTGAGCACATGAAACTTATATACACACAATAAAAGACTCCTTTCTTTTTCAACATCTTAAAAACTTTAAACTTAATATCAGAAGTACTCAACAAAATTAGAGCAAAATTAGCTATCAGTCGAGGTAGTAAGTACAGTGGCATCGGTCCGTAATAGCCTTCTGGCTACGAAGTGTTTAGAAGCTGTGGTTGCTTTCTTGATGTAGCAAGTGGCTGTCTGTCAAAACTAAAACAAAACACAAATAAAAATAAAATTAATACATCACAATGAATTAATTAGTATTGACTTCAAATAACTATTATAAACACTTATGAGGTTCGGATGGAAAAAAGCAATCCTGTCCTTCCATTGACAACTTCCAATATAGTGGAATTGTCTATTATTTCAGAAGGAAAATAGACAAAAATAGTTAAAAACTGAAACCTTTGAATCTTTACTAATACTAGACAGATTTCGATTAATATTTTTCTGTAATTCGGGAAATTCAATTACCTTTTAAAATACATTCAGATGAAAATCACTTAAAAATGCATATTTTTGGAGTTATTCGAAAATAAAATTTTGTATTCATCAGAACTCCTTTTCTATCCATTTTTCAGGGAAGCATGTTATATACATAAATTTATAGGGAATATTTTTGGGAAATTTTCATCAAAACCGTTACAGCCATTGTAGTGCTGTAGTCTATAGAGAAGTTGGTTATTCTACTGCCATCTTGAAACAAAATGGCGGATATTGATAAGAACCCCAGAAAGGCACTTCTCTAACACCTACTTCTTCATTAGGAGGAGCTTTAGAGAAGGGCAATAACGTGAAAAAAAATCTTACATAGCGGAAATTTTAACAAAATTTATCTAAAGTTTAATGGTATTGTTTTGCTAATTTGGTCCAACGAGAAGCTCTGGGAAAGCCCAAATATAGTGGAAAAAATATATATATATAACTGGTATCTCTAAAAATTTCATGAACATGTTCTAGTGGTTTTTAAACGGATAGAAAACGATATTCCGCCTTCCACTAATGACATTTAATATCTGTTATTTCCACAGAGCAAATATCTGTTATTTCTGAAGGAAAATAGACAAAAAGTATATATTTATGAAACAACTAAAATGAACTCTATTCTTTTTACCATTATCTTAAGTTGAAGAAATTTCTATTCTATATGTGAATGTCCTATTTTATTTAAACATCTACACGACAAGAATACAATAGGAATATTAAAAACAGCTCTTACAAACACTTGGTGCCGATCCAGGCATCGGGCGCGGCCTGTTAAATCTACTGGTTGTAGTTACCCTTCTGAAGGATTTGGGTGACATCAAATGTGCTGGAAAAAAAAAAAGTCTTAATGTTGTATTTTTCCTATTCAAATTATACTATGATACAATTACAGTAATGGTACAAACAGCTTTTCCAATAAATACAAAAAGAAAAAGTTTAATAAAGAGAGAATAGAGAGATTTAAGTGAACATAATTAATTAAATGAGATGCTTTGTTATTGTAAAATGCAATGGGATTGTTGCTATTTGTTGGACCATGAGTTCAGTATAAATAACAATTCAACATTAATAACAAGATAACATAAATTTGTATGGCACTACTACATTTTTTAACATTATACTCATTTTAGTTTAGTCAGCTTTTCTTACTGAAGGCGGGTTCACAAAGAAACGTAACCAGTTACATTCTTTTTAACAAACTGTTATTTACATTTTGATGTCTTATGATAAAAACCTCTCAATAGAGATATCAATGCCATTGCCATTAACTATGATCCAAGCAGCATTCTTAATATCATTTTTATGCTTAATTTTTATAATGGTTAGTAATGAAATGTTAGCAAAATTTATTGATATTTATCAAAAATATTATTATTATTAGTCCCTAGAATCCCTTAGGTGGGTCATAGGGCCGCTACGAAGTTCAGTCAGGCATCTCGATCTTTAGCCAGCTCCTTAATTCCAGACTAGAGTCCTACTCCAGGTTTCTCTAGATACTCTGTGCCTTCGCTGGCTTTGGGGGTTCCACTCCAGACTCTGCCATGTTATGTCGCTGTGCTCCTTTCTAAGTATGTGTCTAAGCCATCTCCAATTGCCACATTTAATTACTTGATCTATTGGGACTTGGTTAGTTCACGACCAGAGCTCAGCATTAGAAATTGTTTCAGGCCCCCATACTCGCAATATATTCCGCAGACATCTATTGACAAATGTCTATACCCTCTTGGTTACACGCTTAGTAACTTTCCAAGTCTCGCAAACATACAGCAGTACCGATATGACATTTCTTTTAAAGATACGAAGTTTGCCACTCCTCCTGATTTCTTGTGATTTCCAGGCTGACCAAAGCTGCGAGAATGCTTTTCGGGCTTTCCTGATAAGACTCACAACATCTTCTTCAGCCCCTCCATCCTGGCTCACCATACTCCCAAGATAGCAGAATTTAGTACCTCTTTCTATTGTTTGATCTTCTATAATAAGATTTCCTTCACTCCTACTATTCACTAGCATCTCTTTCATTTCAGTACCATTTATTTTGAGGCCAGCACTTTGAGCTTCCTCCTGGAGTTCAATTGGCTCATACTGCATATCCCTCAAACATTGGGCAAAACATTCATCTGCAAAGTCCAGATCTTCGAGTCTTTCTGCCAGCCTCCACTGAAGTCCTCGTTCTCTACGGAGAGCTCTCCTTAAACTAATGTCGAGTACCATCAGGAATATGATAGGGGACAGAACACATCCCAGTCTAACGCGTCCCAACATTAAAGGGCTCCAACACTCTGCCATAAAGGATAACTTCACAGGAAAATAGTTTTCTAACAATATTTATAATTTTCCTCGGTATTCCAAATTTCTTCATGGCTTCCCACATTTTCTTTCGTGACACACTGTCAAAAGCCTTTTCAAAATCTATAAAAGTATGATACAGAGTCACCTGGAACCCCAAAAATTGTTCTACTATAATCCTGAGGGTGTAAATCTGGTCGATGTAGGATCTTCTTGGTCTGAATCCACTCTGTATCTTTACCATTAACAGTCTTAGTTTACCATTAACCTCCTTAATCCTATCCAGGATAATGCAGCACAATATCTTGCTGGGAACCGATATCACTGTTATTCCTCACTACGTTCCGCCATTACGCCAGGTTGCCCTTCTTAGAAAGTTTAACAAGTAGCCCCTTCTTCCAATCTTCTGGGATGTACTTGTTATGCCACATTTCTACAATAATAGGGTAAAAGTAATGGGCAAAAGTTACTGGATCTACTTTCATAAGTTCCGCCAGTATGTTTTCCATCCCTAGTGTTTTCCATTTTTGAGTTTATTAATAGCTTCCAGAATTTCTTGTTTTGTAGAATGGTTGGAACCGATCTGTTCATCTTCCTCGAAATTATATTCTAAGATGCTTTGGTCTGGAACTTCATCATCCAAGGTATGATTTAGGATCTCTTGAAAGTGCTACCTCCATCTTTGGATCTGTTCATCCTCTGTAGCAAGCAGTTATAAAAATCTTAGTTATCTTCTGTGTAAAACCAATTTTATAGGGAATTTAGTTTAATTATTGTTAATAAAAAAAAAACTTTAGGATTGAAATAATCAAAAAAGTAATAAAAACCTTATTAAAAATATTAATACAAAAACAATTCAAAAAGATTTTGAATTATTTTAGCATCTCATTATAATATAAACTCTCCTAATACCAATTATTAAATTACTTCCATTTTTAATAATAAACATAGCTTACTTGATGTATTTTATAATAATAATAATAATAAAAGGCTTAGCCAACCCGAATGTTCGATGCCGACACCACCAATCGTTTATTACACACCTCCCTCCACCGTTCGCCGTCCAAACCCAGTCCCTTCAGATCGGCTTTAATGCAATCTTCCCACCTTCGCTTCGGTCTACCCCTCGGACGCTTACCATTCGGCACTGCAAATATTAACCTTTTAGGAATTCTCTCGTTACTAAGCCCAATAACTTTACAAGCCCATTTGATTCGCCGTGATGAAATTACCTCAATTATATTACCCGGATACAGCTCATGCAATTCGGCGTTGTGTAGCCGTCTGAACTCTCCGGTTAACTCATCCTTCTTCGGTCCGAATATTCTACGCAGTACTTTATTTTCAAAAACCTTAAGACGCTGCTCATCTCTTAATGTAAGCAGCCAAGTTTCGCATCCATAAAGAACTGTAGGCAAGATAATTGTTTTATAGATTCTAATTTTTAAGTTCCGGGACAAGAGGCACAAACTAAGCAGTTTTGTCACGAAAAATAACAAGCATTTCCCACCTTCAGTCTAACCTTAATCCCTTCTTCAATTTCGTTTTTTCTAGTTATCGTAGAACCTAGATACCTAAATTTATCTACCTGTTCAAACATATAACCATCTATATCGATATCACCAGTAGTATCGCCATTTTTGCAGCTAACCATATATTTTGTTTTATCCATGTTTATTTCGAGCCCTAGTTCTTTACCAGCTTTCATTAACGTTGTCGTATTTAGTTTTATAGTTTCAACGTCTTTGCTTAACAGTACCAGATCATCAGCATAGCCCAGTACAGATGTTGTCCCGCCCAGATCCATCCCTTTCTCGGTACGCATTACCTCCCTAATGGCATGTTCTAATGCCAAATTGAACAGGACAGGCGAAAGAGAATCCCCCTGTTTTAAACCCGAACGAACCTCAAATTTTTCGGACAAATTATTACCGATTCTAACTTTATTGAGTGTCTCCGTCAAGCACATCCTCACTAGATTTACTAGTTTTTTTGGAATCCCTTGCTCGATTAGAATATTATACAGTTTCTGGCGGTCAATAGAATCGTAAGCCTTTTTAAAATGTATATACAGCTGGTGAACAACACCGTTATACTCCAATTTTTTCTCTAATATTTGCCGTAAAGAAAATATTTGATCAATAGTCGAATGATTCCGTCTAAATCCGCATTGGTAGTCTCCGATAATTTCCTCGGCGTATTCCGTAATTCGACTGGTTAAGATTAAAGTGAATATTTTAAACATACCGGAAGGAGTGAAATTCCTCGATAGTTACTAAAATCCATCCTCGGACCCTTTTTGATGTATTTTATAAACTTTCATTATAGTTATAGTTTTTATAATAACAGAGGACATCAACTAAAATTTTAAAAGATCAGATATTTACCTGGTCTTGATGGAGTTTCTGCATAGTCATTCTTTAGCATCAAAAACGAAGCTAGAAAAACAAAAAAATGTATATAATATTTAAAAAAAGACAACTATTCTCTATTTTAGCAGGTCGTGAAAGAATGGGCATTACTAAAAGTATAGGGAAAAATAAAAAAGTATTTATAGTAAATTATCTAATTAAAAGCTAAATTTAATTTTATATATTTGATGTGTTTATTAAGGCCATGTTCTCAGTAATTAAATTGAGTGCTTTAGTCCAGTTATTTAAAATGTGATTGCTTATGGTATATTAAGTATCAAAATTATAAAACCAATTTACATAATTTTAAGCAGGATTTGAAATCGATAATTATAAAAATCATTTCTAATCAAAATTTTTACTTCAAATAATAATAATTCTTGATTAATACTTTTTTAAGTCAGAAATATATTTTTTTTTACAATTTCAATGATATATTTTGAATCAGGAGTAGAAGGTGGAGAATATCGTTGTCAACTATTAGCAACAGAACATCTTTATTTCTGAAATTCATTAGAAATCAAGGTTTCCAAAAAAAAACAAACAATACATACATATATATTATGCAGATACTGCGTGTAAAATTAAAAATGTACATATACATATTAATAAATCAATTTCATTTGTATGTAAAAGATGATCTTTATTTTTTAACACAATTTAATAATTATTATTTATGTGAAATTATTTGTATTTATAAATCAGGCATGATTTTTAAATTAAAAATAAATATAATATTTATTACATGATTTTGTGGGAAAATAATTATCAATTTCAAACCCTGATCTTAAGTGGAAAATATGATGAATATACATAGATATGGCAAGAAAGAGACTAAGTTGAAAAGCAGTGTTATTTTATTACAAACCTATACTATCTTTACTTATTAATATTACTGTTATTATTAAGAGCACCACGATAAAATATATATATTCCTTATAGACAACATAATTGCTGAAGTTGAAAAAAATCTCAATTTTTAAAAATTGCAGCTCATTGTCAACTCACCAAAATAATACACGACGATGCAGAGAATCAGAGAATAAACCATGAAGCTGTTTATAGGATGGTAGAAAATAAGACCCTCAAAGATAGCCATAACGATGTGGTATATAACATTTATTAATGAGCGCAGAAAGCTTTCTGGTTCTGCGGTGTCAGTGAACACAACCTGGACCTGAAAATTAATAGTAACGAATTAATACAACAGTTTTCATCAACTATAACTTAAAACCTAAATACATGAAAGTTCAGCCATGGATGGAACTATCATATAGTATAAATCACGGCAGTGGCTGTGAAAAATTTCTCATGCCAACTATTGCAATTATATTTAGGTCAGATTAGTTTTTGTAACTATTGCCAATGAAGCTTATCATCTTAGAAACAAAAAACTTTAGATTGAACAACCGGTATTACTGTTTAGTAACAGATATGTTTAAATCCCTGTTGAAGACATGAAAGCGAATAAAAAACTCAGGAAATGCATTTAATAAGTTATTTTTAATTAAATAACAATACAACAACTATGATAACAGTTATACATTTGTCCTAAAACATGAGAGGTTTCAGGATTAATAAAAAAAATATATCTGGTGTGTCCACTCAAATTACTTTCCTACCAATTTTAAAACTCTAAATATGACAAATAAAAAAAAAAACCAATTAGATAAATTTTCACTAAAAAAAATCAAAGAAATGATTGGAGTATGATTCCTTTGCTGAATCAAAACAACGAAAACAGGCACATATATCATCAGTGCATGGTCAAAAAGAAAAATAACTGGTACGGGGTAAAAAAATATAATGCGGGGCAGGGCGGGCATCACACAATTTTCACTTACTAACCTTAGAGGAGATAGGTATTTTTATATATAGGGAAGTCAAAGTGAAAACAATGGTATAACTTCATTTAAAACAATTAATTACCTTTTTTTTTTAAGTCTATCAAGTCTGTTAAATTTATACTTTTGCATCACTTTTCATTTCCTTTTACGACTATGTATAGTATCAAAAAATATGAATGATTGTGGGGAAGATGGATCTTTTGGAATATTCGGAGCTTCATCAGAAACAATTATCACAAAACCCATAGAAAAAAATAACATAACGTTAGCAAATATTGTTAGGTTTATATTAGTATGTTTATATAGTTAGTAGGCTTATAATAGTATATATTATTAGGTCCTCGACATTTCGCATAAGAACCTTTTTAAAAAATTATGGATAAAGGATATATAAAAGTTCTTTATTTTTATTATTGAAATTTACAACTGTATTAAATGATAAATACAACAAGTAAATATGAAACAAATAACATAATAGAGAAACTACCCATTGGTAGCATTCCAATCATATTTCTATATTAGAAGATCCCGAGGCCATCTTCTTTTCAGACACCTCAGAGGGTTATCAGGAATAGAAGAGGAAGCAAGATTGGAAACAAGGGAGTTCAGATGATTCAGAAGTTTATTATGGAAGGATAGGTATCTGGATCGAGCTAAATCCGAAACATATGGTAAATTAAGGTCGTGATGGATGATTTTATTTGTGACAAAGTAGGGAGCATTGAGGATTTTGGATTGTAAGGATTGGATACAAGAGGAATTTGATGTTTTAGTAGAGCCCCAAAGTTCTATCCTGTAAGTCCGAATAGGCCTTATTATAGTAATATATATGAGTATTTTGTAAATAGGTGAAAGTTTACAGCATTTGTCTAGTAAGTGCTGCAGTAGTCGAAAATGTCGCACGGATTCTTGTCGTTTCAGTCTGGTATGGGGACATATAAATGTTAAACTAACAATATGAAAGCCTTGCACAAAGGGGTAAAGGGAGAGGATTGGCAAAGGTTGGGCGCCCTCAGCTTTTTCCGTATAGCTTCTAACCCTTATTTCTTCTTCAATTAATCAATTTTCTTCATTCATTATATTTAACCACTTATAAAAAAATTAAAGGTACTTTAAAGGAAGAAAGTAAAAAAATAGGCATTTAAACCCTGTTATAGAACATCAATGTGAATAAAACCTATATTATATTAAAAACCGCTTAATTTTACACAGAATTTAATCAAAATCGTTAGAGCCATAGAAAATTGTAAAAATGTGTAAAATCAATGATATAAAGTGGTACTTCCTGTAACCCAATTTTGACAAAAAAGTTGCTGTAACATCCCAGGTATGTTCAAACCTTAAAAACCTCAATTTCAGTTATTGAGCTACTGCACACACACACACACACAAATAAACAATTTTACGGGACTTGATTATTTGGACTTGGAGAATCTCAAAAAAATGCATTTCTGTTGGAAATTCAGATTTGAAAATTTTCATAATTGCAATACTTTATTTTACTATATATTACATATATATGCAAATGAAAGTACAAAATAGGTCCTTTAAAATCATTGTATAAAATTCAATACACTGTTTCTTGGCTAAAACTGCTCTGATTTAGACATATATTTTGTGTTTTTTAGTTTGTAGAAAAATTTAATTAACTTTAAAAAATGGGATGACGATTTGTGAAAATGAAAGTGTGATAAGAGACCAAAACATTTTTCTTTTCTTTTTGACTGTTTTTCCTAAGTTTTCTCGGGAATTCATTTCATCATTTGAACTTTCAAACTTGAAAGGAAGTACATGATTATTTTGAGAAAGTTTCATCAAAATCATTGCTAATCGGTCCACTCTTTTATGAGATATTCTGGACAGAGACAGATAGATGAATAGTTGAAAATGTGCTTTTTGGAATCAGGGGACTCTGGAATGTAAAGATCTCTTGAAAACCGCAATTTGACCCAATCGCAATACTTTTCTTACCTTCTAGTAGCGATAGGAAAGTAGCAAGTTTCATATGAATTTATCATACATATCAAGGTCAGAGTGCTAAATAAATTAAAGAGAGAATTCCATTGGATGTATAACCAAATTATTCAATATTAGAAACCACGAAGCATTCTAATTTAATTTCCGAAGATAACACCAGTTATGTCACCATACAATAACATGCAACACTAATAGTTTAAGAGAAGGATATATCAAACAAATAATTGTTATCATATAAAAAATAAGAATGAGGAACTCACTCTTTCCTCTTGCGAAGTCAACTTTGATGATACTGTAATGTAGATTTCTGGAACGCCAGCAGCGAATACCTGAGGTATTATCGGTATACTCAGCACATTGTCATCACTCAAAAATGGATCACCGACTGAAATCACTTCAGGATCACTTGCGATAGCCTTAAAAAAAATAATAATAATAAAATAAATATAGTGCACTTATTGAGCAATATTAATTATGAGTGTGAATTATTATAATTTTAAACTTAAATAACTTTAAATTTATTATGATCATTTTAATTTTATAAGACTTAAACATATAAAAGTAAGAAAATATAAAAATAATAATTCTTGATATGTCTCTGAAACTATTAATATATTTTGTTAAAAAAATATAATAACAAATGTTATGTAGAGTAATAATGTTTTCTTACAAATAAATCCTTGAGTACAGCTGGTATCCCAGAAACTTCAATAAATACCGTTCGAAGTCTTTTGGTGATGGTCACACGATTGTTATCAAGATTAAACTGAGGATAGAAATAAATCAATAAAGTCTCATACAATGACTTTTGGTTAGTCACGGTCAAAGTAATATTGCTCTCGATCTTGCTGATGTCCTTAGCTGCGCCTTTGATAGGTGTTATCACACAGGCGTAGGAACCTTAAATTGATAAAAGGCGAATTAAAATTTTCACATATTTGATATTTTATTAAAGTGATAAATAATGTTTCTAAAAAAAAAAAAATATGAATAGCTATTGAATAATCTTACCCATTGTAATATTAAAGTCAGCTTTAACACTAAATATATTCTCTACTGGATAAAGTTTAGACGAAGATGTATAGTGTAGCTCACAAGAAAATGGATAAATGTCTATGTCAACATGTTGATTTCGACAATTCTTAGAATAATATTCATGCTTTTTCTGTTTTTCATTAATCAAGAATACAGGCACCAAATATACGACATTTATGCTATTAGTAATCATTTTTCGAGACATAGATCCAAATAGGAACTGAAAAATAAAGGCAAAATTTATTAAAATCATTTATTTTAAACATTAAAATTTACCATTTCTACAAATATATTAAAAATTTTAATCATCATTACCTCTCTAATGAACCAGTGAAAAATGAAGCTTAGGGTAAAATATGTAAATAATAAGGCTTAACGAACCCGAAGGTTCGATGCCGATACCTCCAATCAATGTCCACATTCTTCCATCCACCGGGCTCCGTCTAAGCCTAACCTCACCAAATCAGCCTTAACGCAATCTACCCACCTTCGCTTTGGTCTACCCCTCAGATGCTTGCCAATCTGTCCAGCGCATATTAATTTTTTAGGAATTCATTCATTACTAAGCCCAGCGATTTTACATGCCCATTTTATTCGCTTCAACTTAATCACCTCAATTATATTAACCGGATACAGTTCATGCAATTCAGTGTAGTGTGACCACCAAAATTCTCCGTTTGACTCATCCTTTTTCGATCCGAATATTCTGCGCAATACTTTATTTTCAAAAACTTTAAGACATTGCTCATCCCTTAATGTAAGCGGTCACATTTCGCATCCATAAAGAACCGTAGGTAGGATAATGGTTTTGTAAATTCTAATTTTTAAGTTTCGGGACAGAAGGCTAGAACTACGTAATTTTGACAAAGAAAAATAACAAGCAATTCCACCTTCAGCCAAACCTTAATATCCTCCTCAATTTTATTTTTCCTAGTAATCGTAGAAAACTAGTAGGACAAAATATGTATCTACAATTTTTGTTTAAAGAAATCAACCTATTAAGTTGAATTAAGTTGAATTAACTTGAATCAAAGGGTTGAATAATAATCCACTAAAGTTTTTGAAAAAGCAATAAATATGAAACTAGTTCGTTCTGATATAAAAAATAAACTTAAAATCCAAATTATAAAAGTTGAAAACAAGTAAGAGGACGACCAAGGAAGAAATGGTTGCTGGATATGGAGGAAGGCATGGCTGCCATCGAGAGGGAGATTGTCTACACCGAAAAAAGTGGCAAAAACTTTTGTACACGATAAACAACTAGATTTTAACAAAAAAAAATGAAATATATTGATTGATATTTTCTCAATTCTTAAATAACATATTTTTTTTTTAGTCAATAAATACCATAATTGTCGCTAACATCGATGTAGCAAGCAGTAAATTTAGGAATTAACAGATGTTGAAAGGAAACTTGTTTTTTATTTCAAAAATAATAATATAACTTCTTTTTCAGCCAAATATTTAATATAATAAAATACATTATATAAAAATGTAATTCAAACAGAAAGAACGCATAGTAAGTGCAAAAACTACAGAGAAAATTATTGTTTGTTTTTTTTCCCTGAATTTTCCGTTTAATTTATACTGCTTGCTTGAGACAAAAATATAATGTTTTAAATAACACTTTTGGTTTGTATTGATAAATATGTGCATGAACAACATTAATTAGATAGCACAAAAATGCATTTTCTAATAAAATGGTACTTCAGGCTTTTTCAGAATGGCTGTTGAAATATAAAAGTTGAAGGAGAATAACATTCATTAAAATGTATAAATGTTTTTAAGTAAATCACACAAGTGACAAATTGAATAACTTGATTTATCTTTTTTTTTCATTTATTTATTTTTTGTTTTAGTTTTTCAGATTAATTTCACTCAACTATAATTATTAAGCTAAAACAAATCAGGGTTCCATATAATTCTAATAATATACCAGGTGATATGATAAGATGTAAAAATACAAAAATCTAAAAAAGAAAACTAGCAATGCATATTTATAGATGAAATGAAAAAAAATATTTCCAACTTCTCCTTACCATACAAAATATGTTCTGATATGTTCCAAAAACAACCAAAGTAATTATTTGAAGGAATGAGGAAATTCTTCAAGTTTTTATGCAATTAATAATGAATGAGGAATGGACTAAAGGTAAAAAATTTATTTATATCTAAAAATAAACGATAACTTACTGATTGAAGGGGTAAAACTTCCACTACAGTAGATGACAATATGCGAGGTTCTGGATATGACAAAGAGAAAGTAATAACGGCCGGACCAGGCCTCACTGCCTTAGCAACACCATATTTGCTAATTGATATCGGATTGTTGTCAGCAGACCAAACACCTTTGTCAGTTATTAGAGGTGTCGAAAAACAAATTATTTCACCAACTGTCATAAAATTCTAGAAAAAACAAAACCAAAATAATAATAATTACAAGATTAAAAACCATTGAGTTAATTAATTTTTATGTGAGCAGAAGATATTTAATAGTAATATTCACTCTAATTACCATTAACTAAGAGGAGAGTGGGGTAGGTCAGTATATAGGCTGGTGTATTTTATCCGTAACGTTATCTAAATATTAGAGACTTATAGAATATTAGGCCAGTAACTTGAGGATTGAGGTGGAAAATATATTACGAAAAATGTGAGAAAAGTTTTGATTTTTTACTTTCACTTACCTACATGTAATATATAGTAAGGGTAAGTATTGTGATCGTAAAAATTTTTGAATCTGTGCTTTTAGTGGAAATGCACGTTTTGAGGTCCCCTGAGTCCAAATAACCAAGTCCCGCAAAATGGTCTGTGTGGTATTTGTGTGTATGTGAACAGTCTAGCTCAAAATCGAAAAGTTGTACATAACTGATATTACGTATTTAAGATAGGTATATGCCTTAGATGTGGCAGCAACATTTTTCTTAAAATCGGCAAACTGAAGTGCCACTTTATACCAATGATGAAACACATTTTTACAATTTTCTCAAAAGTGGCTCAACGATTTTGATTAAACTCAGTGTATCATTGTATAATTAAGTGGTCTTTAATATCATTTAGATCATATCCCCATTGATGTCACTTTACAGGGTTTAATAACCAATGTTCATATACCTCTTCCACTAAAGTACCTTAAATATGGTTTATTTAAAAAAATTAACTCTCTTTTATTGACAGTTACTATAAAAAATGGCTAAATATGAAGTTTGAAAGAATATGATAACTGGCAACTTAAGAAAAAAAGAAAAATGCTTATCCAGGTTGAAAATGAATCTTCAGAAATAAAAGTCAGAAAGTATACATATAATACATCCATGGAAAGCGGAGAACTTCAGAAAAAAATAACATCAAATAAATAAAGTCATAGAAGAGAACGGAGATTGACGAAAAAAATATAAATAATAATTTCAGAAAACTAACATTATTTAATGTAAATCACGTGTTTTCAAGGAAATTAAATGAAATTTTCTTACTATATATAAACTTTTAAATGTTTTTCTAATGAAAAAAAGTATTAAAAATCCACCAAATTAAGCCAATGACATAGTTTAAAATACAATTTCATTGTATTTGTGTGAAAGAAGTGAAATATAAAAATATTTCATGGATGTTTATAACCTTAAATACATTTACTGTAGTTTAATAACTGGATATGATATTATATATTTATATAATTAGGTATCTATCGACCATTCATTCCAAAAAATCATCAAGTAACCTTTCAGAAAATTAAATTAGTAAATAATTTGATGAATTTTCCCTTTGTGAAATCCCAACATTATCCAATTACAATTAGTGTGACAACTTTTGACCTATCCATGCCAGGCAATGAAAATCTCGTAATTTCATTTTAGAAAACTTTACAATGAAAATAAGTTTAATAACTAATAGTCCTACAATCCATAATCATTTATAGGTTAAATATTCAGATATACTTTCAAACTTCTTTAGGCATATATGAGCCTTTCGGCTGACAAAAATGACTAACCCCAATTTCAACATTCTTTATTATTAATTTTAGTGATGTTTATATATTTATACCTTTATTCACAGTTCTATATTTCAATACAGCAATCACCTACTCTGGAATCAACTTACTCGCTGTTTGTATAGACATAACTTTTTCAACTAGAAATATCATAAAATGACATTACTCAAAAATTTTGAAATTGGAGTTGGTTATTCTGTCAACTAAAAGGCTCAGAGACTAAAGTTGTGTGGTTTATAAAAGCAGATGGAGTAATTAGATTTTTATTGCCTACCGTCGATATAATAAATACACTTTTTATAATTTGAATGGTCTTAATGATTTGTTATCTGTAAGCTTTAGCTCTGTTTAAAATTCACTTCAAAAATTTTAAAATAGCCCAGCATTGACAAAAAATAATTTCTATTCGAAGTAGATTGGTAAGGTGTGTTGCACGCACCAGATTCTTTAACTAGTATATATGGGTTCAAACATGTAAAAAACAAATTGCTAATACAGGTGGGCCATCAAAGAAAAACTTTTTTAAACATTAAACCTGTTAGTACTCAGTGGACGCATAATTTGATACTATACAACTTTTATTTTATGAGTCTTTTCTCTTTGGGAACTCATGTCAAAGTTGCAGGGCCATTTATATTAATTCGTCTCAGTTTTTGACAAATTTGGTAAAAATCAGTGTTCATTGACAGTGGTTTTTGAGCATACCATTAACCAACATATTAAGTTTAGTTACTGGTTCAACACACAATACAATGTTCTTTCATTTCTGAAAGAGCACGTTTTTTGCTTTGAAGCATGGTTCTGGAGTTATAGGCAAAAAAAAAAAAAAAAATCTGGCCTTTTTTACTGTAAAAAGGTTTTCCTTGATGGCCTGGTTTAGCAATTTTGTTTTTGACATGTTTGAATCCATGTATACAAGTTTAAAAAAACAAAACTTTTCCCACAGTTTTTGCAATATATATCCCATTTTGATTTTCAAGTTATAGGACTTATTTTCTTTAAATCGGGCAAGATTCATTATACTTAGAATAACATACAATTTCGTAATTTAATTTAAGCCTTCATCTGCGATGAGGTCACTTTTTATACCCTGACTCCTGGACAATCAGCACATCAAATAAAAAAACCTGTATCACTACATCCCATGAAGGATCTTGGGTTTAGTACTATTAAGAGAATGTACTGTTTCTTAGTCAACGGTTGTGCAAGGAGGTGGTTTGACTGAGATTACGCTTAACCACCAGGTTTCTTCCCTTAATTAATTATTTAATTGAAGGTACCCACTTTACAGAGGTTGGGTGTGCCTCAGGAGGGTCTCCTGTCACATTTATGTTATGTGCTGACATCACATAAACGCCTGAAAATTTAAAGAGAATATTTGCAAATAACAGTACTTGTGACTTAGCTGGTCGCCACGTAACCTACCTTCTTATCTCATGTAACCTCTTTTTATCAATTGTCTCTGCTTAGTTGCTTGTGAATTCTTGTTGTTATACAATTGTTTTCAGTTTTCATTTTTTTTTATTATTATTTTTTTTATTTTCTATTTAAAATGGATATAATAACACCATATCATGTTATACAGGTCAACTAAAAAAATTAGAGGACCTGGAAAAGTGGTTGAAATAGACAAAAGTCTTTTTTCTAAAAGATAAAAAAAAACATGTAGAGAGAGAGTGCTCCCTGAACAATGGATGTTTGGCAGAGCTTGTTGAGTGTTTCATTGTAAAAATAAAAGATAAAAAAGCAACAACTCTATTACAATGTATTAAAAACCATATAGCAGAGAGAACCACTACATATTCTGACTGTTGGAGAGGATACAACACCCATCAACTAAATGAGCAAACTACAACTTCCAGGTAAATCACCAGTATAACTTTGTCGATCTTTCAAGTGGGATTCATCTTCAAAACATAGAACGACTATGGGGCTCAACTAAGTGGAGGGACAAAAAACATCGAGGAACTGCGAGGCAACACCTGGATTCATAATTATGTGAATTTTTGTGACGACGGATCCACAGAGAAGAGAATCCGTTCCTCACTATTTTAAATAGCATTAAGCTATTTTGTCTCCCAAAATCAATAAAATGTAAAATAAAAGTGTTTTGTTATTATTACATTTCTTTTTGTCTATTTCAATTCCATAAATAAAAATAAGAAGGCAGGTATTATCAATATCAGAATTATCAGTGTTAAGGTTATAAACAATGGGGGAAAGCAGTCCTTGGTGACCGGCTAACTCAAAAGTACCCAAAATCATATGAAAAATGTTGGGAACCTGCTCTGCTCTCCTCCGTTTTTTCAAAATAAAATACATCAATAAATAAAGAAGCACATCAATCATAGCCAATTAAAAACACGGTTCAAATCTTTGGAATAGAGACTCAGTAACAGAAAATGCTCAATTTAACTAAATATTACATTTAGATAAACTTAACACTAAACAAATTACTAAAATGTGTTTACTACAATGATTATTTGATAATTATCTTTGAACACCTAAAAATTCTAAAATCCAATAAATTTTGAGACAACTTATGTCTTCTACTTAATCTTAATTAAATAAATATAATTATAATTATAATATAAGTATAAATACTTAGTTTTCTACTTATAATAACCAACCGAGTGGAAAATGATCAATGGGCTTTCAATCTTAAAATAATTTCTTTACCTTTATTTTATCTTCTGATTTTTACTTATGGTGAAAAAACAAAACTTAGTAGATTTATTTTTTAAACTTCATCTTTATAATAAATCTTATTACTTACGATTAAAAAAAAAAAAAAAAAAAATCCAATACCATATTTAAATGAAATTCTTCATATTTACCCGATTTGGTGAAATGTAATTGTCAACTGGTATCTTAACATAATCTTCCATCTCAATTTGCCTACCATACATCACGTCTTTGAATTTCAAGATTACACTACCAATGCTGGTTAAACTTGTAACCAAACTATGATTTGATTCTAAATACTCAATATGAACCTAAAATCAAAAAAATATTTTAGATATTATAATTCAAGTTCAAAAGTTATAACCAAAATAAGCAAATGCTAATAACATAAAATAATAGACAAATTAATATTGCAACAGTACACTCAAGTGTCAAAATGTTAGACATGCCCATTAAAATTAAAAAAACTTTTCATGTTTTCTTTTATTTTTGATTGATATTATTTTTTTAAGCACACTTTAAAGTATAAATTATGATATTGAAATGGGGACAATCTTCTTAGACCTTGAGATTTGATCAGTAAATATTGGCATTTTATATGCGTCAAAATGATAGACACACTTCTTGTTGTTTACTATTTTCTTAATCCTCTAGAGTTGAAATCATTAAAATACCATTTCTACTTCAGTGCAGTATTGAATTTGTTTCAAAATAGACCTAAAAAAAAAGGTGATTTATGGGAAAAAATAAATGTTTCTCCGAAGAAGAGCACCGTTTGATTTCTTCACTCCACAAGGACGGGATGAGTTGTAGGGAAATAGCCCACTAAATCAAGGGGAGTTTTTCATCAGTCGTGAAGTTTATTCAGCACAGGGAGACATATTGAACCCACCATTCTACTGAGAGGCCTCCTGTTTTGACATTACGAGAGAAACGGAATATTCTTCGAATAGCATCTAACTCTTGTAAAACAGCAAGAGCAATTGCTGAGGAAGCTGGAGTTTAAACAAAACTAAGGAATATTCAAAGATTATTAAAAAAGTTAAAAACAATAGTTAGAAAAAAATTGAAAAGAAAGCCAGTTTTGAGTAGGCATCACAAATTAACCCCAGATGAACTTTGCTCGTAATGTGATGTCATGAACTGAGGAGTGGAAGAAAGTGATGAAAAAAAATTCAATCTGGATGGGCCAGATGTATTTTCGTTAAATTGTCTTTATAATAATAATACAAGTCTAATTCAATTTTTGTTGAAAAATATAATCATTCAATTAAACTTGAATTATAAGGATACGCATTTATGGCACGTAAAGTAAGGGTGATATTTGAAAATACAAATTGAGAAATTGCTTAATATGTTGAATGCATAGTTATAGATACAATGAACAAAAATTGTAATATAAATAAATAGGATATTACTTATTTATGATAAATTCTTCTTAAGTAAAAGACATTTTCTTTAAATTTAATACCAACAGCTGCATTTATAATTGAAAATTTTGATAACATATAGCAATACCTCCAATATATTAGTAAGCTTATACTTATAACAATAAATGTTCTGGCTATAACCTCTTTTCAAATATTAACTATTACCTTTGAACAGACGCTGCAACTATGAACAGGTTTTGAAAATGGTGCCACAAAAAATACAGAACCATATTTATCATGATAAGTTATGTTGATGTTTAAGTACAGCCCACGTGGAAGCGACTTGACATCTTCTGAAGTCTCAAGAGGAGTATCGACATTTATCATTAAATAATGAACAGGCCTGATCTGAAATAATAAAATAACATTAATAAATAAAATGCTAGACATTATTAGTACGAATCATATAGACATGATTCGATTTATTAAACTAATTGCCTTAATAGTTAAAAAATAAATAAAGCAATTGTGTAAATTCTGATTGAGTGCTTAAACAAGTTTAAATCAAATATGAATGGTAATTATTATTTTTACTATGATTAATATACACAAACCATACTTTCAGCACTTCTCAGTATAATCCTGCGTGATCTATCCACTTTTGCCACCTATTTGGAAGCTTGGATATTCCATGTTCATAAAAAGTTTTATGGTGAGTCGACAGCCAATTACACACGTGATCCTTGGCTATTTCACTGCTTTCAAATCGTTCTTCTCCAAGTGATTCTTTCAAGGACACAAACAGAAAATAGTCACAGGGAAACAAGTCTGGGCTGTAAGGAGTGTACGTGAGGGTTTTCTAGCCCAATTCTTCTAACTTATGTCTGGTAAAGTTAGCTTTGTGAGGATTGATTTCGTCATGAAGAAGGATGACATCTTTAACGAGAATACCTTCTCTATTTCTGGAACAAATGTGCAAAAATCATGTCTAATTCCCCCTTCGGTCAAGATTTTTTCAACAGTGAATCATCATTCAAAAAGTCCTTAAAACAGCACATATGCTTCATTGAAGACTTTCCTTGAGCATCAAACATGACTTTCATTTTCGACTTTTTCTTGCCCAACCATAAATTCTCTAGCCCACATATAAACTCGATTCTGAGACCTTGTACTTTGCCTTCAAAACAAATAAAAATATTCAATAGTTGAATGCCTTCATTGGTCAAATATTTCTATAAGATTATGTATTGTACAGCAGACAAATGTATCTCCTTATCGTTCATTACTGTATTGAGGGAAGAAACCTTACAAATCAGTGGTAAGTAATGGTGGGGTGTTTAGTAGCAATCTGTTTAATTTAAACAGTTACTTTGATTAAACAGATACAGTAAACTGTTTCACTTGAGGTTACAGGTACAAGGATTACCTTCCATTAGGAAGGGGCAGGTTCTTACAATCAGCGCTGAACTCATCGATGTCATCGAACAGATCTCTAAACAGAGCAAAACAAAGCCATCGATGAACTCAATGGTGAGTTTAGGAACTTACCCAAGCCATCTCACAGTAGTACAGGTTTAGCAGGTGGAGACAGCGATACCGACGGGAAAAGAGGGAAACACTGAATCTGTTTAATGTAAACAGCTTCTTGCAACAAACATGTAAACAGTTTTCTGAAAAAGATACTGGTTGACAATTTTTGTTTATAAATAAACTAAAATAAAATAAATTTAAATAAAATTTACATCTGTATACAAATACAATGAGTAAACATGCATAAATTAGAAATAATGACATGAACAGGCTTGAAGAGACACTACCCAATGGTACCACTCCCTAAATAATTTTAGATAAGAAGATTACGAGGCCATCTCCTTTTCAGACGCCTAAGAGAATTATCAGGAATCGAGAAAGAAGCAAGGCTGGAAACAAGTGGATTCGGATGGGACTGGAGTTAATCATGAAAGGATAGATATCTGGATTGGACTAAATCAGCGACATATGGTATATTAAGGATTTTGGATTATAAGAATTGGATATGATAGAAATTCGATGGTTTGGTGGAGCCCCAAAGCTTAACTCTGAATGTCCATATAGGTCTTATTACAGTTATGTAGATGAGTTTTGTAATTAATTGAAAGTTTAGAGCGTTTGTCTACTAAGTGCTGGAGCAGTCGGAAACGTCGAGCAGTTTCTTATCGTTTCAGTCCAGTATGAGGATTCCAAGTAAGACGTTTATTCAAGTGGAATCCTAAGTAGCGGATTTGCTCAACAGGAATAAGTTGAGTATTATTGAAGAATACTGTAGAACAGGAAGTCATAGGTTTACGACGGAGGGTAAAGGTGATTTAATGGGATTTATTTTATTCTCCAATTTTTATACCATTCTTCAAGGCTTGTGACATGTGATTGAAGAGTTTGGGATGCAATTAAAGGGTCAATATTAAAAGATAGCAAACATGTATCTTCGGCGTACGTCAGTGAAATTTAAACTCATTTTCCTTTCTGATTATTATTTTCTTGTTAATGTCATCAATAAATTTACTTATTATCTTTAAAATATGTTATGATAAAGGATTAATTTAACAATTAAATTGATAATTATTTCGGAGATACAAAATTATAATCATATCTTTTAAAATAGTGAAAAGGTAGCACAAAGCAAGTTTTTTTTATTTTATTTTTTACTACTCGTCAAGTTTGGAAACAGTTGTATCTGTTTTTTTTAAACTGTTTTTCGAAAGTAGCAGAAACTGTTGCAACCGATACTCATGATAAACAGGTTTGCCCATCACTGGTGAGTGTATAGATCACTCAGAAGACTACATTGAGAAATGGTGAAACTAATCAATGAATGTATAAAAGTAATTAATGCATAGGTTTGATTCAACCTTGTATATACTGGAGTAAATTAGAATATTCAAAATAAAATTCCTAATTTAATAATGTCATTTGAAATTAATTAATATGACAAATAAAACAACAATTAAAAATTATATTAAACAAAATAGTTTCATGTTGTAGTTTTAAACGCTAGAGATAAGTAAGTAAACAAAATAAAATTTATGTCAATTAAATTAAGACATTAAATTGCATCTTCTCTATCATACAATTATTAAAAAATAATGTTACCTTGACCATCAAGTGAATCTCATCAGAGCCGGAGATAAATTCTGAAGATCTGGCAGAAATAACCGCTGTTCCAAAATTGCTACCTGATGTAAGAATACCCTCAGAAGAAATCTGTACTACATTGTTGTCGCCCAAGACAGTTTCAGGTAATATCCTCATCGTACTTATGCGATACTTCACTTCTTTTTCCTTAAACATTAATGTAACTATGATTATTAAATAACAATTACATATCAAAATCAATTATTCACCCACATCTAATCTTTAAAAATAATATAAAATAATATAAAAAATGAAAAACCCAAACTGATAAAAATAGACTAAAAACTAAGGTTTGGGCTTTAGACCACGTAATAGAAGTGAAAACATCAACACGGCAAGATTAATAATATAAAATATAAATAATAGCTCATTTTTAGTTTCGGAGATATTTTAATCAATATCTTCAATAAAACTCGTTATCATTTGGTTTTTGACACTATTTTTCTCTTTTTGCATCTCAAACAGGGCGCCGCATTAAGATACAATTTTAAATTATAGCTCGTTACAAAGAGGATGAAATGCTGAACATTTCCTTAACTTACAGTATGTAGGTCCGATTTTTAGTTTCTGAAATATTTTAATCCATATCTTCGATAAAAATTGTTATAATTTGGTTTTCGACACTATTTTTTCCCATTTTGACTCTCTAATACAGCGCTGCGTTAAAATAAAATTTTAAATATTGATCTAGAGTGCAACCAGTGGGTTGTTTCTCAACAAGTGTTTTCATGCCATTATACTCATTTGTACAAGTTTAATAGATGTATTTCTTTAATACAGTTGTAAATATCAGTAATTAGTAAAAAATAATAGTTCTTCATGAAGACCTGCAAGGTGGGTCGAAACGTCGGCGTAATAATTAAAAATACTATTTTTTAAAATTTAGTATTTATTTGACCACACCTTCTCAACTTCTTCTCATATTATGTCACGGTCAAACATCTCTACATCATTAACAATAAATTATATTTAAAAATATTTTTTTCTGAGATAACAAAATATTTTAATGTATATGATTTTAATTTATATTAATATTGGCATATCAGCTATATTGGACGTCAATTTCAAAAGTCTACATACCTATGTATTTATTTTTCTTAATGGAAACAAAATATATCTTTATAAGCAATAAGTTCAGTCAATTAAAATTGAAATGATTCTCCATTTCAGTGAGATAATTAAGATAGACAGTTTATTTATTATAGTTTCACAATATTAATATGATAATAAGTCAAATAATAAAATATAATATAGTACCGAAATTTCAAGGTCGATATACTAATCCTTAGATGATTGAATGATGTTTATTCAGTAACAATGATAATATTTCAAGCAAAATAGTACCAACCTCAATGAAAAGAATATAAAGACTGATAGGCCAATATATTGATCTTTGAAATTTTGGAATAATCTAAAATTTCTCTGTCTATCGCTTCTTAGAAAGATTGATTGACATGTTTATTAACCAACAAGGAGAATTTTTCAAAAATGTTCAGAATTTTAGAAAAAATTTAGTATGGAAGAACATTGACGCCATAATCACAGAGACTGCAGAAGGAAAGTGATAGTGGAAGAGGTTTACCCGGAGGAGTGGGATGACATAATAGGCGATGATGAGGTGGAAATGTCAGTAGCCAGGATCAAAATGGAACAAGCACCGGGACCAGACGAAATAGCTCCAGAATTAATTAAATATGGAGGCAACAAAATGATCAAGATCCTTCAAACTCTTTTCCAAAAGATTTGGAACCTCAAGCTGATACCACAAGAATGGGAGAACAATATCATAATCCTTATTCACAAGAAAGGCAGCAAAAGTGAATGCGGGAACTATAAGCCAATATGCCTCTCATCAGTTGGTATGTGCATTGGATTAGATGAGCATTGGAAAAGACAATGCGGAGCCTATGATGTTAAGTATGAGATTATGTGAGATTATTATATTATGAGGTTATGTGCGTTGGAAAAGATAATGCGGAGCCTATGATATTAAGTAATGGCGAACCCCTAGAGGTAAGAAATGCATACATGTATCTGGGGACAATCGTCGATGAAGATGGCAAAATAGACCAGGAGGTACTAAATCGGGTGATGAAGGCCAATGGAATATATTACCAGATAGCCAAAATAATCATAGGCAAACAGGAAGTAAGCAGAAAGGCCAAACTTACGTTATATAAGGCAGTGTTCCTCCCAGTGCTTCTGTATGGATCTGAAAGTTAGACAACCCTCGCTAAGCACATAGGCAGGATCACAGCAGTGGAAATGAGATTGTTCCGAAGAATAGCTTGCAAAACTAAGAGGAATTGTGTCAGAAATGACAGAATTCGTGAGGAATTGGAGGTGATATCAATCCGTGGCATCCTGGAAGAGAAGCAGTTGAAATGGTTTGGGCACATCTGCAGAATGGACAACACGCGAAAGACCAGATGGTTTATGAAAGCTAGACCAGAAGGCAGAAGACATTGTGGCAGGCCTAGACATATGTACTATGATTAAATTGAAAAACTGGACACAGCAAGAGGACGCACCATGGCAGAGATGACAGGACTAGCTAGGGACAGAGGCCAGTGGGCAAGATGGGCTGGAACTGCAATTCCACACTTTACGGCACAAAGGAGCTAAAGAAAGAAGAAGAAGAGAAATTTTCAAGTGAAACTTAAGAACTCAACAGAAAGAAAAAAGGTCAATATATTGGTTTTTAGAATATTTGTATCGGCTAAAAAAAATTAACCATAATTATTGATTAAAATTGTAGGGCCTAAGAAGAAAATAGTTATGTACAATTACTTACCACTAGATTTGTCTTCAGTTGGTAGTTAGTGTTGGGTGCCATCAGCATGAACGGAAAACCTATATTTGGCCTCATCCACTCCAGCCTGCTAACAACGTCCACTCGGAAAGAACTGTTGAAAGTGAAAATGTTCTTATCGAAACCTCTACCTGTCACTGAAAGTTCAATACTTGTTTGTCCAGGCTTTAGGCCCAAAATGCGAACTGAAAGCTTGTTTTCATTTCCTATCTGAAATAGAAACATTTGTTGAAAATATATATGTATAATATTTTAGGAGTAATAAGACTTAACTGTAGTTTAGTATAAAAAAACAGGTCTGCAATTTCAATTAATTTGAAATAGTTCTTCCTTAATTCAAATACAAATACAAAAAAAACATTAATGTCTAAATAATATAGGGAATGTAGGGGTAAAAGAACAAGTGGGGGAGGGGAGAGAACGCTGTGGTGTTTTGAAATAATAAACATAGTTTCAACAGACCTATGGTATTATTAATAGTTTTTAATATAACTGTATAAAGCAGTTAGATTAAAAAACATTATTATTTCTTAGGAAGATCTGTTAGATTTACCTATTTACTAAATTTTTAATCAAGTGATATATCTTATTATTTATAATTACCTGATTTCTTAAATGTATATTCTTATACATACTTAAGAAGTACAGAGTTTTATGTATTTTCAATTGGAGTATTTTTTGTCATACATCTTTCCTTTACCAGGAGTTAAAATACACACTGCGTACAATGGGAGGGATTAGAAAAATTACAATATCTCTGTTGATAATTTTCCAATGGAAGTAGCCTTGTGCAGGATTTATTGAAGTTATAAAGTATTAATTGAAAAAATTAATGATCGTTTTTTATAAACATTAAAAAATAACTAAATTGCGTATTTTTATACCCATATAGACTAATAAATAAATAATAATTAAAGTACCTGTATATTTGTGTTATAGAACACATCTTTTATCATGACGATGTTAGGTACTGATGTAGACCACTTAAATTGTAATGGAGGCGATATAGAACCAAGCAATAATGGTGAAATGGTATGAGGTAAGCCGCAGGCCCACATAGGCATCATGTTGCCGACACCAAGATTAGTAATAGGTGCTACAATATAAACACCTGCCAATGTAACAACATTTACTTCTACGGTATCCTTACTGTAAACTTCTCCCTGATGCCCAACAGCTATGGCAGTGAGAGAAGTTCGACCTGAAAATTTTTTCATGAAATCAAAAAAAATTTAATAAATGATACAATCACCTATTTGCAAAGCTAATACCTACTATTATCTAACAAATAGGTATTATCAGTATTTAGGAAAACTATTAGTTTTTATGCCATATGTATAATTTTATGTTTGTATTTTTGGTAACCTGGTAATGAAGCCCACTACTTAACTTTTTAAAGTTCTTAAACTGAACAAAATATTAAATAAAATAATTGAAGAGAAGATTGCTTGGGGTGTTCAACCATCAACCCACAATTATTAAACAAAATATAAGAACTTTATAATATTAATTTAATTAAAATTATAGTAGGTAAAAAACTACTTGTGTTTTTTTTTATTTTTCCAAATGGACAATCAAAGTGACTTTTTTTTTTTATTCCCCAATGTAAAGATATTAAAGAAAAAAAAAATATGAGATCTTCTTGTATCACTAAATTCCGTAGTCTATTTCATTAGAACACAATTTCTTATTATATGTTGTTATGTTTCATCAAAACCTAGAATTTTCATATATTACTTTGCTTTTTATATAAGAAATGGTCCTGCACCATTGTTTACTAATTCAGTGCAAATAATTTTAATTTGTCCAAAGAATTGAACTAATGCTACTTATTTATTTATTAATTTTTCCTCATGATGTCTACTAATTTAGGTAACCGAAATTTCTGACTAATTTCTGATATTTTAAGAATTTTTTGAAAACTGCTGCCGGATCTTCTTACAATCTAATTTTATAAGTCACCATGAGTAGCTCAGGATTATTTAATAGTTAACAGGAACCTTATAAATCATCCAAATGATTTTCTATCAAAAACTTGATCACAGGATTTATATTATTACACAGGATGGCTATCAAATTGTCAGAATAAAATTCCCTGAGACTTTTCCCTTTTTAATGAAAGTTTTCTCTGACCAATTTGTCAAGAGACACAAATGTTAAAAATATATAGTTTATAACTATTTAATTTATCCTACATGATTGAAAATTGAAAGATTAGAGAATAAAAAAAAAAAAAATCTGTTCAGTCTTTTAAAAAACAAATATAATGTTCAAGAGGAAGCATTTTTTAAACATGATTAGGATTTTTTTTAATTTTTGAAAATTGACCTTAAGTAATTTATTTTTATCGCCTATTTACTAATACTTTAAGCACTTCATTTTCATAAAGTAAGAGTATGTAAAAGTTGATACTTGAAGCTTTTATCTACTATGAAATAAACTGGGCTAGAGGTTATTCTTATTTTAATGTAAGGCAATTTAGTTTATTTTTTGCCACAAACAGAACAATAATTATCCATACGATACTGACTGTGAAGCGAGATGGCCGAGTAGTTTAATCAGTGAATGATTACAGAAGGAAATGGCAGGGACACAATTTTTTACTTTGGTGGATTGTGTGATTAGTAAAGAAATAAAAATACTAATAGTCCACACTCATAGGTGGTAAGCCAGGTTGGGAGGGGGAGAGAGGAGGCCCCTAGAAGGTCACTTTTTTCGGGGTTTCACTTATATCAGGAAAACTATCCATCGCATCGACAAAGACGTTCTATAATATACTAAATTAAAGCTGATACAATTTGCTATATGATTGATTCTATACATTTTTACGCTACCTCACTTAGCGAAATATCTATCTTCAACTATGGCGAATTTTGAAGAAAAATAAATTTGAGTCTCTGCCACTTCTTTCTATTACCCCCTTTTCAGGCATTCATTGACTGGACCTGAGGGGACTAAAGCTGTGTAAAACACACTTTTCCTGGCAACCTTATAAACTCAAGTTTACATGATAAAATAATTATGAGTTCGCGTTCTGGTGTCGGGAGAGTTTTAATACATCCCTGCCTTCCACCAAGGAAAAGCTTCGTATAGTCTCAATGTCGAAGGGGTGGACCCAAATAAAAAAACTGAGACGTTCAATTTGTGCATGCTCTTACAATACTCCGGGAGCCCGTGGTAAAAAAGGTGTCATATTTCATACTAAGCTTTGTCCTTATAAATTGATCATCAACAGGCCTGATGAGAAAAAGTTTTTCTGTTTTTCTGAAGTTTAATCATTAAATTATAATTGCTCAAGCCTTTGAATGGTTGAAGAAAATAATATATACTCTTAAAAAAATTTTAATATTAAACAACTTTCTTACTCATGACTTTTTCGTATAATGAAAAGATAAAGAGTTGACGAGTCAAATAATAATAAAAATGTGATGCAAAAATTATATTTTTTTTTAAATTAGTGAATGACGAGAGTAAATATCTCGGAAACTATAGAATATAGCGAATAAACTAATATAACCATTTCTACTGCAAAGTTTGTCAGCTTTAATTTCACATATCCCAATATTATAGATTTAACGAATAGTTTTACTGATATAAGCGAAAAACCGATAAAAGTGAACTTTTTTAATCGTAAATTCAATTTTTCGACTTGAAATCTAAGAGTATGGGGTAGCTGACTTTTATTTCAGGTCTTGAGACTGTAAATAATATAAATTGAAAGTTTTGGTAGCTTTATATATATTTATAAGCTCTCTCAATATAAGAATCACATTTATAGGGCCAATTCCATTCCCACTCTTAGTGTTGTTATATTCATATTTCTGTTTAGTAGTTTAATAAGAATAACAAAGAGCAAAAAGTTCTAGATATAAGAAAAAGTCTATACATGTTGCCGACTGGATGAAGAGTCTAATAATATCTTGGCTCAAGAATTCAACATAAATCTTACAATTTGAAAAAATTACGAATCGAATCGAGGACATGCTGAATCAGTTATATCCAAAAAACAACGACTACTTATCTACTCACGACAAAATCGGTTCTTCTGAATTAGACAAGGAGCTACCGACAATTTTATTTAAAGGAAGGACTTATAGCTAGTAACCATTTTAAATTCTAGATAAACCTCATTTGAACACACAACTTTGTTCAGTCAGTAGAAAACTTGCTTTCTATAAGAAAATTTAAATTAACGATGCGAAATTTGAAGGTCCATTTAACGGAAAAACTGACAGCTGAAATTTTGATATGAAGTAAAGAATATATTCCTAAAAGAATGCACCTTGACCGACGACGTCAAAGTCATCACATTAGGGCAGTCCGATAGTAGCTGGTTGAAAAAAAAATTCAAATAGACAGTTTCTCTTCGGTTTTTTAGGGATAGTGATCTGAATTTGACGTTCCCGAATGAAATGTTCCATTGCGTATCGAGATATACGCAAAAACATCAAAATTTCCAAACTTTTTTTAGTTTTTTGGACATGACTCCAAAATTGTGCATTTTATTGAATTTATTATTATATACAATATAAAAGAAGATTGAATTTACTATCAATTTTATGCATAACTTTTTTGATGTAGGGCTAACGGGTGAGCAGTAAGAGAATATTGACTGTTTGCATTTTTCACAAGAAAAATCTATTTTTGTCAGTTTTCCCCCAAAACTCACAATCTATACATCTATCGAAGAAATTCAATATAAACAATTTGAAAGAGCATTAAGTTTCATATGTACCTCATACGGACACGTTCATATATAAGAAGATTAAACGGCTGTTAAAGCTCAGAGAATCGAAGTCGTATCTGCCGCTCACAAACTAAGTGCTTTTTATCTTTTCAATGCTTTATTTTCGGCTAATTTAACTATTTTATAACAGAACTAGGATGTATAAACATATTACATAGCTTTTATATATTCTGTTGAAATACATAACATTCATCACAAAATTAAGGGCCAAAATGCGTTTTAAAGTCCGAGCGGTCCAACGACATTTTGCTTATTCGCATATTACGACTCTACCTAAGCATGAATTATGTGAAGCTGCCAACGTTCTCCTTTAGTAACCAACGAATAGATGTATAGGTCATGATAGGTCGTATACTTACAAATAGTAAATAGTATTGTTATATTTTTCTTTTTTAAAAAGCGTTGTTTTAAACTCCATTTTATTCATTACCCTTGTTTAATTCCAATATAACGGCCAAGGCCATTATTGACAGTGACAAGTGGATAGATATAGATTATTTAACGATATAAACATGATGATGGTCTAGTCATCTATAACAATTATACATTATAACAACGAAATTTACCAGGTCTCTTAATATCGTTATATTAATCCACTGTGTATTAATTCCAATTTAAAAAGATTTTCGAATTTAAAAAATTCCCTGACTTTTCTCGGTTTTGAAAATTCCCTGACTTTGCTAGGTTTTCCAGGTCAGTCGCCATCCTGTTACAGTATATATTTATATTACAGTATTATAATATTATTCTTGTAATAATAATCTTATAATTATAATTATCATAACATTATTATGATTATAATAAGAAATTTGTTCAACTATACCAGGTCGCAATCCTTTCACAACAGCATCAGGTGATACAGTAGATATAAATGAATCAGCTGTCATGTACTGCAATGCAGAATCAATGGAAGGTCCTCCAATGATATCTATTTGGATCTCTGAGCCGACGACCAAGGTTAAGTTTCTGGGGTTGATCTTCACCCTGGGAAAAACCTAATAAGAGAAATGGAAATTAATAAATAATTGATGCATTACTAGTCCAAAAAATAAAATAATAAACAATGAGGTGTATAGTAAAGAATTGTCAGAGGTGCAAGGTGGCAGAGCGGGTGACACGTTTGCAATACACCTGGCAACATGCTGATAACTTGAAGACTATGAATTTGAGTCCTGTTGCTGGGGGAAGAGGGCATTTAACTCTGGCATTAATCTCCTGCCCTCACTCCTGGCCCGGGAAAAACAACGTATAATCAAAAAGACGAGGTAGGAAATAAAATAAAAATAAAATAGAGAAGCATTGTCTAAATTCAGCCAGTTCAAACGATTTTAACACATTGACAATACTATGAGATAACTAGCTTTCTTATTGTAGCTTGTGTTATTGCCTAGGGTACCAACTATAATTCACGTCATATTGACATGCAAAAATTAAATTGGAGTTGGAGATCGGCAAACATTGTCTATTTAATTGGGTACTGAAAACTCATGAATACCCATTAGCTTTCCACTTGAATCCTAAGATAACAATTTATATAATAGGATCACAAAATCTAAAAAAAAGAGATGGCCTACAAAAAAAATTGGGATGTTTGGCCTATATAATCTCGTTATTTTAACTTTTTAGGGGTGGGGTCATAGCAATGAGACCAATATTTTTCTAGACCACCTTTTTTTTTTCGACTTTGGAATCATATTATCATACAATTTAAGTGGAAAGCTAATGGGTATTCATCAGTTTTTAGTACCTAATTAAATAGACAAATCTGCAGATCTCCAGATTGAAAAGTCCCAATTCCGAGAATTTTGGTAAATAAAATATTTGTAGGTTATGATCATATGAAGATATTTACAAAGTTTCAGGCAGAGGTCAATAATTTGATAAAAAGGGGTCTCTACCAAGGACTAATCGGTTGAAGTGTTCCCTCCAAAACTCATTCACAGATGGTCAGATAGACATATTGCCCTACTTATGGCTTCACCTCTTAATTAATTACTAAAGAACATTAAAATATAAATATAAAAGCAATAAACATAATGATAACAATTTATTAAATGGCTATTACTATTTCCATATTTGAAAGGTTTTGTCAAATAGCAGTTGTTTAGGTAGTTTTTTTTTTTTTAATTTACAATACATTAGTAACATTTGACCTCTAATTAACCTAACACCTGCTTTAACTAAAACGTAACATAAAATACCATTACTCCATCAACCTTTTAATATTACTTTACATTGAGAATATATATTGGAAGCTATAAAAAATACAGTTCAACTTTTAATCCAAACTGGCGACAATGTAACACGGGCCGTTATTTGCCTAAATCCTTCATTAACTTATTTCTAATATTACTTCAAAAACCATCTAATAAAAAAAGTAATTTAACAAAATCCAAATGTTCACCTGGATGTTGAGGACATTGCTAGTGATGTTAAACCACCTCGCCCATATGGTAACCTCGCCAATTTTCTTTGCCTTAAGTATAAAGTTAATTATGCCTTTGTTACTATCCATTGAGACCTTTTCAGTTTTATCAAAATCGGCAATGCTCGTATCTGAACATTCCATGACCATTCCCATCTTTTCGACACTAAACACAGGAAATGCCAATGGATATTCCTCCTTATCAAACACCTTTACGGTAACCTTCTTCTGTTGTCCTTCTTGAATCTTTGAGGCAGTTTCAATTTGGAGATAAGCTACATTTATCACCTGAAAATTTTAAGAATTAAAAAAATCAAAATGAAAATAAATTAAGTAAAAAAATAAACAAATATAAAACATTGACATTTGATTAATAATAAAAGTTGCAATAGAAATTTAATTTAACATTACAAAAATCTTTAAGAACAGTTAAAATGATAACAATCTCAAGTCCAAAAATGTAATAGGGTTCGTTAATGTTTTTATTCAGCAATTCGATTTTTGGTTACTATGTATCTTCAAACGTAAAACCTCAAATTTTGAGGGAGTCAACTTTATTTTTTATTTATCAATTACAAAGGTTAGATCAATAAAAAAAATAAACCCAGACAGAAACAGACCCGAATTTGTTTCTTGATATCAAAAATGTAAAACATGAGTGTTTCAAATCTTTTTCAATTCAAATTTTCGATTTTAAGGACAAAAATTGTTTTTCTGCATGAAGGAACAATATAGTAATAAATAATTGTGAATTTATGGCTGACTGTAGTGAATAATTGAATAGAAGAATGGTTGGGCTGATCAGTAAAAAAAATAAAAATAAAATAAAAGGAAAAATAAATATACTTATTTATCATGGGTGTTAACTATTCAGGAGGCAGTCATTACAAAGTTTTTATTGGTGCCAACGTTTGAATCCGTGTGGGTCATCATCAGGGAGTGTTTTGAGCACTGAAGGTATTGAGTACTAGAATACCTTCAGTGCTCGAAACATGCACTGATGATGAATCACATGTTTGAGTTGAAACATCGGCACCAATAAAAACTTTATAATGACTACAATCTGAATATTTATCACCCATGATATGTAGCACAGTCAATAAACTTCCTTCAATAATTCAATTATACTTATTTATTTTTACTTTTTTTTTTTTACTGATCACCCCAACCATTCTTCTCTTCAATATTAATAAATAGATTATGAATAATGTTCAACTATAATCATCACGCACTCAAATTATTTTCTTTTTATTGACACACCATTGCAGAAATAATGAAAACATACTTCTTCAGTGCCCATTTCAACAAAAGTAATAGTACAGGATTTATTTTATTGGACAACCATACAAATAAATATTAAGTGACATCAATATCGACATGGTTTAAAATATAATATACTAGTACACGACTTTAATAAAATCAAATAAAAATTATTCATAATCACCTTGACATCTATGGACATGTTGAAGAATGGAGGTAAACATCTATCAGCAATTGTGATTTCACAAGTACCCTCATTTAAGGGATGAATTTCAGCCATCTTCTTCTGATGAACGTATCGTACATCAACTATAGACCGCGGTTTGACTTCAAATTGAAAATGTCCCGATCCACCTGTTATCAATAAATTGACCATATTTAAAGGATGATTAAATATCGACATGAAACTTGTTTCAATGAATGGTTCCGAAGCAACAGATAAAGCAAAGTGAGTGACTACTTTGCCATGTATTGACCAATCCTCCCTGTTCAAATTGTATTGAGTCAGGGCTTCCTTCCTATAATTGAATGCCATTCCCTTTCCTAATACCTCTCCGGTATTATTATTAGTAATGACTACTATATAATGAGTCAAAGGACGCTTGTAGAAATCATACTCGACTTCATCAAGATAAACTTTGTTAGGTTCTTGAAAGGTAGCCATAGTTTGATTAAGAAAATTCCAATCATACAATAAACTTGTAGCATTGTCGAAAGAGTTGCCAAGATCATCCATTATTTTAATACTAAATTTAGTTTTGCTTGAAGGATACGCAATAATTTTGTCTTGTATAACATCAGGGCACCCTGTATTGTAGTTTCTGATTACATTTAAGCTTTTAGGAAGTTTACAAAAAACTTTTACTCTGTAAACACTTTCTACACTTTTGCTATATTTAATCAGCGGCATAGTTTTTACAAAAATATTGACATCACTAGAGCCTATCTGTAGGCAAGTAACACTGTAAACATAGAGTCCAGGTCTTTCGTGTACTTTAGATGCAGAAATTTTGTCATTTGTAATAGTTAAATGAGTAGAATATGGTCCAAAAGATGGGGAAGGTCCTCCAGAAAATACCACATGGTACGATGACCCAAGGGCCAGCAAGACCTGCTTCGAAATCGGCTGAATAGACACTAACGGTGGGTGTGATCTGATGCGTAACGAGCCTTCTAATGTCACTGTGGGGAGCCTGAGTTTGACAACTACTTCAGCCTCTCCAACTGACCTGCTTTTAACCACTCTTGCAGCACAACCAAGCGAATTATTTACAGCTTTCTCGATTTTATAAAATGGATCTTGAGGAGAAACGATGAACTCCAAATGCTGACAATAATCAAACGCCTTCAATCTAGTAGTGCTACCGATCGTCACTTTACCAAACAGTGAAATGTGCAACACAACTTCTCCTCCGACGGGTACTTCACTGTATTCAGAAAATACACTCAAACTGTGAGGTTCAAGAACATAAATTCTACTCGAAGCCTTTATGAGCTTATTTTTTCGCATACAAACATTTACAAGCGTTTGACCAAGCCCATTAAATTTCAAAAGACCATCTTGATTCACTTCTACTACAGCTTTATTTTCCGAATTCCACTCATAATCTCCATCTCCTCCGAATGCAGTCAATTTGTGAGATGACAATCTAAAAAAAAAAATTATATATTTATATATAAGTAGGAAAAGATTAAAACCATTTGACATATATTACTGTAAGTAGGATTTGAATTTATATAAAGTTTCAAATTTCAAAATTAACAGAGCATGGGAAAATAAAATTTCCATAAAACAATTTGGTTGTAAAAATATTCCCACAGTAAAATAAAATAAAAGAAAAATAACCATATAAATAAGTAATATCAAAAAGACTGTCCTGGAAGCAAAAGGTTCTCAACACTTCAGCTTAAGAGTATTTGCTGAACACCAAGGATATCATCATTGAGCTCACCTTGATTTAGTATTGAACACATTCAGCACAGGAATGTCGACAAAACAAAGTAATGAATTGGACAAATAGAAATATATTAGTGTTTTACAAAAATTAAGAAACATTCTCACAATGATTAAACAGATGAATCAAAGATCGGCTTAGTAATTTCAACTATTTAACAACCAAAAATGTCAAACATTTCCATTAAACAATAATAATCCACAATGAACATGATTCAGGTTAACTTAGCTTCAACTTAAATCCCCCATCAAAAGAACTATGAAAAAATTAATAATGTAGGTTACTGCTTTGCTAAATTTGAAAAACAATTCTATTTAAAAAAAACAAATACTTCATATTAATTCCATATAGTATATATGGATATATTTTAGCGATTTTGTAGATATTTTTTTATATTTACTGGAAGAAGTACCCATGGTACGCTTGATGGCAGACCAACCCTCATTTCACAAATTATAGGACTCTTCATTTAATTGTACTACTCGTTGCTCAAATTGCATAACTCTAATTAACGTGTATTCTGTAGTTCAGATTGTACTATTTTTTATCGACATAATATAAATGAAACCACAGTGCAGACAAATTTTTAATTTCTTTAAAAATCTATATATCGCGTCTTATTACCAAATAATACAATCTTAACTACAGAATACACGTAAATTAGTTATACAATTTTAGAAACGAGTAGTACAATTAAATAAACAGTTATAAAATTTGTAAAATTGGGGTTGGTACACCGTTAGGCGGGGCGGGGCGGACAGGGGATGTCCCTTAGTAATCATGATTATTCATATTGCCAATTGATAACCATAATAAGGGAGGAATAATACTGAGAACAAGAAGTGTGGTATCTTCTTTATGGTACGTCCCACTGATGTCTTTGTTACGTTCTGTTCCGCTTCGTATATGTAAAATAAATTTAATATTTATATTTATGAAATATAGGACCCAAAGTAAGGATTTTATTTAAAATAATAATTTAAATCATAAGTCATTTATAACAATCATTAATAAAGTTTAACAGAATTGCCCGAAGAATGTATAATTAAAATTGGTTCCAAAACAGGGATAAGTAAATATACCTCACTCTGTATCCTCTCTTTCACCCATTATTCAGTTGTTTTTTTTCTTCAACATTATAGTTTTAATAAGCAATATTAGGCATAACTCTCATGAGTTTTCGACTGATTTTAAGTTATTATATCACCTTATAAATTCCCTAGTAGCTCTGATTACTCATTATTTCAATGGTGCTTAGTACTTTTTGAAACTGATATACTCAAATATAATTTAAAAACAATTTACAAATCCATTAATAACTTACGCAGGGAAGTCGCTGTCGATCCATGGAGCAACATAAAGCCCCGGTGTTATGCCAAGGTCAGGAAACACTTCAAGGGTGGCGGAGGTCTGAAGTTTGAGAGGTTGATTTATATTTGGGTCATTGACACCATACAAGGCAGAGGTGACGTGTCCGGAACCGATTCTTATGGTCTTTCCTATAACTGAGCCGTTCCTTATCACGTTCTGCACATGAAAATTCTCTTTTGGAACAGAAGTACGGATTTCAGCATTTTCTCCAATATAAAATTTCTGCCCATTGCTACAATGAAACAAAAAATAAATAATAATAAGAAAGGATCTGATTATGAAGGGGATACAAATTAAAATTAAATAAACAGTTCAAAAATTCATGTCATGCAAAACAATAAAATAAACAGATTATTGATCATTTCATCGATTTATTTCAAAAAGTCATTAAGTGACAATTCATATCCTCAAATAATTAGGAACTTAGATGACTTTTTCTATCTTTTTGGTCTTCAAAGGTGACCTATATTGCTGATTGAGGTGAAATTTAAGTGTTACAAAACATGGAGTCAAGAGGTGAAATTTAAGGGTCACAAAACATGGAGTCAAGACTATCTTCTGGTGAACTGCTTGGTGGTGGTCCCTACCTTTCGAGGCACATTACCAGTCATAAAAATTCTTTCATTGTTTCCCCTCCCCCTTCCCCCACTACTCTTATCAAGTCCAATAATGAAACTTTGTGACCTTTTCCTATGTGGAATCAGAAAATTATGATAACTCCTGATTTTTTTTTTTTTCCTTTGTTTTTTGGCTTTAAGACTTGTAAAAGCAAGTCCTATTTTGCCAGTAAAATATTTTATTTGTCATAGTGAGATGAAATTGTGATTTTTAGACAGAAATTACACTGGATTTATATTAATTATTTATAGTTAGATGATAACTGAAAGTAACTTATATGGGACTTGGATATTAGATATTATGGAAACTAGCAAGACTAATGCTTAAAAACTGAGATGAATTACAATTAACTGAGAATAAGTGCCGACTTTTATTATATGACTGCTTTGATGTCATTCATGAACTTTATCAACTCACAAGTGTTATCTTTGTTCATCGACCGAAGAAAGTTAGCTCCATCATCCGTAGTTTGCGACCCTAAACTAATTCTTCTTTGCTTCTCAAATCTCTTGGCAATGTGTCTTGGATCCTCCAAGCATTGGCATGTTGGGCATTGACTGCTCTTAGCTAGACCCATTAGATGAAGATATTTATTTGTTCTACCGTGGTTTATCCTAAGCCTGGTCAGCTTTACTAAGTTGGAGCAGTTGAGATGAGATTTAAGGGTTGCAAACCATGGAATCAATGCTATCTTCTGTTGAACTGCATGATGGTCCTTACCCTTCGAGGCACATTCCCAGTCGACGAAATGCTGCCAATCTTTCATTATTTTCCCCCTCACTACTCTTATCAAATCCGGTAAGGGACCTTCGCGTTTATTCAATGTAGTTGGTTTTTATTTGCCATTTTGTATGCCATTTCATTTCCTGATATTCCTACGTGTCCCGGCACTCACTGGAAAAAATAATTGTTGCTGGCGTTGTATATTAGTGATATAATTTTAAATGAAATGTGTGTCAGTGCTTTATTTTGGTAGATTAATTAACTCCTGATTATTAATTTAGTTAGTGTAACTAATATGATAAATAAAAGGTTTTGCATCATTTTCAAGCACTTATGGTTTTTTTATATAAATAAGTAAGATCAAAACCCACAAAAATATGTTTGACAGTTAACCTAAATCAAAAATACACTTGGTGACTTTTTCCAATAAACCGACGATTTTATCAATTAAGACAACAGAATAAGTGCCGACTTTTATTATATGACTGCTTTGATGTCATTCATGAACTTTATCAACTCACGGGCGTTATCTTTGTTCATCGACCGAAGAAAGTTAGCTCCATCATCCGTAGTTTGCGACCCTAAACTAATTCTTATATTAAACTAATTCTTATTCTTAGATGGGGCCACAGGGATGAAAAGTTATTGCAAGCCACACATTTACATTATTTACCATTTACAAATTTACCATATTTATACTATTTTTATTTTGGGCTCTTCCAATAACATTTAGGCCAAAACATTTTAATACAAATTCTATATTATTAGTAATATAGAATAATAAAACAAAAAAAATTCATGTGAGATGCATCGTGCAACTTTAATGAATCATCCTACTTTCAAGAAAAATTAATTAATCTTTTAAAAGTTAATAAACCTTAAGTATATTATTTCAATTAAAAATAAAAACTTAAGAAAATCACTGTAAATTATGACAATTCTGTGCACTGTAAGTTTTTGATTTACTCGAATAAAAAAAAAAATTACTTTTCCATACATTTTTAATGGAAATGTTTATTTGCCATCCAATAATATAAAATTAGACATTTTCGTCAATCTTCACTACCTTTTACAATACTATATGTAAAATATTCATTTTTCTAAAATCTTTATTTTTCCAACAGTATATTATGTATCTATATTAGTAAGCTTAATTCTGGAAATTTGAGTTTAGCCAGGTAAAATAATCTATCCCATTTTCTTATTTAATTATAATCAAATTTTTTCTCAGGTTATATTACTATACTATTAACAATATCTAGATACCTTTAATTATTTATAATTAATAAAATTAAAGGTACTTTAGAGCAAGAAATTTTGAAAATTATAAAATTTTAAAACAAAACTAGAAATTGTTTTATTTAAGACCATTCAATTTTACGTCAAAACATGACAAGTATAATCAAAATTGTAAGAGCCTTTATCCAGAAAATTGTAAAAATACGAAAATCAATGATATAAAGTACTGTTTTGAAGAAAAAGCAGTAATAATAGACGTATGCATGTTATATGCATGTTTAAGTTTTTATCTTTTCCTGCATAAGATTACGTTTGTGGATAGTACTAATTAAAAGTTTTTTTATAAACACTGCTGTCTCTAGTGGTTTTCTATCCTAAAATCCTTTCAAGCTCTACTTCATAAGTATAAATTTTTGAAAAAAATTGAAATTAGAAATGAAAACTAATAAAACTTTTGGCGATAACTGCTATCAACAGACCTTTTATCATAAATATCTTTTGATATAAGGTGTCAGGGAGATAAATGGCAAGACTTTTTTTTTATTAAAATATTTTGTTGAACTTTTATGTGAAAATTTTAATTTTGAGAATTCTTGTGAAACGTTGAAACAGAAATTTCTTGTAACAGTTTAATAAATTTTGCTTACTATGCTTTTAATTAAATCATCAGAAAATATTCTTAAATGATAGAGTGGTTAGGCTTTAATTGAACGCTTTATATGTTTAAAGAATAAAAAACCTCAATTAAGAGATAAATTTATGTTGGGGTAATACTTTAAGAATCAGTCTGAGAATCCACCAAAAAATATTAATATGCGATAACCTAGTAAAATAATGCAAAGCAAAATAGAAGTTAAATATAATTGAACATAGAGACAATAAAATAAACTCTACCTAGTAAAAAGTTGTGGAACTATTGTTGCATTCTGATTAATGGTCAATGACCAACTCTGGAAGGGTAACAGGCTCAGTGTCATGTAACTAGGAAGAGCCACGTTCAGCGTTGCAGAAGGATAAATTATCTTATCGCTTTCTGGCACATTGTTGTCTCGTAAGATTATCTTCACCTGACCAGCGACTTTGGCGAAGGCTTTCCTTTCGCTAACAACTGCGATATCCTCATTTTCCGAAAGTAGACTATATTGTGCACCCATAAAATTGATATTTATCATTTTCCCTTGACGTATCTATAACATAAGAATTCATATAAATAAAAGCATGGGAACTCAAAAGTTCATTGCAGACCCCATTAACAACATAAATGAATCACCTGATATAACTGATACTCGATCACATCCCCAGGTAATATGAACGCAACAGCTGGCTTCAAAATAAGATTAGCTACAACAATCAGTTGAACATCGACAGCTGGTACTTGTTTATATTCACTATGAGGCAGCTTTACCGATACCTTTAAATAAAGAAATAATTAAAGCAAAAAATTTTTTTTAAATTTTTATACACAATAGACAAATTATACTCACTTTGGCAGAGCCGGTCCTTATTCCCTCAAGTAAAGCCATATGACCATGTTTTCCGAGCCTATCAAAATTGGCAACGGGGAGAGGAGTTTCATAAGGTGAGTCAGAGAAAGTCATCAATTTCATAACCGGACCAGTGGAGGCATGTGCCACTGTATGCACAGTCCATTGGAACTCCACACCGACTAAAGTAGTGAATTCATTTCCTAAAAATAATAAGGAAACATAAAGCATCGTGCCATTAGGACAATTTTTTTTTTTATTTATTAGTTGTGCATATTTGTGGCTCACAATAAATTTGCCATCTTCCTCGGTATTCAGCAAATATGATATCAAGGAGAAGAATAACAAAACAAAAAGAAAAAAAAAATAAAAAAATAAAAATAAAAAATAATAATAAAATAAAAATAAAATAAAAATAAAACTTGTTTTTTAATACCTTATGAATTAGTTATTAAGAAAATAACTAATTTTAATTAAACTTTTCTTAGCCTAACAAAAGAGATTTACAAACTAATGTATTGTTTGTACAGCAGAAGGTTATAATACCTATTAATATATTCAAAACAAATTTATATTAATTTCATTTTGATATTCATCAGAATAAGTTTACTGAAATATAATACATATTAAAACAAAATCAGTATGGCACCAGCCCAAGAAAGACCCCTGAAAAACTATGTCCTTTTCTTGGAACATTAGCCCAATCTTTATATCCCATCTTCTCCTATTTCTCCATTGATGAAATGGTGGAATGTCTTTCCTCCAATCTTCTCCTATTCCTGAATCAACATGCTTCTCTAAAGAAATCTACCTTCAGACGTCTTGCTATTCCCTGGATTAATCCTGAAATCAAAAGGCTGATGAAGAAAAGAGACGCAGCTAGAAGCTTTAAACACACAAGTGATCCGGATGATTACATCTCTTTCAAATCTCTTCAAAACCTAACCCAATCTCTTCTATGACATGCTAAGGCACAATTCTTCCATATCTCATTATCACACACACCAGATCCTAAGATCCAGATGGAATGATCCTTAAAAATCTCTCCATAGTAAAGTCAAAAACCTGTACCTCCTACCCTGTTTCTCCCGATCAATTAAATTCCTACTTTGCTGATCCTATCTCAATATCTTTCTCCTCCTCACATTGCCTTCTTAAAACTTCTTTTGAACCTATAAATTTTTATTTCACAAATATCTCACCAGATAACCTGCTTTCCTCTGTCCTCAAATCCAGAATGAATGACTATGATGCGGATCTAATCCCAGTGGAATTAGACATACTATCACACACATATGCTTCCTCACACGGGTGGATCTACGGGGAGGGGGAGGGACTTTCGGGCTGAAGCTCCCTCCCAAAATGGGAAAATATAACCATGTTTTAATGAAAAAATTATCTCTTAAAGTATTATTGTTTGTGTAATTACATTTAAAAGGGCTTTAGAAACCACTTAAACACCATTTCATTTAGGTAGTTAGTTTCTTTTCTTTTTTCCAAGTAGTTATCGTTATTTTTATTAAAAAAAAGGTTTCGGGCTGAAACACCCAAAATTAAATCCTGGATCCGCTAGTGCTTCCTCGTCATATTTCCTATCCTATTGCATATCTACAATTTTTCTTTCCAAAATTCCTGTTTCCCATCAAATTGAAAAAAAGTTATCATTCGCCCATTGAGCAAAGTTCCGATTTCAGACGCATCTCCTTTCTCACCAACCTTTCGAAAGACTAGGCCATTCACAGCTTAATTCCTTCCTTGAGCAAAAAGCTCTTCTCAATCTCCTCCAGTCTATTTTCAGATCCCAGTTCTCCACTCAATTTTCATGGATCCATCCTCCTTTCCACAAGCCCTGCCAGGTGGTTTGAAGCCAGTCCTACTCTAGTTAATCTTCTAATAAAAGATTCTAGACTCCCTCTGATTGCTTATTCCTCCATTTCCTCCACCTACTTCTACTCCCACTCCGTCTTTTTTCTACAGTGAAGTATCTTCTCCTGTCCGAATACTCTTCAGATGCTCTAATTATATACCGCATCTGGACCATGTTTCGATAAGCTTTATGTTTTACCCTACAATATCCTTCAATAACACTCTACTTATCTCTGTTGAACAGATATGTTACCTAGGACTTCATCTGGACAAACATCTTGTACGACAAAAAAAAAAAGAAACTACTAGATGTTTTCGACTACTTCAACACTTACTAGTCAAACACTGTAAACTTAAAACACTGTAAATCAGGACGTAAATCTAATTAATATTATTAGCAATGAATATTAAAATAATTTCTGCTATAATTAAGTCGAGGCATATAACTTCCATTCCATCAAAAGAGAAAAGAAACCTCAAACAGATCCTAACCAGTTGAGATTAGGGCTTATCAAAGGGATTGTTCAGCTACATCAACTTTCAAACACTTGGTAATTTTTTGGATTCCATATGAAGTGAGATAGATATGATCTTCAGAAAACTACCATGTAGCAATAGAACTATTACAGTATTACAGTAGCGAGTGTGTCTGTGTGTATATATATATATATATATATATATATATATATATATATATATATATATATATATATATATATATATATATATATACATATATATACATATAACACTAAAAAATACTAAGCAAGAATGCTGAAATGACTTCTGAAAACTAATCATGTCGCTATCAATAACATTATAAAAATTCAAATCAATACTGTTAGGACAAGATTAGTATTAGAATATAGCTGCTATATCTGAGTATTGATAAAGTATTTCCCTCCAATAAAAGAGAACCAATATAAATAGCAGCCATCATTTATTAAATAGGCATTTTGGTTATTAAAGGGTCACCAATCTGTTTTATAGAGTACTATAGGTTTATATAGACAAAGATCAATGGTAATATAATCTACTGCAAGATGAATACGTCACAGAAATAAATTTCCTCTTTACAATCAAGAAACAAAATCTAATAGGGTTAAAATATGGTCATGATAAGACGCTTACCTTGGTCATCATAAGCTCTCACTTCAAACATTTCAGGTGGTTCTTCTATGAAAAGCTCACGTGTAGTTGTAACAATTTGCAAAGAATCTATTTTATCAACAATTACATCTGCCCGCAGAATTTGACCAGTAAATACATCTTTAGCAAGAATGATAGCTGTATTTCTAGTTAATTCTTTAGTTACAACAGTGATCGTTGCTTGGCGAGAACATTCCTCTGCATATCCATACAACGGTACAACTTCTACTATATCACGCCTTGAAGAAGACCTGAATAAAAATGTTGTAATTAAATAGTAAAAATTATAAAAACTAAGCATAAATAAGTGACCAGATGAAAAATCAACAAATCAGTTGAAGAGGTAATAAAATAAAAACATTCAAAAACCATTTTTTTACAAATCTTAGATACAAGAGTGTAATTTTTACCATTTGTAACAGCCACCACCACTGATATCCAAGGTAAAGTTGATAGATAAATCCCTAAACAGAGGAAGCAATACTCTGGGAACACTTAATTTGGATCCTGCTAAATCATCTCCATAATTTAATTGTATATAACAACAAATTAGGCACAAAATGAAATAATTTCTTTTAATTAAAGCCATGCCGACTTATTCAAACCAAAGGCAACATCACAACCCCTGAGCGAGTTTTGAAAATGAATCAGATAACGACTGCATCATGAATTCTACTTCTTTGGTAAACAATAATTTCTTGTCCAGTTTTATCAAAGTTCCTGTTCTGGTGTTAAGTATCATTCATAATGATTACGAAAAGAAACTTTGTTTACCCTTTTATTTAAAGCCAATTTTTTGGTCCCAATCGTGTGGGCTCTCAATAATCATTTTTCAAAGAGAGAAAACATTTCATTTTCATCAGTTTATTTATATATAACTTGTCTATATTGAAACCCCGAAAAATTTAGAGGTGAAACGTCAGACAATGGTACGAAAGTATACTTTCCTTGATTATCAGCTCAAAAATTCTCGAAAAATTTAGCGGATGGCTCAAATCTGGTCCGTTCATATTTTTTAGGACGCAGAACTTGAATTTGAGCCAGTTGGTATATTTAAAAAATGCATTGGAGGTAATTAATATATATTTATTTTTTATTATAAATTAAATTTTACACGCTCTAACATGTTTGTTTAAATGTTAAAATCATCATTATTTCTTTTAATATAATTGAACCATAACTAATGTAATTAGAGGTTCCTCTCTAAAAATGGGCAATCACTGGAACCACTCCGGCATTTAAAATGTAGCCATAACTAAATTGGTAGAGAGGCTTCCTAGAATTTTGAATATACTAGAAATTATGCATTCAGCGAGAAAATATGAAATTGACTATGGATGAAAGGGTAGTAAGTAAAAAAAAATATATTTCTAGCAAGGTACAGCTTCTTGCAATGTAGGTATGTTATATCGAAACAACCGAAACCCAGCTTCTGTGCCTCCTTGGTCCGACCGAGGCAAAAGCCGGTTTGGTAATTAAAGGTTTTTAATTATAATAAATTGGTAATTAATTTTTTATTGAAGTAACCCCTATCCACCATTTCTGGTATACGGGGGGTTATTGTTCTAAAGGTACAACCAAACCTATTCTAGGCCGAGTTTTATTCCGTGGGTCCGCCACGAAATAAAAGTCAAACCTTCCCAGGCCGGATTCGAACCGGAATCTCAACAGGCACAATGCTGAAACGGGCAACGCTCTAACACGCTCGGCCTCAGGAACTCCATACCTATTCATCAACATTTACATTTTAAAAAAGGCCGGGCCGGTCTGTCCAAGTGGGCGCCCTGATTTAGGTAATGTGTTTCAATGTTCCCAGGATTTGCTAAAATTCAAACCAAATCAAAGGTACTTTAGAGGAAGAAATTTTGAACATTGGGCATTTAAGCGACATCGATGGAGATAAGATCTAAATGATATTAAAGAACATTTAATTATACATTGATGCAACGAGTTTAATCAAAATCATTAGAGCCGTTCTTGAGAAAATTGTAAAAATGTATTTCACCATTGATATAAAGTGGCAAAGGCATATAACTATATTAAATACGTAATATCAGTAGCGTACGACTTTTTGGTTTTGAGCTAGTGTTCACATACACACAGACCATTTTTCGGGACTTGGTTATTTGGAGTCAGGGTACCTCAAAATGTGTATTTCCGTTGACAACTCGGATTCCAAAATTTTCACGATTGCAATACTTTCCCTTACTATATATTACATATATATAGGTAATTGATAGTAAAAAATCAATTTTTACATTTGACCTTTTGCACTAACAGTAGCGAAATATCCTTTGTTTATTTTAATAATTCTTTATTACTCTATGTAAACTGTTGGCGCTTTTATTCACGAACGAATTTTACTGAATTCTATGTTATCTGTTAAGTTTGATTTCAAAATTTTATGCAATGACTTCTATTATTTGAAACAGGGTATCTTTTCTTCTAAGTGAATTAAATTTAAATATTTACCAAAATCTAAAAAGGTTATTACGAAAAACATGTCGAATAGTACCAAGAATTCTTTCTGTCCAGTTTGTAATAAAGAGTTTCCAATTGAGAGCATTGAAAATCATGTTGAAAAGTGTTTATTTTTAAACTCAGAATGTGAAACCACTTTAAAAAGGCAATATCAAGAAGATTTGCCCAAGTCACCTATACTGTCTAATAAAAAAATTAAAAATAGCTCAATTAGAGAAGTCCAAGCTTCCACTAGTGGGACAGATAATAATCCCACAACTAGCATAAATACTGCACATCACGGGAAAAAAATATTAGTAAGGGCCCTATTGTAATTTTAGTGAAATATTAGTTTATTCTGTAGTAGAGAGTAGAATGATTTATGTGGAACTCAATGCTTTACAGAAAGACAATCAGACATCAGTGAAACCTCTGGCCGAAAGGGTAAGACCTGATTCATTACAGCATCTGATTGGTCAGAGTCATATTCTAGGTGATAGCTCAGTTTTAAAGAATCTAGTTGAAAACTATGATTTCCCTAGTATGATACTTTGGGGTCCTCCTGGTTGTGGAAAGGTTAGATTTTTTTTTATTAAATAAATATATGTTCTCTAATTGACTGCTAAAGTATAAACAAAGCCATGCCATTTTTTGTTTGTTTCTTTTTTATTCATTTTTATTACTAATCTAAGGAGCAGGATACAAATTCGTTATTCTGCTGTGTGCCCAGAGTATAGCCTGTGTGCCATGAAAATAGCCTAGTTGTAGTAGATAATTATTTATTTTGTTATATTATCTATGGATTGACCTTGGAGCCACAAGATCTTCTTGGAGCATATCCAGCCTCTGTAAACTGGATACCCTTAATTGAAGATATAACCTGGCACTTGAGCTTGATTTAGACCTAATCATCTAATGCACAACTATTTACCTAGAAACTGTATATCCTTACCAAGTTATTTTATTATAATAATTTTTTTGGCTTTACATCCTTCATCTAGGGAAAGGATAAGTAACCGATTTTATTCTATGCAGAGTGAAAAGATTGAGATTGATTCCTTGGATCCGTCACACAATATATTTTAACCAACTGGAACTGGATTCACTCTAGTGCTGCTTCTGACATGCAGTTGCAAAGGTGATTCTTTGACACACACTACCACTTCATCCTTGCCCTTACCAAGTATACTATACCAAAGACCCTTCATGGATTGTATTAGTGTAGTTTTTTTTAATCAATCTGTTATCTTCAGAAAGGTTTTGGTTTCACTATAGGAAGTAGAAGTTTTTAACTCATATCAACAGATGGTTAGAACCATGAGTAAGTATGAAATTACGTTGTAAAAGTAAAACTAATTCTTCATTTCTTCTGTAATGACTAACAGAAATAGTCAATTTCAGGTAGTGTATTAGTTCCTTTTGCAATTGTATGAATACATTTCCGATATAATATCCAGTCCTTACAAAGTTGGCTATCAATATGTTGTTACCTTTACCTGAATAAAAGAAAAATATCTTGGTTGAAACCAAAACTTTAATGTTTGGCTGCATGGTTGTAATGGGGGGAGGGAGGAGGGTAAATATTTATATTCATCGCTTGCGATTTCAATTTGCGATGTATGATGAAGATGAAGGAAGTGTGGAGGAGAAGAAAAGAAAAAGACAAAATGATATTTTTGTGGTCCAGAGTTGCCCTTTATCGAGAATAAAAAAATACTAAACAACAAATAGTGTACATATTTCCAACCAAAAAACATTATGAGTTATCTCTTGTTCACCATAATGTTTCTGCCAGTACGCAACATCGCATACAGACTTTCAAATACTAGTGGTCCAAGATCACTTTCTGATTGATGTGAAAGATTTCATGTCAATTTACATGGACATGCTAACAAACTTATAAAAAGCATGCCTGAACATGGATGAAAAGGAAGTAGTTAAGAGGTCCCATAAATGAAATATTTTTTCAAGTTGAAGTTTGAAGAAGGTAATGACAACAAAAAGATTATTTATTTCCTTCAGCTAATGGGTGAGAAAAACTATCCGCACTTCAAGGACTTCTTAGGACTTGGAAGACAAGCTGAGATCAACCCACTTCTCCTGAGAAAAGAGAGAAGGTGCTGTATCAGACCGAGAAGAAGCAGAAGAAGATGGCAGTAAAACCTAAGGAAGAAAAGAAGAGCTGCGTTCTATAGGTATGCGTAACATCCCACTGCTGCTGATGGTTGTACTGCCTAACAGGCACAGTAGGGTTGGAAATAAAGTAAAATTTTTATAACTATTTTAACATCCAGGCATTATGCCCTCCTTGCTTCTCATAATTGACCACGCATTTCGTAAACTGATGTAAAATTATACAATTCTATAAGATGTTGTCTTCTTAGTATTCCTTGAATTTTCTGGTTTATAAAATTATGTATTTTAATCTAAGTGACATTAGCTGTAACTTATACATTTTTTAAACGAGTATGATTGTTGAATCAGGATTGACCTTCAATCCATATTTATAATTAAATCTCTCTACATGGCGCTATTTATATCACATTCAAAACAATAAAGTTAACATGGATTTGCTTTTCTTTTTGTAGACTTCGCTGGCCAATGTCATTCAAAAAATGTGCCAAGAGAAGAATAACTACAGATTTGTGAAGTTGTCAGCAACGTCATCCGGTGTAAATGATATCAAAGAACTTGTTCAAGTGTCTAAGAATGAATTAAATTCATTCAAGAGAAAGACTGTTTTATTCATGGATGAAATTCATCGATTTAACAAATTGCAGCAAGATATATTTTTACCAACCGTTGAGAGCGGTCTCATAACATTAATAGGTGCAACGACAGAAAATCCTTCATTCACTTTAAATAATGCTCTACTTAGTCGCTGCAGGGTTTTTGTTTTTGAAAAGCTGAAAGTTGATGACATATTTGCAATATTGGTTAATGCTACTCCATATATTGATCTAGGAATAATAGATGGATCACACAACATCCAAGATAATAAATTTAAGTAAGTATTTTTCTTCTATTTAAGTTAATGCAAAGTATGCATCTAAGTTTTTATTTGTCCGTATATACCTAGAGGGTGAATCAAATTATTATTTTTTTAGAAATTAATTGATTAATGTTATACACATAGCATCCTCTCAACTCCTTCATCCTATTGTCCCATGCACTTCTTCCTATAATGGGAAAAATATTTGAAAAACTTCTCTCCTAGAAAGTAGTGAAGTAATACCAAATCACTTATAGAATCTAAAACTGCTCTTCCTTTCCATTTATTTTTTAATTCTTCAATCCTTATTTCTTAATAGGTTTTTCTGTATTTCCATAGATTCTTCTGTTTTTTTCCTTCCCTAAACACATTGATGTACTACAAGATAGCGTGATAAGCCCCATCCTCTATCCTCTATACACCTCTGATATCCCTGACCACTATCTATTGCTTCGCTGACAACATTGCGATTCTCTCTTTCCGCAAAAATGCAACTATCGCATCAATTGCCCTTCAAAACCACCTCTATGATCTTGAAAAGTGTTTCAAAAAACGAAAAATAAAAATAAATGGCATTAAATCCATCCACATAAGTTTCTCTCTTAGGAAAACCTCATGCCCACCTATACTAATCGTTTTTTGCACCTCTAAAAACTGTTAATTAGGAAAAGTAAACAGTTTTTGCTCAAACTTCTGTTTAGGCTAGAAACTTAATTTTTTTTTTTTCGAAGATCACAAAAATTATGATATCTTTGATTTGGCCCTACATTAAAATTAGCTTGCATTTAAGGTCTTATAATAGATGGAATAATAGAACAAAATGGAACATATCAGATACCCATGGTTTTGAAAACACTGATTTAACTTTCCAACGGCTATAGTAATGTTGACTTAGGAGAAAATCCTAAAGTTATGAATATTCTAGTAAATGGCATGACAAAGTCATTTTAATTTTAATTCTTCCATAAAATTAATTCCAAAAATTTGCTTGTTCTACTTTACTGGCCGCCTTTGGGTTTTTGTAATTTATTATACATTATAATTCATTTAGTACACTTAGCAATGTTTTTCTTATTTTACACAAAAAAACAAATCGGTTGATACATATAGATAGAACTTAGAATCTGTACAGAGCAAAGTCAAAAACCATTAATATAAAATATTTCTTTTCTCGTGTCCTAGGGCGCATTTGCAAGAACCCTCAGAAATCGATCCAATATTTTTTGACCTAGTATCACCAAATAAAGTTTCATTGAAATTTGTGACACCACATCCATAACCTCCCCATGTTAGATAAAAAACTTACTTGGCACATACATAAAAAATTAAAAAGACAAGAACTGACAATACGATATAACCAACTCTCACATTTTCAGAATACAGATCCTTACCTAACTTACCAAACAAGCGACTGATCTACAAAACTATACTGAGACCGATTTGGACGTACAGAGCAGAACTTTTGGGTTTGGCAAAACAGACACACATAAATAAAATACCATCTTCTTCTTCTTATTTGGCGTTACAACCCATTATTTGAGTCATTGCCTGCTCTAGCTTAGACTGCCAGTCCTCCCTGTTCCGTGCTGCTGCCTTCCAGTTCATAACACCGAGCAGAGATCTCGCGTCTGCAGCCACGCAGTCTTTCCAGCAAAGTCTGGGGCGTCCAACCTGCCTGGTACCATACATTTGCCCAGCTAAGATCTTGTAAGGAACTTCGTTTGGATCCATCCTTATGACGTGACCAGCCCAGCGAAGTCTTGATACCTTTACGAATGTTGATACGTCTATTTCTTTGTACCTCGCTCTTAACTCAGCATTCGTTCTTCTTCTCCATGCGCCTCCCTCATATATACCACCATATATACGGCGAAGCACTTTTCTTTCGAAACGGAGAAGGAGATGCTCAAGGGCTTTAGTTGTAGTCCAACATTCTGAGCCATATGTAAGAACTGGTCGTATAATTGTCTTATAAATTCTTACTTTCGAGGCTTCGACACACACTACTTCTGAAGAGTTTATGGAGGAGAAATAGGTGCGGTTTGCGAAGAGGATCCGTCTTTGGATTTCTTCTTCAATGCAGTTATTACGGTTGATCTGGGATCCCAGGTATATGAATGATTTCACTCTTTCATATCTATGGCAATCTATCGAGACATGACTCCCATCATCTTCGTGGGTAGGTAGGGTGCATATATATTTCGTTTTTTCAACATTCACCATTAGGCCCAGTTTTGCTGCAGACTCCTCTAATGCTTTAAAAGCTTCTCTTATGGCGTTTATAGTCCTTCCTGCAATCTGGACTGTCTTTTTGAGAAGTGTTCCTGTTACTTGGATACCAGAGTCCCTAATAGCTTTCTCAAGGAAAATGAACAGGTGGTGACTATGTATCTGGTATTCCCTTGTTTTCTCCAACAGGATTCGTAGGGTAAACATTTGATCTGTCGTAGATCTTCCTTTTCGGAATCCAGATTGATACTTTCCGAGCTCTTGTTCGGCAAATGGAAGCAGTCTATTGAAAAGTATGATGGATAAAATTTTGTATGCGGTGGGAAGGAGAGAGATGCCTCTGTAGTTATTACATACCGATAAATCCCCTTTCTTATGAATGGGGCAAATCACTGTTTTGCCCCATTGAGCAGGTAGTCTTTCTTCTCTCCATATATCAATCAACAACTCTTGGAGAAATTTTATTATTTCACCCCCACTACGTTTAAAGAGCTCAGCAGTGATATTATCGATTCCTGGAGCTTTGTTATTCTTTAATTTCCCAATTGCATCATGTATTTCCTCTTCATCTGGGGGCTCTATAAATACCTCATCTTCCCGTTCCAGAAAGTCTATCTTTTCAAATAAATTAATTGTCATTTGATATATTTTTATGAATTATATTTCGTTGTAATTTGAATGTATTAGACACATACATATGTCTCAGGTACATGTGTTGTTCATATATTTTTTTTTCAGATTTTTAATTGAAAAAGAGACCATCACATGGCTGGCAGAAATGTCTGATGGAGATGCCAGGATTGCCTTAAATAGTTTACAGATGGCGGTTAGTTCTAAAAGTGTCAAAGAAGGGAATAGTTCATTGATATCATTGGATGATATCAAAAATGGAATTAAGGTCTTTAATTTATAGCGATTAGGATTATTCATTGACTAAGGTGTGTGAATCAAATATTGATTGGATGACATTTCTTTGATTTAGCGGTCCCACTTGCTGTATGACAGAAAAGGTGAAGAGCATTATAATATGATATCAGCTCTGCATAAGTCCATCAGGGCTTCAGATGACAATGCTTCTCTCTATTGGCTGACAAGAATGTTGGAAGGTGGAGAGGATCCCATGTTTATAGCGAGGAGGTTGGTGAGGGCAGCCAGTGAAGATGTTGGTAAGCAAGTATATGTTTCTACCAACTTTTTTATTTTCACTTATCTGTATATGTAATATATAGGAAGGGAAAGTATTGCAATCGTGAAAATTTTCGAGCCTGAGTTTTCATCGGAAATACTTGTTTTGAGGTACCATGAGTCCAAATAACAAAGTCCCACAAAATGGTCTGTGTATCTGTGTGTGTATGTGAACGGTCTAGCACAAAAACGATAAGTCGTACGAAACTGATATTACATATTTAAGGTTTGTATATGGATATGGCAGCATCTTTTTCCTTAAAATTGGCTAACCGGAAGTGCCACTTTATATCAACGGTGATACACATTTTTACAATTTTCTCTAAAACAGCTCTAACAATTTTGATTAAACTCGGTGTATCATTGTATAATTAAGTAGTGTGTAGTATCATTTAGGTCTTATACCCATTGATGTCACTTTACCTGGCTTAAATGCCCCAGTGTTCAACATATCTTCCTCTAAAATACCTTTAATTTGTTTTATTTTAAATAATTAACTATTTCTAATTGTTAGGAGTTTGAAAAAAGGCTAAATATAAATTTTGAAAGAATTTGATAATTGAATAAAGTAGGAAAAGGAAAATGCTTATCCAGGTCGAAAATGAATCTTCGAAAATAATAGTCAGAAAGTATACGTATGACATAACATTGGAAAACAGATAATTTAAAAAAAAAACAAAAACAATATCTAATATAGAAAGTTGTAGAAGGTAACTGAGAGTGGGGAAAAAAAAATTAATAATTTCTAACAACTAACTTTATTTATAATAGTGTAGAGATGGTTGACCGTGATATAATATGAGAAGGAGCTGGTTGGGGGTGAGGTCATGTAAATACTAAAGTTTTAAAATAGTATTTTAGTCTTTACCCCGACGTTTCGTTCCACTTTGTAGGTCAGGGCTACACGTGTACTGAAGCTCTGTCCACAAAGGAGGCTTGCCCTTACAAGATTTTATTTTTTTACTTTACTTATCTTTGTGAATATGTATAAGAAAAATTTTGAACTTTTTGTGTTTTTATTTTTATAACCTGATGTTCATCGTTGAATGAAAATTTAATATTCATCCAAGTATTCAATAATAGTGTACAAAATTAGGGAACAATACAATATAGATGTATCACTTTTCTTTTTTTTAAATTTGTTAATGATTGTTAATATAATATTTTATTATCATGGTAAAGTAAATAAATAAACACTGTAAATTTGAGTTTATTAAGTTATACTAGAAAATTATTGTTAGTTAAAGAAAAATAAATCAGCTTCTTCTTTTTACTGTCACTAAAAAAAAAAAAAAAAAAAAAAAAAAATCTCTTAAGTGCTCTATAAGTTTTCAGCATTCATATTTATCAAAACCAAACCTCACAAATACTATGCTGAAGCAAAGTGTGACTGAGTACGTGAATGGAGTCTAACATCCACCATGTCCAACATTCACTATGTGACAAATATCAGAAAAAATATTCTTTTTGAGAATGTCGGATCGTCTATCTGAAATACGTCTTGTTTTAGTGTGTCTTTCACTTTATTATACCTGCTTCTTATTAAATGCACTAAATAATATGACCCAGGTCATGTTGTATAGTATAAAACCACCTTTTAATAGTTGTAGAATTTTGTAATTCTTATAGACATTCTTAATTCCATCATTACTGGAAAAAAATAATATGTCTTTTTTTTTTAAGACATTGTTATACAAATTGTTTTTGTTTTTTTGTGTGTGTTGTATAAAAATTAATTTAAAAAAAATGTGATAATAAATTCTGTTTAGGGATTTTTACCTCTACCACAAATATTTCTTATATTTATTTAAAAGGAACATGGTATATGTTTTTGTGAAACATTTTCTGGCTAACATAGGAACAAGTAATAATGAAAAAATTGGTTTCCACATGTTAGGAGCTTAATATCTCTTGTCTACGCATGCCGAGTGAAACTACTGTCATTCCTGGAATCAAGGGAAACAGAAATTAAAAAATATTGCTGGCCAGTCTTCAATCAATCAAGTGAGTTAAATTTTAAGTATAAAAGAAGAATATGAAACCATCCTCTCTCAGAACTGTTCATCTCACATCATTATCACTGCCAAGTTATAAGCATATAAGCCTTCAGTATTGACAATTAAGCATATTATTTAAATTAATTTCCCCTCATTTTTCAATTTGAATTCACTTACTAATCTCACATGTCCTTGTTTTTTACTTTTCAACCATAAATATCATAATTAGTGATTCTTTCTAATATAATTTCATATATTCATATTCATATAGTTCAATATTATCTACTCTATGGATGTTTTTTTAAAAATTATAATGTAGTCTTCTATTGTCTAAACTATGTTCTCTTTTATATTCATATATATATATATATATATATATATATATATATATATATATATATATATATATATATATATATATATATATATATATATATGTATATATATTATATACATTTATTAAATTAAACCATTGGATGACAAAACTGCTGCAAGAGCCATACAGAAAAGAAGTCAAGACTCACCTGTTGTGTTTGTAGCAAAGAATTGGTTACTACTAATATTAACTAAAGTAAATGATATACTTTTTCAAAAAAAAAAATTGACCAGATGTAAATTAATTTACTCAAAGAAGAGCTTGTTCCAAAGAGGAGCAGGTTATTGTCTCAAGAGTATCCTAGCATCACCTTTCTGAATGAATAATGGCCACTTTCTCCAAAATGTGATTAAGTATTCAAGAAATTGCTGTTCTACTCATTAAAATATAGTATATAAAATAAATATTTAACTATTAAAAACCGATTTTTCCGCCATAAACAAAAAAAAAAAAATTAAAAAAGTCTATCAAGAAAAACTTCCTCACTGGTGAGTGCATTTCGAAAATGATCATTTACTCAGAGAAATATGTATGAATGTTTTGTAAACATGTGGTAAAAATAAAATATAAAACAATAGACTTATTATTGAATTTTATATTTTACATTCTTCTTTGATATTTGTTGGAATAGTTAGATCTGACATTAAAATTGGCAACTGAACAGCAGGCCGCCTTTGATATTAGATGCCTCTGGCCAATTACTTCACGAGTGCCCCACTTCCACTTTCCATAAAAATAATAACAATTGAAGAGGAAAAATGAGACATATGTGAAGGACTCCATATTTGGATTGTCTTTCATTGTACATGTCTCTAATTAAGTTTCTTTATTAATAGGCTAAAGTTTATTTTATTTATAAAGTTAGCGGTGCTTGGTCGTATCCGCTTTCAGCCTATGACTCATCCTGAAAAGCATATCTTACTCCTGCTTATTCATTTTATATTAGGCATAATTTGGGTAATAATTTTGATGAAAATCATTTCGTCTCTGGTGTATTACTCTTCTATTTGTAGAGATTGCTTCCTAGAGTCTGAAAAAAACAAAACAGAAAATATTCTGAATAATCTGTGTTTATTTAAAACTTTCTGATAGATAATATAAATGTTTGCTATACATTCTTGCATTATAACATATAACTACTTACAAAACAATTAGATTTTTCTTTAGCTGTGCACTCAGATCGTTCTTTGGTTCAACCATTTCTGACTACCTTCCTGATTCCAGAGCTCTGTTACCCTCAGCAACTTAGCCCTCAGATCTTAATAGATATTCAGACAAGTATGATATGCTGAGGGGTGTCTGGTACACAACCACTCGTGCTTATGGGATCGATGTTCTTAATCGGCTTTGACACCTTAGTTTGTTTGCCTATATTTTAGTGACTTGAGATTTATATGTGAAGTTTTCCAATTATATCCTATAATTAAAATTTTTTAAAAATTGTTTAACATTAAATCAATTCTATAAATGATTTAATAAATAAATTCAAGTAGAAAGAATGAGAAGAATCAGATACTAAGATCCCTGAATTAAATTCAACCATAATTTCATCATTATTGATCACTTCACTAGAAAGAACATATGCATCCTCTTCCTATACATTAGAAAATTAAAATTGTATTTCTTTAAATACATTCAAATCATTCTTTAGCCAAGATATCATTAACCATACTAACGATAATGTACTAAAAATTTGGCACACCCTCTTTTTATTCTTAATTTTAATTATTAATCATTAGAAGTTTTTTTTTTTTTTTTTTCTATCAACACTTTACCAATAATAAGCACACCTTTCTTTTTTTTTATAAATATTCATAAGCTCATTGGTTATCGGTTGTACAGTATATCACCATTCTTATGCCAGCGTAATTACTTAAACTTAATTTATTGTTGTAATATCCCCTTTGAAAAGAAATGGGCACCTTTATAACAATGAAGGTTTTTAAAAATTAATTTTGTTACTAAAAAACATTAATAATTGTATAAATAAGGTACATCCATGTCTCTCACCACTACACTGAGTTAAGGTGGCTCTTCCCCTCCTTTAGAAGACAATATTTCCTAGGTACGTTCCTCTATCAAATCATCAACAACTATCGTCCTTCTTACGCCTACAACCTTCTCCAATTCAAGTCCTCAGTCCATTCCCTTTCAACAAGATCTCGACCTTGTGACCTCTACATCCCTTTGCACAGATCTGCCTCATTTCAGAATTCCTTTATAGCTCACGCTGCCAATTTCTGGAATTCTCTACCTATCAAAATTCGGCATTCCCCCTCCATATCCACATTCAAATAGTCAGATACTTGCTAAACTTTCGATATTATACATTTCTAGTTATCATCAAAGGATAGTACTATTCTATACTGTGAACTTCACTAGGGATATTATAATATCTTCCTGCTCTTAATGCCACTGACCGCATCTATTGTTCTTTTTGTTTTTTTATTATTATTTTTTATTGGTATATAATTAAATCTGTACCTATAGCTAGCATTTGACAATGTTATTTGACATATTAATCATTATTTAAAGACACTGATATTTTATACTGTCAGCTTTGTCTTTTCTTTGTTAGCAGAAACACACCTCATTTTAAAGAAGAACTCAATGTATTTTTTATTATTTTATTTTTCAAAAGAGTATAATTATAATTTTTCCTACTGTACATAGTCTTAAGTGTTTTATCATAGTTTTAAGTGTTTTGTATATAGATTTTTTTTTTTTTTGTATATAGCTTGTTTAACTAATATTTTCTTTACTTTCTCTTTTTTATTATTGTTTTATTTTGGCCAGATGTAGCATTTTAATTATGTTCTATTTTGTTATTCTAAAGGGACTTTGTCCCAGAATAAAGTTATTTTCTATTTCTACATCTTGAAGGATAGTATATATATATATATATATATATATATATATATATATATATATATATATATATATATATATATATATATTATTTTTTTTTTTGACATCAGCTAGTTTTACCTCAACTTTGATACTTTTGTCAACAAATCAACTACTATACTGCAATTTTCACTAATGATTTGAATATACTTTTCTTTTTTTTAATTTAAAATTACCTTTATTTTATTATTGAATGTTCATTTAATGAACATAAAGTGAACTGAAATGCAATTGCTTGATCAATCTCAACATTTATTCATTAACCTATGGTTTGGTTATTTCAATTATAACTACAATTACATGTTATCTGTTATAGGTTTGAGCGATCCTATGGCTCTCACATTAGCCGTGTCAGCAATGCAAGGGTGCCAAATGATAGGAATGCCTGAATGTGATGTGATCCTTGCTCAGGCTGTTGTCTATCTTGCAAGGTACTTTGAAGATTAAAATTTTGATAGTTTTATTTTTTCTCATGTCTTACGCATTTGTTATTCAATTATTTTGATACATGCTCTTTACAAAATGACTTATCTACAAAGTGTAACTCAGAGTTCAACTCTTATTATCTCATTTCCTTGCTCCACTGGCAGATATAAAGGGAGGAGAGAGCTCTCATGCTTAATCATTCCTTCCCCTCCCTCAAAAAAAAAATGAAAAAATTTTTTTCATTGGTCCATATTTGTTCCTATGACTAATGTGATATAAAAAAAAAAATTAAAAATATTTTTTTCTTTTTACATTATAACCCATCTATTTCAGCTACTGAATATTAACACATATCAAGAAAAAATATAACAATTATCTCTAAAAGCATTATTGTGTCTGTAAACAGTTTTTTTAACAGGCCTTTAAGTTCCATATAAGCATTATTTTATATATATGTTTTTCTTCCGTATAAATTACCATTATTATTATAAATAAATTGTTAACATTTTCTCTGTTAATAAAAATAAGTTTTAATCAAGTTTAAAATCTGTCGTTAGTTAACAATTTATTAAAAATCAGATAAAAAATAATTCTATCATTCTAAAAATAATTATTATAATAATAAGGAGTAAAGAACTTAGATTTTCACATTTATATGTAATAGGAATGGTTTCAATTAAATGTGTTCTACATCAATTAATTTTTATTTATTATCTATCTATTTTCAATTTAATTTAATATTAATAATTATTTAGCCCTTTGACTGCGGGGGCTCCTTTGCGAGTTTATACCATACATAATGGATTTTTTTTTTTTAAATAAATTTGGTATAATTTTTTTAAAAATAAATTTGTCAAAATGCTATTTTGAGTCACCCTATAAGATCTTAGCTTTCAAAAATGCATTTTGACGTTTTTATTCAACTTATAAAAACCCAGATATATACCTTTCGGCCGCATATGACAATACAAAATTAGAGCGGCAATCACTCAACACTTCGCTTTCTTGTATATTTCCTCATTTCCGAAAAGCAAAATAACTGAAAATTATAATAAAAATAACTGTAAATGATCATAAAAATTAAATTATGTTATTTATAAAAAAAGGAGACCGACGACGGGATTGGAATTATATATTTCTTTGTATTTACAAATTTTTTTCTTACCTAAAAAAGTTTCATATTGAAACATAGCGCAGCTATAAATTTTATCATTGCCTTTATATTTATTTTGAGTTTCTAACACTTTTATATTATATGAAATATATACATATTGTTTTTAGGTGGATGGAAAAATGATAAAACAATTAAAGTATCATTTTAATTCTGTATATTTTTACATTTATTAATTTTTATTATTACATTTTAATTTTTGCATACTTTTACATTTATTTATTACATTATATATATATATATATATATATATTTAAAATGTAGGAAACTTACATTTATTTGTTTAGTAGCCAGATATTCACGTGCACCAAAATCATTATTCAGTGAAACGAAATTAAAAAGAAAAAATTATAAAATTAACTTATTAACATTTATTTGATGTGTAAAACATTTAAATGGAATATAAATAAGATCGTGGATATGATACAAATAACAGACAAAGGACATATCTTGGGTTCAGTCAACTGATGGCTTCCAAATGGTCAGAATCTGGAACGACCGCACTGAGTCAGCTACAGCGGACTAGTGAATGAACCAACCTAGTCACAAGTCAAATGGTAAGTCAGGACTTGCCTTTACTTGTTTAAGTGGCGACCGCCCTGGCAGGATGTAGTCCGCACCAGTGAACCAACTCTTAACGGGTAGGCATGTATACTGTCTGCAGTCTAAGGTCTTATCTCTATGATATGTTTTAGAACAATTTGAAAGGTTATAATCTGGTGCTAATTTCACGTTGTAACTAAGTAAATATTGAATTCTAACTATAGTATATATTCTTTCAACTTTTTTTTTTTTCAGAACTTATAAGTCACAAGAAGTGTATCGAGCATTGGTGAAAAGTAAAGATTTAATTAAGAATTTTAAAGGACCACAACCTACTGTTCCTCTACACTTGAGAAACGCTCCAACAAAACTAATGAGGGATCTTGGTAAGTGTAGTAATGATGTTCTGTATTTAAATTTTTCTACAGTGATAGGGTCATTTTATAATACATCCTTTAAAATATCTTTTATTTTGTTTATTTGAAATAAATAAATATTTCAAATTTTAAATAGAAATAAAATGTTATCAAAATATAAACCGTGAAAGAATTTGTCAATTAACTAAAGGAGAAATAAGATTTGGCAAGATGGGATAGAGTGTGCTCTCGAAAATGGTTGAGAGATTGCAATTGCTCCCGATCATGACATTTGTTAATAAACTGTATCATGATTGAGTAACATTCCCAACAGAAATAATTATAGCATTAAATTGAAACTAATGCACTACATCATACAATTTTATAAGGTGGATTATCCTTCACCTCTCTTTTTTTATTCTGTTTCGTCAACATTGGGGTCGAGAGACCTTCCTGGGGCACACTCAGCTTCTAAAGTGGTTACTCTTAATAAAACAGCAAAGCCTAGCTGTAGAACATGACCTCGGGTTAATCATTTCCTTATACAACTGTTGACCAAGAAACAATATTCCCTTGCTGATTAATGAATCTAAGACCCTCTTTTTGTTTATTACTATGTGAAAGGAAGAGTTTCTTCATTTCCCTATTGCAATATTCTTTCAAGCGAGCCACAGGTTACTATATTCGACAATTCATCATGTACTTCTTGACCAGATTTTCTGTAGTAAATGAATCTAAAACTTATTTTTGAATACCTCTCTTGCATTTATTTTCTCATTTTACTTACTTAGAAGTCTAACCAAGTTGTATGTTGTAATAAAAAGAAATAATAATACCATTATTCACTCATATTGTTCCTAACAATTGTGTTTAAATTGTTCATTATATATCAATCTTCAGTAACAACTTATTACTTTAGTTATGAATGTTTGATATTTACACTCCATCTGCAGAAAGCTGATGACTTGCCATGAGGAAAGAAAGAGTTACTGTCATGAACTTACTTCATAAATGTAATATCATCATGTGTCTAACGATTTTCAACAGACTTTTTTTAAAGCGAGAACTAACAAACATCCTATTGATCCATCACCAACCTTATTATGTAGTCTTTTTCATTCCAATGCTGTTTTTTTTTTTTCTGATTCTAACAGTTTATTTTGGAATAAATATTAAGAAAGCTATTTTCCAATTTCATCTCAGGTTTATATGTGGATACTGATCACATCGATCATTCCAAGTAAGAATCCTGAAAGTAGCCAATTGGGTACAAAATTATATGGATGCAACCAATTTCTGTTAAGTCCCCAAGTTCAACTTATGAACATTATTATATAGCATTTCCAAGTCAATTTCAACCTTTTCCAAATCAAATTCAACCTTTTCCAAGTCAAATTCAACCTTTTCCATTTCAAATTCAACTTTCAAATTTTTGTCAATTTTCGATTTTTTTCGGAATGAAGGCCACTTACTATATTATTGAAGGCATAGCTTTTGAAAAATAAAAAAAAAAATTTGATAAAGCGGTTGCATATCCAGTTATTTTAACATTTTAGATTTTTTTCAGTGTAATATTTCTATGTCCTATTCAATTATTTCCAAGTCAAATTCAACCTTTTCCAAGTCCAATTCAACCTTTTCCAAATCAAATTAAACTTTTTCCAAGTCTAATTCAACCATTTCCATTTCAAATTAAACCTTTTACAATTCAAATTCAACCGTTTTTATTTCAAGTTAATGTTTTAATTTTTTGTAAATTTTATAATTTTTTTTTTAAATAATGGCCATTCCCTCCCCCCCTCCAATATGAAAGTCTATTATTATGCTCTCCTAAGTAGAATTTTCACTTACGGATATCGATTTATTGTACCTATTCGAATTTATTAGGGACTAGTATTATGCTGTCCTGTACCTAGTTTTTAAAATAACCTCCATTTTAATATTACCCCACTGCATTTCGACTTATTTAAGTTTGTTTGATTTATTCGATACAAGGGTGCATTCTTATGTTTCCAGAGCCGTAGATTTTGAAAATAACCTCCATCTTAAGATTAGGCCACCGCGTTTCGATTTCTTTGAGTGTTTCGAATTTTTTTCATAAAAGGGTGCATTCTTATGTTTCCGGAGACGTAGATTTTGAAAACGACCTCCATTTTAAGATTAGGCCACTGTGTTTTATCATCTCGATTAATTAGGCTTAATTTTGGATTTTTTTTAAAAAGTAAGGCTCCGGCATCATAAAAGTAGAACTTTAAATTAGATAAATTCGAAAAACTTGAATAAGTCAAAACGCAGTGATGTAATATTAAAATGGAAATCATTTTCAAAATCTACGACTCCGGAAACATGAGAATACACTCTTTTATGATAAAAATTCGAAACACTTAAATAAGTGGAAACGCAGTGGCGTAATATTAAAATGGAGATTATTTTCAAAATCTACAACTCCGGAAACATATGAATACACTCTTTTATGATAAAAATTCGAAATACTTAAAGAAATCGAAAGGCGGTGGTCTAATCTTAAAATGGAGGTCGTTTTCAAAATATACGTCTCCGGAAACATAAGAATGCACCCTTTTATGAAAAAAATTCGAAACATTAAATAAATCGAAACGCGGTGACCTAATCTTTAAATGGAGGTCGTTTTCAAAATCTATGACTCCGGAAACATAAGAATATGACCTTTTATGAAAAAAATTCAAAACACCTAAAGAAATCAAAACGCGCTGGCCTAATCTTAAAATGGAGGTCGTTTTCAAAATCTACGGCTCCGGAAACATAAGAATACACCCTCATATGAAAAAAATCCAAAAAACTGAAAGAAATCGAAACGTGGTGGCCTAATCTTAAAATGGAGGTCGTTTTCAAAATATACGTCTCCGGAAACATAAGAATGCACCCTTTTATGAGAAAATTCGAAACATTAAATAAATCGAAACGCGGTGACCTAATCTTAAAATAGAGGTCGTTTTCAAAATCTATGACTCCGGAAACATAAGAATATGACCTTTTATGAAAAAAATTCAAAACACCTAAAGAAATCAAAACGCGCTGGCCTAATCTTAAAATGGAGGTCGTTTTCAAAATCTACGACTCCGGAAACATAAGAATACACCCTCATATGAAAAAAATCCAAAAAACTGAAAGAAATCGAAACGTGGTGGCCTAATCTTAAAATGGAGGTCGTTTTCAAAATCTACGTCTCCGGAAACATAAGAATGCACCCTTTTATGAAAAAAAATTCGAAACACTCAAAGAAATCGAAACACAGTGGCCTAATCTTAAAATAGAGGTCATTTTCAAAATCTACGGCTCTGGAAACATAAGAATGCACCCTTGTATCGAATAAATCAAATAAACTTAAATAAGCTGAAATGCAGTGGGGTAATCTTAAAATGGAGGTTACTTTAAAAACTAGGTACAGGACAGCATAATACTAGTCCCTAATAAATCCGAATAGGTACAATAAATCGATATCCGTAAGTGAAAATTCTATTTAGGATAGCATAATAATAGACTTTCATATTGGAGGGGGGGAGGGGATGGCCATTATTTAAAAAAAAAAATTATAAAATTTACAAAAAATTAAAACATAAACTTGAAATGAAAACGGTTGAATTTGAATTGGAAAAAGTTTAATTTGAAATGGAAATGGTTGAATTAGACTTGGAAAAAGTTTAATTTGATTTGGAAAAGGTTGAATTTGACTTGAAAAAGGTTGAATTTGACTTGGAAATAATTGAAAAGGACATAGAAATATTACACTGAAAAAATCTAAAATGTTAAAATAAATGGATATGCAACCGCTTTATCAATTTTTTTTTTTTTGTATTTTTCAAACACTATGCCTTCAATAATATAGTAAGTGGCCTTCATTTCGAAAAAAATCAAAAATTGACAAAAATTTGAAAGTTGAATTTGTAATGGAAAAGGTTGAATTTGGCTTGGGAAAGGTTGAATTTGATTTGGAAAAGGTTGAAATTGACTTGGAAATGCTATAAACACAGAACAACTCTCAGAATCCATATACTATATGATCGATGTGACTTTACCATCTGTCAATCAGAAATGACACTTATAATTAGTACGGGAAATTCAATTTATGTCTTTTATTTATTTATTTTTTATTATTAAAAATATATATATATATATGTTACAGGTTATGCTCAAGGGTACAATCTGTTACACCGGGATGAATCAAATCTTACCTATATGCCTGAAGGCATGGAGTCAATGTCATTTTTCAGGGAGCAGTGACTACTTTTTAATTCAAATATTGTTTAATATGTTGTATATATATATAGATTATGTATACGTTCACAAACATATGTACATGTATGTATTATATATATGAAACCAAAAAATTAAATTTTTTTTTTTCAGTATAATGCTGCTTTAAGATTTATAAGAAGTAAATAGATAGGATTATCAGAGAGTCTAATATTTTGCATGTGTTACTTTGAGTAATAGCCTTAAATAGACAAATATTCATTGTTTATATGTATAAATAAAAATTTTAATAAATAATAATTATAAATTTTCTTTAATTATCAATAGCTACATATGTCCCTTGTTAATCTAGAATAGGTAGATTAATTTATATTTATTTTATTTATTAGAAGTTCTAAGAAATGATGTGGCTATTCACAATGGTTATTGGATTCTATAATCACTTTTGTTTTCCCTCGATGGATCCATAGATGATAAAATTAAACAGCCAATTTTACTGAATCTATTTATCTATTTGAATCTATATGTCCTTACTATATTTATGTAATTTTCGGAATCGTTTATGTTCCAAGTTTGTTTGAAAATAATTGATTTAACGATTTCCAAGAGTGTCTGCTGTATATGCCATCAAAGATTCATATTTTGATTTGTTCATTTATCTTTGATTTGTCTACTTATGGTTAAAGAGTTCAGTTATTAAATATTGGCATTGGACTACTAAAATCCTGGCTTGTACACTTATTGTTGCTTATTCCTTCAGTAACATTGAAGCTATTAATGAAATTTTCAATTTTATTTATATCAAAATTTCTTGAATAAGTTCTCGAGGTTTCTTAAAAGATGACACAACCAGTTCTATATTCCTTTCATTTGGATGGCAATGCAATTTCCCAAGAACTAGTGTTGCTAATCTTAGACTTCAGTGTAAGTTCATCACAGTGCATACATTTGTTTTTTCAGAGTACATAAAAATCTTGTTGAGACTTAATGGTGAACATACTGTGTCCAATATGGCGTTTAGAGACTGGTAAAATGATTTTAATCTTGGAGATATCGTTATTTTTGCACACAATAAAAAATTAAAGACGAAGAATTGAATCGGTGAGTGCAGAAACTACTTCAGTAAAAAAAAAAAAAAATGCTAAAAATCGTTTTCGATGAAAACTAAGTTTAGAAAGGCAACATGCCTTATTGGTCCAGTGACACTGACAAAAGTCTTCTTATCCATATCGAAAAGTAAAGTCGAAATTCACAAAAACCATATTTGAAAATTAACCTAAGTCAAAAATACACTTCATATATTTACAATAAACCAACAATATATATAAGTATACATAAATCATATTTGTGAATATTAAAACAACAATGTGATTTGTTTTGTTGAATATCAATATCCACAGAAAATATATATTATTAACAGTCAAGAAACTAGTATTTTTAATTTTAATTAAAATTTTATTTGTTTGATTATTATTTATTCATTTTCGTAATCGATTCATTCCATTGAACTATTTTTTAAACAATTTGATACTTGGCAATAGAGAAAACCCCTTTTACTCAGGCCGCTGCGACTCAGACACATTGGCTGTTCCGTACCTGTGACTGCCACAGTTGGGCCTTATCGGTACTCCACTGCTCCACCGTTCCGCTATCACAGTTGGACCTTATTGGTACTCTACTGCTCCACCGTTCCGCTATTACAATTGGGCCTTATCGGTACTACACTGCTCCAATATATTTTTATTTATTGGAGAAAAATTAAAATTTCCTACATATTTTTCAAGAGAAATATTTATATATTGATTATTTTACTATAAAAATCGAAAATTGGCATAAAAAGTAAGTAAAATTAGATTTGATTTATTCATAAATTGATGAATTAATTTATAATGGGTAAACATAATTAAGTATAAAACCGTAAAGACATAATTTAATTGATTTATATTTCAAGAGAAAAAATATATACAACAGAAATATAAACATTAGGTAATATACAAATTGAAAAAAATAAAAAGAAGCAAGAACAATTACTAAATAAATAAAAGCCTATATAAAGTTAGAAAATATACATACAACACTACTTCAAAAATATAATTTTTTATATAAAAATATATTAAATTTTAAGGGTATATAATTCAATCTAATTTAAAAAATAGATAATAAATATGATAATATTTCCTGAATTAATGTAAATTCTATCATTCAGAACCTGAATAATGTAAGCAATAAAAAAGAGAAAAATATTAACATGAATTAAATAGTTGAAACATATAATATTCCTTATAAAAATAATGCTAGAATAATTATTTTAACTAAAATTAATATTCCAAATAATTTAATTAACTTATTCTCACTTGGAGAAAATTTTATTTTAAATGTTATTAAAATAGACAAAGACATTATTCATTTAATAGCTGATTTCTCTATGTTAATCATCTCTACATTTAGCGCGTGTGCACTGCACCGCCGTTGCTTGGCAACCTGATACATTAAGACTTTGATAAAAAAATAGTCACGAGTTCGCGTCCCGGTGCCCGGAGGAGTTTATAAATCCCTGCCCACACTCCCTGGCCCGAGAAAACCCCGTATAGCCTTAAAGGGGAGGACAAACAAAAAAAAAAAAAAAAGTTATAAGAAAAGTCGGTACCGGGGGCACTATCTTAAATCCGACATTATTTTCATAGAATGCGCTCCCCAAATCCTAATTATCGACTCTTATACCGATTAAATCCTAAAAGTTACAAAAAGTCAGTGCCCGGGGGCCCTATCTCAAATCCGACATTTTTTTCGTAAAAAGTGCCTCCAAAACCTAATAGTCCACCCATATATCGTTTAAATCAGAAAAGTTACAAAAAGTCGGTTCCCGGGGGCACTATATCAAATCCGACATTTTTTTCGTAAAAAGTGCCTCCAAAACCTAATAGTCCACCCATATATCGTTTAAATCAGAAAAGTTACAAAAAGTCGGTTCCCGGGGGCACTATATCAAATCCGACATTATTTTCACAAAAAGCACCGCCCTTAACCTATTAGTCGACCCTGATATTAATTAAATCTGAAAAGTTACAAAATGTTGGTGCCCGGGGGCACTATCTAAAATCCGACATTTTCATAGAAAGCGCCCCTAAATCCTAATTATCGACTCTGATATCGATTAAATCATAAACGCTATAAAAAGTCGGTGACGGAGGAACTATCTAAACTCCAACATTATTTTCATAAAAATCGCCCGCCAAATGTTTTAATAATGGAATAAACTGGGAAGGATGACCATTCTTCCCATTTCAAGGTCAATGGCATATGAACCTTCTTGGCTCGCAAGCTATTTTATTGTTCTTCACTTCTGAAAACAGGTTAAACGGAAAGTAGAGTATCAATATGATAAGGAGTTGATCGTCACTCGAACTCTTCATATTATATCAACGGTCAACCATCTCTACATCATTAGAGTTTTAGTAATCGTACATCATATACAATTAGACTATTTGCAGTCTGTTCCATGATTTCTCTTTGTTTCCTGGTTTGAAAAATTTAATTCCGGAAATTCATAACACCAAGGAAAAGTACCCCACCCAAAACTCCATCAAAAATTGTCCTATTCAAAAATTTTGATTTTTCACTGAAATATTATAAAAACTCGCAATTTTTGCCATGAAATCTGAGCACCCTCTATAAACTTTATTAAATGAGAAAACTATATCAACATCTTTACTTCATATAAATAAGCAATACTTCATTTTTGGAATCTCTTTGGAAACGGTTTGTTATTTGTCAGACGTGCTGTCAAGATTCCCGCTTGTGAAGGGTTTCTTTTGAAGTTAGTTTTCCGTCTTTGAATAATGGATGTAATAGAAAATAATATGAAGTCATTTAATTTCGGGGCTACGTCTCGTCTCAAGGATGGTATTGTGCTCAAGTAGGTATTTGCACAGTAGGCAACAACACCTTCTGATTCTTTACATATCTAAAAGAAACTCATGTGTTCAGTAATTAATATATATCAAGATATCTTTAGATTAAAATTACAATTACAATAATTAGGGATAGTTAATAACTTTTGAACCTTGAGGCATGACCTGGGTTGATAATTTTATAAGCCTAACTTTTTTGTTCTTAACCATTCTTGGTGTTATCTAATTCATTCTTATCAAAACATTAATAAAATGCCCTGTATTATGTTTAATCCTTGATAGTTATTGTATTAGTTTTTGAGCAGTTGTAGGGAAGCTTTACATTTAGGCATGTTTTGATGAATTAAAAAATTGATTGTTGGTACATATTATCACTTTAATATCAAACAACACTATATATATATATATATATATATGTATCCATTTCATGGATCTCAGGGGTAATGGATTTTGACAAATAAGGTGTCAAACGAAATTAAATTTCTTAGAGAAGTAACAAATTACAATTTCGACCCTCAAATTCATAATACAGCATTCGTAAGTCATTGAAAAAGAAAAATATCGTAAACTCATACATTCATAAGTTGGCAGATCGAAATGGGACAAATCTTGTTTTAAAGATTTTGGCACGGACATTAAAACCTGTTAGTGTTCCTCAGAAAAATATTGTGTTCTGTGTTGCTAAGCCCTAAAATTTAGTATTTTTGAGGAAAACTGCTATTCTTGCCTAAAACCTCCTATGTTCCACATGTTTGATTTTAAAAAATAGTTATTTATTATAGTTTATAGCTAACTGAAATCTATTGAAATGGTAAATGAAGAAGTATAGTTCTGAGTCCCCTTAGATACCTCAGATAGGGAGATACTTTTTGATGCTTTTAATTTAAAAACTCATATTTTGGAAATTTCACAAATTGTTTGATATAAGTTAGTTAGAAACTTTGTTATTCTTAATATAAAAAAACAAGCAGGTTATTTATACATAAAATAAACTGTAATCTATTAAAGCTAATTGATGCCCTGATTTTAACTGAAAAGGAGATAGAATTTGCATTAATGGAAGCTGTAAAACAAATAATTTTAATATGTTTGCTGCCTGCAAGTTATCTCATAGGTCGAAGTTATCTTGAAGGTACCAACTACGAGTGAATTCGTAGAATGTCTTTGTTTAACCTATGCCATATATGATCAAACTCGTAGTATCTTCATGTTCTTTAATGGGCCAGGCAATTTCATTGGCTTTGGGAATGGGCGTGGTGGAACAGTTTTTGAAAATGTCGCTTGGCTGTTAACATGTTGATTTTTATTAAATAAATAAAAATTGCGTATATTGATGTATGTTTAATTTACAATCAACTAATATAAGTAGATTAGTATTATGTTTGTGTTTTTTGCCTTCTTTTTGTTACCATTAGAATTGAGTTAAAATTATCTTAAATTTATGCATTGTACTAAAAATTATTGTTATAGAAGGTTGTGTCATTTGTTCTAGTAAATGTTTATAATAATATTTCATTAGTAAGTTTGAAGAAAGAAGAAAGTTATATTTATTTAATCCAAACTGTTTTTTTAGGGATTTGGTGAAAAATAATGCAGCAGAATTCACGTTAGACGTTTCTGAAGGCATAAAAGATGAACTTGATGATTTTGAGATGAGTCCATTTGATTATGAAGACTTCAGTTCATTTAATAATAGCAATGATTATAAAGAAGCACTGGGTGATCTATCAAAAATTCAATTTGATCAATTAAAGAAAAAAATGACAAATGTTGTTGATGATGGAGATATTAAAAAAATGGTAAGAATGCCATTTGTGTATTGGTGGTTCTGTTTTAGATATATATTGCTATCTTTCAATAATTTATAGACAAATTAAGTTCACTTGTTGGACTCAGCAATCACAAAATTGTATTGTCACCTTTTAAGTGCAGTACGAGTTGAATTGAGTGAAATCGTTGCATGGATGCTGCAGGGTGAAGCCATGAGCTCTATAAAATAATTCATATGCTACTTAATCGAGAGCAAAACCTGGAGATTTAGGAAATTATTTTTTTACATTAACATTTTTGTGTTGGGCCCACTGCTTTACCGATTATTTTTTAAATGTCATACCTGGGTTACAATGTTGAATTGAGCATTGGAATTGCACATACTAAGATTTTTCCATACACTTATTAATAAAAATAAAGTCAATGATTTAATTTAATGATAACCAGAATTTTCTCGGAATATAAATCTAACTGGCTTCCTGCTGTCCGTAATGGAGAATCTTTTCAAATTAGAAATTATTAGAATTTACAAACTTTAATAATTTCCTCAAAAATGGCTTTAACAATTTTAATTAAACTTGTTATATCAATGTAAAATCAAGTTGTCTTTGTAACATGCAGGTATCATTCTCATTACTATAATGTGACAGGACTTAAATGGTGAATTTTCAAAGTTCCTTCTGAAGTATTTTTAATTTTATATGTTTAAAATAATTAACTGCCACATTATAAATAGTATTATTAAATGTTTAAATACAAATTGTAAAAGAATTAGTAAATAATAACTAAAAAACTATTTTTTAAGAACTAAAAAAATAAATAAGAGTTAGCCAGATGAGACTGACAGTCTATGGACTAGAGTCTAATATTTAGACACTGGTATATTCTTGGAAAAAGCCGAGTTCGTCCAGCCTTTCTTATTTCTTCCTCTCCCTTCATTTAGACTATATAGCATAGAACTTTCCTCTTATTTATTGTTAATTTTTTATATTATATTTAATTTACATACAATTTTCAAAAAATATTTTCACATGAACTGTTGAGAGTCTACTAATTTATTTTTCTAATATGTTAAGAATAATAGATATTTCTTGAATTCACGTTAGACGTTTGGTGATATTGCCGATGAAATCCATATAAGGTAATGTGTTTGAACGCATAGAAAACTTTAGGTATCCAGGGTCTACAATAACCAGAAAAAAATGAAATTGAAGAAGAGATTAGGTGGGAAATGCTTGTTATTTTTCTGTGACAAAACTAACAAAGCTAGCATCTCTTGTCTCGGAACTTAAAAACTAGAATCTATTAAACCATTATCTTACCTACAGTTCTTTATGGATGCGAAACGTGGCCACTTAAATTAAAGGATGAACAATATCTTAAGATTTTTTAAAATAAAGTATTGTGTAGAATATTCTGACAGTAGAAGGGTGAGTTCACCGGAGAGTTTAGACGTCACACAATGCTGAATTGTGTGAACTTTATCCAGTTAATATAATTGAGGTGATTACATCTCAGCTAATCAAATGGGCTTGTAAAATTGTTGGGCTTCGTAACGTAAGAATTCCTAAAGGTTAATATTTGCCGTACTGAACGGTAAATGTCCGAGGGGTAGACCGAAGCAAAGGTGGGAAGATTGTGTTTTAAGCCGATCTGAAGGGACCGAGTTTGGACTGCGAATGGTGTTGGGAGATGTGTAATAAGCGTTAATGGTGCCGGCATCGAACCTTCGGGCTAAGCCTATTATTCTTATTCTTATCTCTTTTTGACTGCCAAATATTGTAATATTTTAAATTTAAAAAATTATGTTTCAACTTTTATAAAATATTATATTTGATGCTGAGGGCTTAGTGATTCAGTGTCAATAATCTGGGATTTAATAATCGACATCATTACATTTAATTATATATTTAAAATTGAAAACAAAATACATAAATTCATTTAATAAATAAAAAATAAAATAGTGATTATTGTTTTTCTCAATGAATTCTTGGTCCCTTTTCTTATACACTGGTACTAATACTGCTACTAGTGAGGAGAAATAGTCTGGTAAGTTGGCCCTATCGTGTTCCTTTTTGCCAACCCTCGCTATCTTGATATTGCCGCTGCTTACTTACCAGAGTCGGAATGTCATGATTTCATTTTCCTTGGTCCATTAAGAAATGAAAATTAACCGACCCACATGGGAATCTAACCCAGTGTTCGGAACTGGACACTTTGGAACCCACGTTCCAACATTCTTGGCCATTCCATCCTGTATTCTTATATACTGCTAGTTGATCATAGATGATACATGCTGGATGGAACTCTTAAGCTGGATATTATCAGTTGAAAGCTACTTCATTGGCCAACATCTGGGCAGGAACTCTGATCTATAACGCCTTGATTCTGCTGAAAGCTGGTCTTTGAATTGGCAGCCATAGTGTGGGTCATCTCACCACTATACCCTCCACTTCAACGCATTATTTTATTGAAACTTCAGATTAATGAAATCACAGCATTATATCTATAATATATTAATCTTATAGATATATACATACTAATATTAGTTAATTTTTCTAAAAATATCCACTTTTATCACAATCTTTAATATTAGAAGATATTGTATACAGTAGTAGAAGTAAATTGAAAGTGACTTATTGTCTGTACCATGTTTAAGTAACGAATGTGCAATGTTAAACAGGCTCACATTTGTTACTTTAATATGGTGTCAATGATATGGAAATTAATTGTTTTAAATGAATATGTTATACCATTTATGATTTTTACTTTCACTTCCCTGTATTTGAAAATACTATTTTCTTTTCATTGTAGGGTAGTAATTGAAAGTTATGTTTGTCCTGTACCACATTTTATAAATTTAAGTAGCCCGGAAGTAAAGAACACCATGTCCATTTTTGTATTTGTTGAGGGGAGCCAATTATCCATAACTTTGAGCTATTAAAATTTGTTTCTTAGTTACTAAATCCGTATTCTGGAGGTAAAGGGCACCATGTCACATTTTGTATTTGATCAGGGAGCCAATTATCCATAACTTTGAGATATTAAAATTTGTTTCTAAGTTACTAAATTATTTAATACAAAAAAATGTATAAAGGGACATGTACTTAATGTAATGGACGATTTATTTTGGATTATTTTTATTTTAGGATATGTATTTAGTCCTTAGTGTATGAAGTAAGTTTATGAGGAACAACAAATTTATTATAAACAACCTTAATCTTTGTCATTGAGTCTTTATATTTGTATTCCTAAAATTATTAAACAAGTTTTGATTTTTTTCTTTTTCATTTAATATCACAATATCATGTATTATTATTTTATAGGTTTTAAGAAGTGGAAGGGGAGAAGTAATTCCTTCTGATGCTGTAGTTTATTTTCATTATAAATGCCATTTAGAAATGCAAGATGTACCATTTGATTCTTCATATGAACGCAACAAGCCCTTGCGAATTCAAATGGGAATCGGAGCTTTGTATCCAGGTTTCGAATATAGCCTGTTGTCTATGAAGCTCAATGAACGTTCAATATTTCTAGTGAGTCCTAAATATGGTTTTGGTGAAATGGGCTGTCCTCCTAGAATCCCTCCGAGTAAGTCATTTTTTCCAGAATATATTCCAAACATAAATGTTTAGCTAGGATTTAACTTAATAATTATATATAAAGTTTAGTCAGAAGGCTACATAGATTGGAGATAAGTATAATGATATTTGAAAAATATTGTAACATCTCTCTTATATTTTACAAATAATAATAATATAACCTTGGAAGACCACTTTATACCATTGGGATACTTCCAAAATAAATAAGAGGTTGTTAAATAAAAAACCAAAAATTATAATAATATTAATATAATAAACTGAAATTTACTATTATTCTATCTCAGGTATGGATTACTGACAATTAGATCAACTCAGACAGACTATTATTATTTAGATAGATAGATAGAAAAATAACTTTATTCTGGGACACAGTCCCTTGAGAATAACAAAATTAAAAGATTACATCTGGCCAAAATAAAATCAATCGAAAAAAAGAAATAATGTAAAGAAAACATAAGGTAAACATTATATATACAAAACAAACGAAACTATATACAAAATAATTAATACTATGACAAGACACTTAAAGCTATTTGCACTGATAGATCAGTATACACTTTTAAGAAAATAATAAAGAATTAAAAAATAAAAATATATCAAATTCTCTATTAAAATCAGCTTTGTGTTTCTGTTGAGAATAACGTGCCTGATTAATATATAAATACATTATCATTTAGCATTGATATTTGACAATGAATGGCATGAAATAAATGTATGTTGTCGAATGGTTAGCAACTATCTGACTGTTTTTGGGATAGGAATTGGAATAGGAGGATTTTGAATGTGGATATGGATGGGGAATGTCGAATTTTGATAGGGAGGGAATTCCAGAAATTGACAGAGTGAACAATAAAGGAGTTTTGGAATGAGGCAGGTCTGTGAGAAGGCATGTAAAGGTAGGAAGGTCAAGATCTTGTGGACAGGGAATGGACTGAGGATTTGAACTGGAGAAAGTTGTAGGCGTAAGAAGGACGATGGTTGTTGATGATTTGGTAGAGGAACGTACCTAGGAAATATTATCTTCGGAAGGAGGGGAAAAGCCACTATAACTCAGCGCAGCAGTGAGAAACATGGGAGTATCTTGGGTCCCTGATCACAAATCTTACGCAGCTGTTATAAATAGTGTAAATAAAATTTGAGACCTTCAGGTTAGGTGTGACCACCTGCCGGTACCTGCACTCCATCGTATAGGCGTATTCCCTCTGTCTCGATCATAGGGATCTCAAGTAGACAACATGAGACATGTATTTCATGGCAGCACTACAATTAATGTGAGGTTGTGTAGCTGCGAACCCCTGCCGCAACTAACTGGATCTTGGTGTCCGCATCAAAATCTTCAAATTCCGATTTATTCCATATCGATCCACTGGCTTACCACCGATCCAGTATTGGAACCTAGCGAAATTTTTATATCGGCTTTATTCATTTTAGAAAGAAAAACAAAAGTGGATAATAGGATTTGCTAACCCTCCGTGAAGTTCTGAAGCCAACGTTATCCCATTCGTGGTATTTAAGCATGACAGGAGCTTATATTTGTTATAAACCGATTCCGAGCTTTACTGTAATAATATACATGGGGATATATTTAATTTTTAAAATTTCACACATTTATAACACACATATTTTATTTTATATTGTATTCATTTTAATATTATCAATTTTATCTTCTTTAAAATAAAACAATCTTAGTTCATATTATTTACCTAATTACCTGACAGGTTTGTTGGAAAGCAGAAAGAGCTTTTGTTTCGTTTGGAAAAAATCTGGTGGCGTAACACACAACTTTCACTTGCCGCTCAACTTAGGATAGAAATTATTTCCTGGCCATGTTGGGCCATTTTTTTTTATTCAAAAATATTTTAAAATTTTTGAATTGCATTTTTAACTGAGTTTAACTTGAAGATTACAGCTAACAAATAATAAATATTATTAAAATAATAAAATTCCTATTTATTATATCACCGGTTGATTATGGATTGTACTATTCGTTAATTATGGATTGTTCGATCCGTTGATTATGGATTGTACGACTATTAGTTATTAAACTAATATTTTCCATAGCAAAGTTTACTAAAACGGAATTAAAAGATTTACATTGTCTGTCGTAGACAGGTCAATAGTTGTCTCACTAATTGTAAGTGGATACTGTTAAAATATCACAAGAGGAAATTTCATCAAACTATTTAGTTATTTAATTTTCTAAAAGGTTACATGATGATTTTTCAGAATAAACCGACGATAGCTACCTAAATATTTAAATATAATATCAGATCTATGGTTATTAAGCTATAGTATATATATATATATATAAATGTATCTATGAAATATTTTTACTTTCATTTACCTACATATGTAATATATAGTAAGTGTAAGTATTGCGATCGTGAAAATTTTTAAATCTGAGTTTTCAACAGAAATACACGTTTTAAGTCTAAATAACCAAGTCCCGAAAAATGGTCTGTGTGTCTGGGAACACTAGCTCGAAAACGAAAAGTCGCACAAAACTGATAAAACATATTTAAGATAGATATATGCCTTAGATGTCCTAGCAACTTTTTCCTTAAAATCGGCTAACCAAAGTGCCACTTCATATCAACGCTGGAACACATTTTTACAATTTTCTCAAAAACGGCTCTAACGGAATTGTTTAAGGGCAGTTATGGATTTTCAGGTAATCTGGGAGATATGGTTATTCCAGGAGAGGTTCTGGTCAAAGGTTATTCCTAGGTTTTTGACTGTAGGGAAAAAATGGATGGGACTATTATTGAGATTAAGTAGAGGAAAGTAAGGTAGGGAGCTAATGAGATGTCTGGACCCAATGGGAATAGCCTTGGTTTTATCTGCATTCAGCTTTAATTCATTTATTTCTGCCCATCTGTTGTATAGATGTATCTATGAAATATTTTTATATTTCTCTTCTATTTTCATACAATTACAACATTATATGAAATAGTTGTGGATACTGTTGGAATATCACCAAGGGAAGATTCATCAAATTATTCACTAATTTAATTTTTTTTAAATTTATATTACAATATTTCAGAATAAACGGACCAGATCTAGAATTATTAAACTACAGTATATGTATTTAAGGTTATAGACATATGCTTTATACATCCATGAAATGATTTTATATTTTACTTCTTCTTTCACACAAGTACAATAAAATAGTTTTTTAAACAATGTCATTCCCTTGATTAGGTGGATTTTAAATATTTTTTTCAAAATTAACAATATTTTAAAAGTTTACATTTAGTTAGTAAATTTAATTTAATTTCCTTGAAAACATATGATTTACATTAAATGTTATTAGTTTTCTAAAATTGTTATTTATAATTTTTTGCCACTCTTTGTTACCTTTTACAACTTTCTATATTAGATATTGTTTTTTCTAAAATTCTCTGCTTTCCAACGATACATTATACTTATACCTTCTGACTAGTATATCCAGAGATTCATTTTCGACCTGGATAAGCATTTTTATTTTTTTCTCCTTTATTCAATTATCAAATTCTTTCAGAAGCTATATTTAGCATTTTTCATAACTCTTAATAATGAGAGATAGTTAATTATTAAATTTACCATATTAAAGGTACTTTAGAGGAAGACGCATATGAACATTGGACATTTAAGCCCTGTAAAGTGACATCAATGGGGATAAGACTTAAATGATATTAAAGAACACTTAATTATACAATGATATACAGAATTTATTTAAAATCGTTATAGCCGTTTTTGAGAAAATTGTAAATAATTGTTTCAGCGTTGATATAAAGTGGAACTTCCGGTTAGCCGATTTTAAGGAAAAAGTTGCTGTCACATCTAAGGCATATATCTATCTTAAATACGTAATATCAGTTTCATACGACTTTTTGTTTTCGTTGTTCATATACAAAACGTGTATTGCCGTTGAAAACTCAGATTCAAACATTTTCATAATCACAATACTTTCCCTTACTATATATTATATATATATATATAGGTAAGTGAAAGTAAAAAGTAATGAACTGTTTTGTCTTTGCCTATTTATATAATGGTGTTAAATATTAATATTTATCGTAACTTTATTTTTATGGTTATTCTGTTCTAGTTTTCAAAATCTTAATTTTTTTTTTTCTAGATGCTACTCTGCTTTTAGAAATTGAACTTCTCAAAATCTTTGACAGTAATGAAATCAACGCTATTGATGCACCGTTAGAAGAAAAAGATTCCTTTTCGAAAGTTTTCTCTCGAGCAAAGGAGTATCTTGCTATTGCTAATAATCATCATGTCAAAGGAGAACTTATTCCTGCCATTAATAAGTAATTTTATTGAAAGTTTTTCTGGATTAAAACTTCCAAATAAATAAATGAAATTATAACGTTCATGTATTTATTTATTTGTTTTTTAGGTTTAAGAAAGCGGAAAATATTCTTCTGTCATGTAAAATGTGCTCTGATGAAGAAGAAAATCTTTGTAGAAAGCTACTTTTTAAAATATACCTTAATATGTGTGTATGTTATAATAATCCAAAGTTGAATTCACCTGAGAGAGTTTGTATTGCAGCCAGGGAAGCCTTGTACATCTACCCAGAAAAGGCTAGACAATCTGCAAAGCTTTATTTCCAGTAATATATATCTTTATTATTATTATTTCCTTGTATATTATTCATTGTAGTAGTCCAAGAGAGTTTAAAAATTATTTAATTTACATAAGGAGTTAAATGTATATTGTAAGCACATTTCACAGCACTACTTACAAGGGGAGATATAGACGTGGGGTCATTGATTTCAACGAAACCTTCTTTTGGTGATACTAGGTCGAAAAATATTAGACCTATGTCCGAGGGTTCTTACTAATGGGTCTTAGAAAGCTGGGACAAATTAATTTATAAAATTTGATTATTTTTTGTAATATTGTTTTCTGACTTGGCTCTGCATGGATGTATATGTTATTTTACACCAATCGATTTGCTTTTTTGTGTAAAATAAAAAAACATGTTGCTAATTGTGTTAAACTAATTCTTATATTTAATAAATTACTAAAACCCATAGACGCTTCCAGTAAAGTAGGTCAAGTAAATTTTTGTTATGAAAAAACTATTGAAATTTGTTTTTAGGTTTCATTAAACTCTTAAATACAAGTTTGTTTTGAAATAAAAAAATCTGGTGTGTCCACTCACATGACTTTCCTACCTATTTCAGAAAAGTTTTTATATCTTTGCATTGAAAATTGATCAAAGAAAAGATTTGAGTTCGATTTATTTGATAAACTAAACCAATATAATGCCCTCTAATATTGCTGATCAAAACTTTTTGCCATAGCCTAATTTTATCAAACAATAATTTCTGTTAAAAATAGAGGAAATAATGAAGCTTATGTGATGCTGGCAACAGATTTTCTTACTTTTACTTAGTTGTATTTTTTCTCTCATTCACCCCTTTATGACACCAGGATATGAACCCGTAATCTTACATTGGAAATTAAATAGCTGTAACTTCGTTAATAGTTATCCAAAATGAACGATTTTTATATAGTTCTGTAGGGAATTTGATTACCTTAAAAAAAAAAAAACAGGCTAAACGGTGTTGTTGTTTTTTCAGACTTATGGGACTCTGATGAAACGTATAGATCCTTCGAAAACGGATACCGGAAATTTGACCCAATCGCAATACTTTCCTTACCTAGTATAGGTAGGAAAATAACAAATTAAAACATGTGTAGAAAATAGAATAAGCTGTATCATCGCCAATACTGGTTCAATTTCAATGATTTTCTTTTTGATTTATTGGTAATTTAATTACCTTTCAAAAGTTTTATTATAAATTTTACCATAAAATATATACTTACAGGTCCGCCCTAGTGCAATGTCAGCACTGACTCATTTCCTTTCATTATCCTTATAAATACGATCTCTTAGCGTGAGACAATTCACTATTCAGAATTCAGAGTCATTATTAGTTGGGAAGTAGACTAGTTATTATTTTAGATAGAAATTAGACCACTTATATTATATTTGCTGTCATTTTTCAATAAAGTTTCTTTTTAAAAAGTCATTTAGCGTTGAAGATTATTTAATTATATACTTAGCGAATTAGGCCCCAAAACATTTTTCTTTTCTTTTTAACTTTTTTTTCCTGAATTTTCTCGGGAAATTAGTCCATGTGCGAAAATTGTAAGGACAATTATTAGAATATTATAGAAAAGTTTCATCAAAATCGTTAGAGCTGTTTTTGCACTACAGTCAATAGAAAAGCATGTTTTTCATTTATTGTGCAACAGCTTTTGCTCATGGAGCACCTAATTTGTATCACAGGCATCAGTAGTCAAAACCTTAAAAATAAAAAAAGAAGCAACAAAATCGGTTCACCAGTTCCCGCGAAAATCTTGGCACAGACAGACCAATATTTTTCATTCAAGAAAAATTTTCACATGAATTTTTTACTAAATTCAAGTTTAAAAATTAAATTATTGGGACTCGACTTGGCTTTTAAGCATTTCTTAGGAATAAAATATCACCGAGTACCTGGTGTTTGAATGACCTTATTACCTTATTACTTGGTGTTTGAGTGAAATTTGTTACTACACAAGCAACAACACTTAGTGATTTTTCTTAATCACCAACAATTAGGATAAGGATATCTTAATTTGTTTTGATTTATTTACTTTATTTATAAATTGCTTCTTTTGTAGTATGGGAAAAGCACAGTTGACATTTCAGGACTTTGATAGAGCTAGTAACCACTTCAAGAAAGCATTATCCATTGAACCAAATAACAAGGATATCAAGGAATTTATTACAGAAGTAAGTAATTTATAATATATTGCTATTTATCGATAGTGAAGTCATGTGTACCATGTTTTGTTTATTATTTTGCATGCTGTATATGAAAACATTTTCTATATAAATAAAAAATAGACAGCATCAGAAGATAACTTTATTTAAATGAAAATATTGCTATATTACTGAACGATAGTAACTGAAAAAAAAATATATCACAAATTATGCTATGGATCCTTCTCTAATTGAGGAGAAACTGATTCTATGAAGTAGAAGAAATCTACTAAACCATTCCATATAGTGGCCTAAATGCCCAACTTTTATAGCGTACTGCAAAATTAATGAAACACTTTCTGACTGTTTATTCCCTTTATGTAAAAAGGGACAATAGTTTAAGTTAACACTCTATTTTGTTATTGAAAATTTAAAAATATTCCAAAAATTCTTCAGGTGTTTTTTCTCAAAAATAATAAGACGTTCACAGCTATTACAGCGTGGCGACCGACCTGGAAAAGTCAAGGAATTTTCAAAACCGGGAGAAGTCAGAGAAAAATTGCTAAAGTCAAGGAATTTTTTAAATTCGAAAATTTTCTTTTTAAATTGGAATTAATACACAGTGGATTAATATAACGACCTTAAGAGACCTGATAAATTTTGTTGTTATAATGTATAATTGTTATAGATGACCGGACCATCGTCATGTTTATATCGTTGAATAACCTATATCTATCCACTTGTCACTGTCAATAACGGCTCTGGCCGTTATATTGTAATTAAACAAGGGTAATGAATAAAATGTAAGCAAAATGGAGTTAAAACAGTGCTTTTTAAAAAAGAAAAAATATAACAATACTATTCACTATCTTTAAGTATAGATCTATTCGTTGGTTAACTAAAAGAGAACGTTGGTAGCTTTACATAATTCATGCTTAGGTAGAGTAGTAATATGCGAATGAGCAAAATGTCCTTGGACCGCTCGGACTTTAAAATGCATTTTGGTCCTTAATTTTGTGAATCTACTAGAAAAATACGATTCCGATTCTCGGAGCTTTAACAGCCGTTACGTATTAGCTAGATATATTATGTATATCTTCTTACGTATTAGCGTGTCTGTATGAGGTACATACAAAACTTAACTCTCTTTCAAATTTATTATATTGAATTTATTCGATACATGCATAGATTATGAGTTTTGGGAGAAAACCGACAAAAATTTCTTGTGAAAAATGCAAACAGTCAATATTCTCTTACTGCTCATCCGTTAGCCCTACGTCTAAAATCTATGCATAAAATTGATAGTAAATTTTATCTTCTTTATTGTTTTATATAATAATAATTTCGATAAAATGCACAGTTTCGGAATTATTCGTTCTCAAAAATGTGCCTTTAGAACTAAATTATCAACCTTATTTCATCTAAATACTATGTCACCTGATTAACATTTGTGCACTACATTATGATCATGTAAAATTAATTATAACAACAAATTTGGAACACCCATCTCCTTCCTCCCCAGTCAATGGTGTCCCACTTTATCAATGTTAAAATTTGGTCACCTTACTTTATATCATGGTCGTCTTAAAAGTTTAGTGAGAGGCAATACTACAGCAGTTATTTTAATTAAGGCCTGAGATATTTTACTATAGAGTCATTAGCAGAGAAACTAGTAAAATGGAAGAAATATAATTCAACTTTCTTATGATGACAGGCTAAATAATCTGGAACTCATGATAAAACCGACCATGTCAGTTGAGCTTAATAAAATAGAAAACAGAAAAAACCGTCTGCCAAGAAAGGTCATTATAGCTTCCTCACCGTTTTCATTGGCTGAAAAATATCTATATTACAAGGTCTAAAATTTTTGCATGAGAATAAAATCTTTAAAAAAAGCCGTTTTTGGAAATTCAGTAATCCCTCAAAATATATGGGTTTGATATCCACGATTTTTGTTCATCAGCGAATACTAAAATGTGAAAAAGATCTGCAAAAGTAGATTGCATATTTGCTGATTTGGGATGAAAAAAATAAATCCAGTGCGTACTGAACATGAATATCACTAATGTTAGTGCAAAAGATCGTATGTAAACATTGAGTGTTTTACAGGAAAGCAGAAAAACTACTTGTTTCGTTATGATTTATTAGTATAATTTCATCATTTATTGCCCTCTGATATTTTTCATCATAGCAGAATGCTTATATCAGTTCCAGAATACAAAATTTCACCCTTAGCACAAATAGAATTAAAAGTTGAAAATGTTTACATACTACCTTTTGCACTAACAGTAGTAATATGTACTTACCATGTTTTCATGCCAAAAATGGATGGTACAAAACATCCATAAGAAAAACTAAACTTTTTGTTTTTTCAGAGTTAACGAGACCAATATTTTTCTTCGATCAGAACAAAACTATTTAAGCTGGAATTTAAAAATATATGTAAAAATCACACAGAAACTCGATACCATGACGAGCTAGTTGATCTTCAATAGAAATAAACACAATCACAAATAAAAATATTCTTAAAAATAAAAATAATTAATTTAATTATTTAAAAATAAAAATTAATTTAAATTTATTGAAAATTACACAAAATCTAAATAACGGCAGTAAGTATCATGGCAGTAATGTTTGGAATCGACGAAACAATACAGTTAACTCTGAATAAAACCTAAAATTTTATAATCCCATAAAAATATCGTCTTAACCTATCTTCAACTCCATATGATCAGTGCCTTTCACATTTCACTGCCATTGTATTGTTAACGATTATTTATATTAATTTTAATTATTAAATAGAATTCAATGAAATTCATACTAGGTAATTTCTATACTATTCTCCAAAATTCCTCCAAGTTTGGGTCAAATTGATCCCGCAGTTTTCTAACTATAGGCTATTCAAATAATACGTTTACTGATCCGAAAGCAAAAGTATTTTTTTAGTAGTGGATAGAATTTGATAAAATTCATACCTACTTGATTATCTGTTTACCAATCCCTAACTTCACTCCAAATATGAGCCAAATTGAACATACGGTTTTAGAGATATAGACGTATCAAGGAAAACGCGTTTGCTCATATATAAGAGAAATTAGTGGACAGAATTCAATAAAATTGACATTACATAATTTTTTCACCACTGCCTACCTTTTATCCAACTTTGAGCCAAATCGTTAGAGCCCTTTCTGAAATATTGGCATATCTAAAAAAGTACGTTTGCGTAAGTGGAAGTGCTGGATGGAATTTAAAAAATTGATATGGAACCATCTAGGCATCAACCCGCACAATCCCTGAAATTTTCATGAAAATCGGATGAAAGGTACTAGGTGATATGCCCGTCACATCAATTTGACTACAGACACCAAACCAAATTTGATCCTTGATGTCTGAAACGTAAAATGTGAGTGAAAATTTTCGATTCTGAGCACAAAATTTTTTTAACCTCAAAACACAATGCTTCTCTAATGAGGAAGCAATATGAGAACCTAAGAAGACATTTAGGCAAAGAAAGTGAAAAAATAAAAGAAGACATAAGGGGGTTAATCATCACTATAAGTACCCATGAGAAAAGGATGAAGGTTTTAAGTAATAGGACTAACATCCTAGAGACGAACATGCCTACAGAGGTTACGAATATATGAGTTCATGATGGCCGAGTGTGTTGTAGCGTTGCCAGTCTAGCATCCTCGTGCCTTCAAATCCAGTCTGGGAGGGGTTGACTTTTATTTCATAGTGGAACCACAGAATGAAACCCGACCCTCCCCCGTATGCCAGAAATGGTGGGTGGGGGTTATCCAATAAAATAAAAAAGGTTACGAATATGGAATCAAGAACTCTTAACACGTAAAGCACGAACCCTGGTAGTCTTGAACATGTCTGTGACACTATTGTTACCAGTATTCATGCTTTGCATGTATGTATCTGTAACAATTCTGTGATAGCTTTAAAATTGCTATTGAATGAGCTTTGATTTCATATATCTTGCTACTAATATAATTTATATATAAGTATATAATTAAAAATGCATTGGTGTCAGTAGGGTGACTTTTTGACTCAGATGACTGCAATTAAAGTTTTATTATATAGGTAGATAGAAAGAAAATAACTTTATTCTAGGACTAAGTCCTTTAAGAATAACACAATCGTATACAAAGAAATGATTACTTCTGGCCTAAAGGTTTGATGCAATATATAAAATTAATTTAAAAAACAAAACAGGAAACATTAAGTAAATTAATTTTATACAAAACAAATAAAACTATGTACGAAACACTTAAAACTATATACAAAATCCATTGCAAATAGTAAAACAGTGTACATATTCACTTATAAGAAAAGAGAATAAATCTTTAGATAGATAGTTATTCTATCATTTTTTTTTCTTTTTTAGGTTGAAAGGAAAAGACAAAAATATCTTCAACATGAAAGGTTATCATATCAAAAGGTATTTCAATCACATAAACCTGTACCAAAAGATGTTGAACCCGTAAGTATTTTAGTATATTTAAGAATTTTCAGTACATCAATTTATTCTGCAATTCTTCTAAATTTGTATGTGATTGTAGAATATTATCTTTGAGAAAACCTTTCGTAAGCAGTTGGCAGAGATAATCAATAAAAATATTGATAAGGTACAGCTTCCAGTTGGTCTTACGTCAAAAGAAAAAAACCTATGTCGAGAGATTTCCGAACAATATGGCCTCCATTATGAGGAAATAATTATTGGTGGGAAAAAGACTGTGTATGTAACGGCAAAAGATTGAATGAGTTATCATTGTTTCTTTGAGGAAAAGATTTTTATGGACTTTGTTGTAAAGATGTATTAATTTTACAGAAAACTATATATTACTCTATAGGTTGTTATTGTTGTTTTATAAATATTTTTATTTTCTCTTAACTCTCTTTAAAATTAATTTAAATATATGTTTAGATAAATTCTTCTATTAATTTTATAGACTGGTAATATGGACTGGTCTTGGAGTTTCAAAAATTATTTTTTTAATATATTCGCCTTATTCAAGAAAATTAATTGTGTTACAAAGAGAGTTAATTTAATAGGAATTTGTGTATAATATATGATATTTGAATCTGTATATTTTATATTTTTGTACTTAAATCTAGAATTATAATGTATCACATTTAAAGTTTTTATTTTTGTAAAATATTATATTTTATATATAATAATGTAATTATATATCATATAATATCCTTTTAAATTATAGACCCATGTATTTAAGTTTAATGTTAACCATTTTATTTTACAATGATTAAAAATTAACCAAATCGTATTTGGAATAATAATTAATGCAGTGTCTTTTTTAATATCTTTATTTACATTCAGTTCATAATTTGAATAAATTAATGTTAAGTATTTTAAAATAACAAGCTATTAATTACCTTTCTTAATTATTGATTTTTAGCAAAACCTAAAAACACCTCTTCTAAACTGGAATCAGTGATTATATAATCGTTCACTATGTTTGATTGGTTCTTTATTCCTTCCATGATATTGAATAGACTCGATATTTTGTAAAAATTTGTTCTTATAAGATAATGGAGAAGTACCTAAAAGAAATATGTTATATTTAATATTAATAAACTTCCAGGCTCTCAAATATGACCATTTTATAAACAATTGATGATGATTGGACATCAATAATTGGCTAAGTGCCAAAACTTTTGGTAAAAAAATCTGAACAAAATTTTTTATTTATGACCTGTGGCATGATTTAGTTATTAAAATACAAATTAGTTTTAATTGGCCAACCCCTTGGAATGATCGATAATCTTCTTTCAAATACAGCATCATTTGACGCATATCCCATCCTTTTTTTTTACTGCTACCAAATTATTTTTAGATGGTTGTAGTGATAAAAGACTTTTATAATATTTAGGATAATCTCTTCCCTTAAAAGATTGCAGAATCTCCATGTTTCCATTTTATTAAAATTGTTCTTGTCTATCGAACACATAGATTCCTTTGATTTTTCTCTTTTTTTCCCCTACGGTTTCATTTCTAGAATAGTTTATATAAAAAAAAATGCATAAAAGAATTATTCTTTTATATCAGTATGATGTCACTTTTTCCATCTGGCAATGATAAACAAACCAAGATTTAAAAGTTTGACTATTACTTTTTAAAGAGATTGGACCATAATTTCTTGGTATTGATATTGATATCCAAGTAGTCGAATATTGGCAGCATAGTAAATGTTTTGAAGAACCACAGCAACTCTTTTGTAAAAACAAAAACCTACTTATACTTAGTTTAGCCATATTTGTTGCGCTATAACTAATAGAACCAGTTGAGTCTCAATGATCAAATTCATATCACACATTCCTATCATTAAGAGGTTTCAACTGTATCAATTTCATAATTTTGCATTCAGTCCCATTTGTGATATTCAAATTCAAATCTCGACTTTTGAGCATTTTTAAAAATTCATATTTAAAAAAAGATAAGGTTTTCAAGATTGAAATTTCATCAGAAAGTTGTACGATGATAGGACTACATATGAAAAAGAAAGATTAAAGTTAAAACTCTTTTCTTTATTACACTTTTACAGCCCTAAAAGTCACTTTTTTTTTTTGTTTATTTTCATGATTTTTTTTAAAACAACTTTCCTTTCTTTTTAGGTGATGTATTGATCAACAGAAATGTAGAAAAAATATTCTAAATTATTTTGGCTTTATATCTACAAAATAACCAGAGTTACAGACATTTTTCCAAAACATGTTTTAAGTTGAAAATAAAAACGGCCGCCAAGAAAAAACTGTGAGCCGCAATTTTTTTTTTTAACTATGATTTTGAACTCTCAAATAAATATGGAATAATTGGTAGAAAAATTATAAAAATCAAAAATGTCGAACAACAAAATTAATTCAAATTGGGTGATTTCAAATGGATTGACCCTGTACAGAATTTATTCAGAAGTGTTGATTTGAATTCACTGTGTACTGTAAAAGGATTGTGGCACAGGTTTTATTGCTGCAGTTATTTAGCAGTGCACATTATATTAAAATCAACTTTTCTGAATAAAACCTGTATATTGTGCATTCGGTTTTTATTTTGACAATTTACTATATTACTAAAAAACATTTTAAAAAACCTGTACCACTACAAACCATAAAGAAGCGTCTTGGGTTCAGTTCTTGTAAGACCAATGGTTGTGCAGGGAGATCAGGCTGGGACCACGCTCAACTGCCAGATTTTCCCCTTTAACTATTTTATTAAGAATGCCTGCTTATTTAAGAGGTTGGGTGTGTCCTAGGAGGATCTCCTGAACCCATGGTCAATCAACAGCTGGTGGAAAATTACTTTTCATCAACCGAACTCTAACCTCTGGGATCTTCAGCTTTGGAAGTCAATGCTTAACCACCAAACTAACTCCTACTCCAAACTACAAAATATTCCCTATAATAATTTTAGCTTAATTACCTAGCCGGCACGGCACATAACTCTCATGTCATTGTTACATTTATCTCACATTATAGATTGGTAGCAATGATATTAAAATCGCATTTTTGGGTCCAACTCAATTTTTTCATTTTTGGTAATTAACCCATTATTGGTGTTCATCTCATCAATTATTAACTTTGTAGTAGACATTCCCCGTTATTTACTCCTTTATGTGACATTGTGTGAGGGAATGAGAAGGAATATATAATATATAGGAATGTGAGGTTGCACTGTGAATTGTACTCAATTGTGCAGCGGACAAATTGTTCATTGGAAAGTCTCATATCGATAAACAATCGATGGAGAAGAAAAAAGGTCCGGTCAGGTAGCAGCAGCTGGAGAAAGACGAGAAGACGTCATCTGGGAAGAGAGGCTTACTACATTGAAGACTAAGAATATCAAGCCTACAGTTATAAGACTTTTATACATTAATTTATTACAGTTGTCAAAATAAATTGTTTTATTATACTGGAGTGAAAAGTCATTTTAGTTGTCCTATAGGCCTCACAACTGAAGAATAACAAACCAGTTGAGTCAATTCATTTAAAGTGTATTTACTAAGTCCCACTTTTCATAAATATATTCTTATTGTTTCTTCTCACTCAGTGTCACAAAAGTATTAGGTTCCCGAATCTCCAACAACAGTTAAACACCCTCAAAAAGTCTTTATCCAGTGCCGGGGTTTTTTTTTAATAACCATGAGTGTAAATAACCTAGTTCCCGATATTTACAATTCCTGCCGAAAACAAACTATTTACAATTAACCCCTTAACTGGTTATTTACATCTATTGCATTTCTCAATTTTTCTGAACAAAAAAATTAATCTTTCTTAGTTTTTAAGTTGTTTGAAAACTTTATATTATAATGTCTGTTTACACTTAAGTTTATGCCTCCCAGATCAGTATAATAAAAATCAAAATTAACTTCTGATAATTATTTATTGTATGTTTTGGGGAGTTTGTGTTCCCCCTCCCTCCTCCTCAGCAATCTAAAAAATATACCAATATATCCTCCACTCTAAAATGTCTAAATTATTCTCATCACCTATTTCCATTTGAAACCCGTAGGCTCCTAGTCACTTCCTTAATTTTTTCCCACTTTGACTATTGCTGTTCGGTAAATGGGGATCTCGAGGCAAAACTAAAACGTTTGATAAATTGCTTTGTACGATTCATCTTCGGGATGCCTCTGTTTCCCATTTTTATGCAGAATTGAAGTGGCTTTATCCTTCCTACCGTCGTAAATATTTCCTGGCATCCTTCCTCTTCCAAGTCATCCAATCCCACCGTCCTTCATACATCTCCGAGCTCCTTCAATTCAAATCCTCTGTTTGTTCCCGGTCTTCTGATTTATACATAAGGGCCCACCAAACCACTGTTTTCGACAGATCATTCATTATCCAATCCTCATCCCTTTAGAACTCCATCCCTTCTCTCATTTGTCAATCTAATACTCTTCCTACCTTTAAATCCCGCCTGTTCAATCATTTCTTATCCTTCCAGTCCTCATGAAATTGTAAATAGATACTAATGTAAATATGTATATAAATTATTAGTTCATTCTTCATTATTACTTACCCAATATTTTTTGGGGAGAGTAAAATGTAAGTAACTTTATTTTTTAACAAATTTTGCAAAATAGTTTATGTTTATTTGAAAAGTTGTGTTTATATGTTGTTTATATTTTAGTTGGTTATGACTGGTTTCTACATTGAACCTAAAATATATTGGTATATTTTTTTTTTAGATTACTCAGGAGAGGAACATATATTCCCCGAAACATATAATAAATAATTATCAGAAGTTAATTTTGATTTTTATTATACTGACCTGTAACGCATAAACTTAATTGCGAATAGACAAACAAATTAATAAAAAAGTATTTATGGATAAATCAAATATTAATGATAAATATAAAAAATATAATGATAAATCAAAATAATGTATACCTGATGTTCATCTTTCAGCTCACAATGCGGTGAAAATGTAGATTCTATAATATTCTTTAATGTTGTAATTTCATTATCTGTGTGAGGTGATAAGGTTATTTTTATCACATATCCTGTGCCATATAATCTTTTCAGATATTGAGTTTTTCCTATACACTCCATTTTCCCTCCAACCATGATGGTTAGTCTGTTACATACTGCTTCACATTCATCCATACTGTGAAGAAAATTTACAACTTCATAAATTTCAATATATAAAAAATTGAAGCATAAAGTTAATTAGAAAACAACAGGAATGAAAGTTTAGAAAAATTACAAAAAAAAATCAATTAAGGAAATTAAATTAAGAGTATCAAGCATACCATGAATCAGGAATGAGCAACTTATTTTTATCGGGCCAGCAACAAATTAAAAAGGAATTATTTCTTTTGAATAACTATTCTGCTCTCTAGGGTGACGATCAGAGTCCAGGTTGAAATAAAATAGAACTGTCTTTTTCATGCACCTTTAATTTGAGATTTCTGGAGATTTTTATAAATTTGAGAGACTTGAGACACACTGGCCCAGCTCTGTTAGCTGATCATTTATTGAGATTATTATGGAGCTTATGTATTTGAATCCACGTATATCCTGTTAAAATGAATTTGTTCACTATCATATATTTTGTTTTCTCTTCATTCACTTGTAAGCCAATCTGCTCTGCTTCTCTTATCAGAATCCAAGTGAGTCTCTCAATATCATCTTGATTGCTATTGATGACAGCTATACCATCTGTGAATGTTAGGATTTTGACAAGCACCCCAGCATCTTTGTATTATCTACTACATATAGATCAGATCTCTTTTCCATGTCAAAAACAACAGTTTTTAATTTTAAAATTCTTACTAGAACTTAAAAAGTCAGAAAAAGTGGGTGCTCTCAGAGAATTGTAATGGTACTTAAGAACCTTGTAAATAAACAAATAAAGTTAAATGTTAATAATTTGTTTTGGTGGGAATAGTAAATATTCTTCCGCTTATATATCAGGGAACTAGGTTATTTACACTCGTGATTATTAAAACAAAACCCCGGCACTGGATATAGACTTTTTGAGGGTGTTTAACTGTTGTTGGGAATTCGGGAATCTAACACCTTTTGTGACACTGAATGAGAAGAGACAATAAGAATATATAGATGAAATGTGGGACTTAGTAAACACACTTTGAATGAATTGACTCACCTGGTTTGTTATTTTTCAATTGTGAGGCCTATAGGATAACTAAATAAAATGACTTTTCACTCCTGTATAATAAAACAATTTATTTTACAACTGTAATAAATGAATATATAAAAGTCTTATAACTGTAGGCTTGATATTCTTAGTCTTCAATGTAGTAAGCCTCTCTTCCCAGATGACGTCTTCTCGTCTTCGTGTCCAGGCCTCAAGTGCTCTTCTCGGCGTCCTTCTGCCAGCTGTTGCTAGCTACCTGCTCTGACCTTTTTCCAGCGTCCTTCTTCATCAATTGTTTATCGATATGAGACATTTCCATGAATAATTTATCCACTGCATAATTGAGTACAATTCATTGTGTAACCTCACATTCCTATATATTATATATTCCTTCTCATTCCCTCACGCAATGTCACATGAAGGAGTAAATACTACTACAACCTCCAAGCAGTCGAAGAAGCAGGACCTAGATTCAGGGAGCTTCTGAGAATTATCTTCAGCTAGGTAGTGTTTCTAAGAAATCAGATTCTTACCAGCAGTGAATGAGGTGAGATACTTTTTCATATAACTTCATATTTAATTGAGTACTGGAGTAGGTAGGTCTGTCCGTTTGAGTCCCAAGGGACATTAGTGGCTAGTCAGGCCCCCAATGTGATTTTGTACATAGAAAACTCACTGCTTTTAATGTTTATACTAGTGTGGGACAGATGGAAAGAGGTGTGGGCTTCTCTGTTATAATTTTTGTGAACGGATTAGCTAACAGAAGTAAGTTGTGAATGTATTAAATAGGCGTGGGTAGATGAAATGATAAACAATTAATAGAGAAGCACCAGATCATTCACCATATGGCAGCTACTAGCACAGAGGAGAGAAGAACGTTCCACCAATATGGAGAAGCGCCCTGAGCATGAGCCATTGGTTAGACACAGCAAGTAGCAGGCACTGGTACCTACCCCAATCTGGAACCTGCCTTAAAGATGGAATGCACTGACTCCAACCTATAGAGGAAGAAATCAGTGGGCGGGGTGGCAGAATGGGCTGACGCGTTGTGCACAGCACCACCGTTGCCTGGCAACCTGATATATGACAAATGTGTTATAAATATAGCCACGAGTTCGCGTCCCGTTGCCAAGGCAAGGAGAGGATGCCAAAAACAAGAGCTAAGATGCTGGTTGCAGTTCCTGTGACGCCCAAAAAGCAGGAGGAGATATTAACATATGTAACAATCAGGAGCCAAGAATCTGAAAGTGCAACATAATTTTTAAACAGTTTCTGATAGAAGAACTTAAAGAGATCAGTGTGTAAGTAAGGATAATAAGAGACATCTAGGACAGGGCAGTCTTTGTTTGGATAGAGATCAAGCACGAAGGGTGCTGGATTGGGGTAAGGTTAAAGTGAAGAGAGTCAAGGCTCGCAGCAACAAGGAGATTCAGGGTCAAGACTAAATGGGTCCCAAAACTGCAATCAGGTGATCCTGGAGACCTATCTCTGGGCAAAACTGGAGACAGTCTACAGAGGAAAAGAATGGATGTGGTCCCTTTTCATAAGCCCCACCAGAAATAGGCTAACAAGAACCCGAGTCTTCAATAAGCGATATCATTCTTCTTGCTTAGCTTGCTGGAGAAGATAAGTGGAGGATAGTGGGCCCTTTCAATCAGGGAATACATTGTACCCCCTACTCTATCTCAGATGCCAAGGCTATGGTCACCACCAGAGCCTGCATGAAGGAAATTGCATATAGTTGCTGTGCTAGTACCAGGCACAAGGCGATGGAGGGTCCAGAGAGGAAGAAAAAGGTGGCTCCTAGTTATTGTAAGTAATTTAATTCTTATTTGTCTACAACTCAAATTAAGAACGTTTTTAAAACAGAGAAGTTTTTGTATTTATTTGGTATCAATTTTATTACTTTCATGCATCTAATCTACAGGAGGAGAGGTAGTGGTAATTATGGTAACATTTTTTGAAAACAGACAAGACTTTCTTAATGGAATAATTTGGGGATCAAATGAGTTTGTGAGCAAAATTCTTACTCTTGTGAAAATGCTCTTCGATGAAAGTTCTGGTGGGATCGATGGCATTTGAACATAATTAGAGATACATCAAAGGTCATTTGCTAAGCCTCGTGTTACAAAGTGGTTAAGTTGGTAGGTGGCAAGCTTCACTGCTACCAGTTATGGATAGTTTATTAAAATTTACTTATCTAGGTTGTCAATTCAGTAATAAATTTTAATGAGTAAAAATATTTTACCTATGAGATGAAATAATAATGGCTTGATCGTAACTGCCACAAGCTTCTATGACCTTCCATAAATTTCTGCGAATGAATGGGTCTACACCACTTGTAGGTTCATCCAGGAGGATTATAAATGGGTCACCAATGAATGCTAGAGCAGCATTCAGCTTCCTCTTATTTCCTCCACTGTAATTTTTAGATGGTACGTCACTATACTCCTCGAGCCCTAAAAACATATATAATGCAGTTATTTTATCTAAATTTCTTGTGATCAAGTAAATAAAATTATGTTCTGACTATTCAGTTCAAAGGTGTTTGTTGGATTTACATTGAATAAATGTCCATATTAATAAATTAAGATGTAAAAAAAAATCAATTAAAAGCTATTGAATTTCGACCCACATTGCAGACTTTCTTTAAGCTTACAGAGAATAGAATTTAGGTGATAATATATTAATAAAATGAATATAAATTAAATATACTAAAATCAACATATCAACTGTAACTCTAATTAAGATAATAGTTCCAGAAACAGTAAGGTGCAATATAAAGGAGTGAGATTGAAGTAAAATGGTAGCAATAATACTCATAGTAATTTAGGCGAAAGATATTTTAAGGGTGGAAAATTTATTGGATCAGGTAGATAGAGGTTAGGAAAATTATGTAAAACCAATTTCTACACAGATTCAATTTTTTTTTAATAAGCCCAAATTATCAGTTTATTGCAAAAAGTCACTAACAAGGGGAAGACACAGTCAATGGGTTACTGATTTTAACAATCTCGAAAAACATTCATTTTTATACCAATAGAAAACTAACAAATATTTTGCTCAAAGACATTAAATATAAAAATTATTGATAAGGTTTGGAAGAGCAATAAATCATTTTTCCAACAGATATAGTGATGTTGAATTCACAGAAAATCCTGAGGAGTTATTAATATTTTAGTAAACAGCCGGAAAAAAACCTACCGAGTAAATCAAATACTCAAATTTATATTTTTTGATTTTTATGAAAAAGGCATTACATATTGATTAAGAAGCTGATGTTATAGTCAAATGCAGAGAACTTTAATGCATCTTGTGAAATTGATCTCCATCAAGTTGTTTGCCATCCCAGAGTGCAAAAAACCTTAAATAACATCTAGGAATACCATTTTTGTGATAAAAACCATTATGAAATTTAGCTGTTCGCAATTTTTAAAGATAACTGTTTAAAAACTACTCAAAAAAGATATTTGTTATGTGTTTTGTGAGTGTAACTAATGCACTAAAAATGATGTAAATCAGAAACATGCAGTATTTCAACTAAATAAAAGCTTCTTAAGTGATTGTTAATTTTTATAACAACAAGTACCTTTCAAAGAATTGACACAATTTTTCGGTGTGAGATTTATGAGTGACCATCAAATTATACCTTATTGAAGTTATGAGTTTTCAGGATAAAAATACATTAAAATTGGTTTGAATTTCTCTAATGCTTCCTTCCTTTAATAAATACATAACATATATTCAAATTTCATTAAAAAAAAAAAAAACATTCTTTTTAATATAGATTTTTTTTCTTTTTATTTAGAATTTTTCGTTGCTGCATATTTTTAATTATTCTCAACATTTAATTTAATTAGGCTTATTATCAATTTAATTATGCTTCATATAACCTGTTATTCATTGTAAAATGCTGTGAAAAAAAAATTATTAGTTCGTTTTAAACTAGAAAAACAATGCAGAGGGCCAATTTTTTACACCTAGATGTGTTGCGGCTCTGTGCAGAGTCCTGTAGTGGCCCTGCACATAGTTCAAGAGCCCGCTACGAGACCGCCATCACAAGACGCTCATAACATAGGATGATTTTTATATTTTATTTTTTGTATAATTAACTTTTTAAAATGTACATTTCTTTCATTGTAAAACATGTATTATAAAAGTATGTTTATTTTACTAAATAAGATGAAGGTATATAAATCAACTGATAAAAAAATAAGACCAGAATAATCGGGTACGACTCTCGTTACCCATTTTTCTCATGAAAGAATGATCTTCTAAGAATGATCCATGCCTCACAAGACGCCTGTATTCCTATATACTTAGTCAGGAGATTGATCCCTCCGTTAGTATCTCTTCCTCCCACAAGTCTGGAGTTTGATCTCTCCGGTCCTAGTTATGATCCTTGTGGAATGTTAAGCCTGATCTCTTACACCACAGACTGAGAGTGATTGGGTGTTGATCCGCCTGTCACTTAAGGTCATCCCTCTATTCATCTTCCTACATCCACTTAGTCATCTTACCCCTAAATTGAGCAACGCTCTGTCGAGGCCTTCTGGTAACTGCATACTCTCTGCACATATATACCTCGACATATGAATAGGGTGGATGTGTAATAATAGGCAGATTTGGAAATAACAAACAGAAGTTATTGTTATTTCTGTTATTATACTGAGAAGAGTGTAAGATCTTCTGTAATTAGTTAACAAAATATATATATATATATTTTTTTTTTTACTTTTATACCTCTCCAAGCATGAAGACTTATAGGAGAAAATAAATAAGTTAAAGCAATATAAATTTCATTGAGTTTTAACAGTTCACTCTTTTCTACCTTTGTTAAATGAGGTATATTCAGAAAGTTCATTTATAAATTATTTGTGCATATAAAAAAATCTAGTGCACACATATAACTTCCACTAAAAGTTATTAAAGTTTTAGACAGATCGATAGATTAGAGATTGAATTAGAGTATTTGTTTACTAATTTTCCTAATATACATACATATATTGTAACATCTCTCTTATATTATACAAATAATAATAATATAACCTCGGAAGATCACTTTAATACTATTGGGATACTTCCTAAATAAATAGGAGGGTTTTAATAATAAACAAAATGATAAGAGTATTAATATATTTGTTTACCTCAGGTGTGGGTTACTGAAAATCAGATAAACTCAAACAAACTATTATTATTTACACTATTAATACTAAAATTAAACACTGATTTTTAAATAAAGGCAAATATGTATTGGCAAGTTAACCTTTTTTCTATATACAATGTTTCTTCCTTTGTGGCACTGAATTCATTTGTTTTCAAACACTTTCCAAAGTTCTGCCAAACACAACTTCCAAATTGTGACACTTTCTTCTTCTCAACTCAAGCTTTCTGGGAGATCCTATCTCTTGTAATTCAAACAACTTTCAAGATGGTAATACTATTACTGGTTTTTTCCCACTGGAGTCAGGATCACTTCTCCTGTCTTCTCTTCACTGCAGCCAAACGTCAACTGCTTGCCAAAACAAAAACCTTTGTCCCTCTCCTCTTTGGGATTTTCCTTCTTGGGAAACTACAGAGCAGCCATTTTCTTTTCCCTGCACTAGTAGAACTAGATTAGCTTGCCATTTAATTGTTCAATATTAATTTATTAAACCCTTTTTACTCACTTCCAATAAATGTGTACATTATAATATATATAAAAAATACACTTTACCATTTTTTTTTTTTAGTAATTGGAATTTCTAAAATGGTATAAAATGGCAGAATTGCCCATATAACATCATATACAATGTAGATAGTTCCATTTTAATCTTTAATCCATGTTATGAGGATCCACTATATATGTATATATATATATATATATATATATATATACGATCGTCCGAACAGAAAATGATAAAAAAAAGAAAGAAAGAAGGATGTGAAATGACTCACTCGGTTGCTCGATAAAGACTGCCTTTATTTTCCCAGTAATGCTATATATATAGTATTATGTCTTGTTTACATCTTATGGATAGGATTAACTATTATACAGTCTTACCTCTAACCATAACTTTATATATATATATATATATATATATATATATATATATATATATAAACATAAATATATATATACATATAAAGTATTAATATAAATTTAAATACATTTTTTCATCTCACCAAAAAGAGTGATCCATTTTTTTACTTCTTTATCAACATATTGTGAAGGAATCATACGCAAGCGGGCAAATAGGGTCAACATTTGTTTTGATGTAAGACTTTCAATTAAAGCAGTATGTTGTGGACAATACCCAATCATTGATAAACACTATAAATCAAAATATGCTATGAAAAAATAAATAATAATATAATTAAAATAACTTAAAACAGGGTATCTACAAAGGTTCCTCAGCAGGATTTCCTGACTTTTCCCTACCTTAAATAAAATACCTAGCCAATAAGGAAGTGAAAAAAAAAAAGATAGTAAATTAATTAAAATCTTTTGTTAAAATTTTATTAAAGACTACTATGAAGACTGTATATTAAAAAATACGATTTACACCAAACTTAAGCATCAAATATCAAAAATAATGACTATTATACTCTAATGTTAAAAATCATCGATGTCTTGCACTATCTCTAACTTACAGAGAGAAAAAGGAATGAAAGAGAATAAAGAAAAAATTATTGCTAAATTTTTTGAAACAATCATTAGGCCCAATGACCTGAATGGAATTACCTGTATAATTATGATTCTTATTAACGTTCTTTATACAGTGGCAGCCAAAATTAATATATGGAATTTTTTTTTTTTTTGGATTATTAAACTATAAAAAAAAAATCACTCTGTAGAGAGAAATATTTTATTAAAAGTAATGCTGCCCTACTAGATAGGATTGCTTCATATACAGCATACTTATCAATCCATATGGACATAACTATTATATTACATTTTTATATATACTATATATACATATCTTCCCTTTTATACAATATAAAAGACATTATAAGAAATATAAATGAAAAAATCCCCAACTATCTTCAAGCTTCTTTGAATCAAATTGAACACACAAAATATATTTGTTGTTCATGCAAATGCTAAAGTAGTGAACAGAATAAGGAAATTGAAATGAAACCCGCACAATCTCTGTAAATTTCATCAAAATTAGGATTGACAATAGTAGATGTTATGTTCGTCGCATGAACTTTATTACTGACAGATATCAAATTAAATTTGTTCCTAGATATCTAAAATGCAAACCGAGCCATACTTTTCGATTCTGAAGACATTATTGTTTGTAATTTTTGGTATGAATATAAAGTTTCCATATCTTAGGTAGTGACAAAGTAAACAATGATTTGGGAAAATCCCTGACTTTTCTCTGTTTGTAGACACCCTTTAAAAAACTTTTCATCAGTTAAAAAAATTACTCCTACCTTTGTTTTCTCCTTGCTAAGGGAATGGCCTTTTATGAAAACATTTCCTTTTGTAGGATACAGGACTCCAGTCAACATATTAAATGTAGTTGATTTACCAGCACCATTAACTCCCAAAAGACCAAAGCACTCTCCTTTGGACACAGCAAATGTAACATCAACAACTGCTACCATGGAGCGAGAATATTTTTTACCAAGGCCATCCACAATTGCTATTTTATCTTTTTGAGTATCTAAATGAAGAAATACATGAGTAGTAATTGATAGATTAAAATATTTTTAATAGACTTATGAACAAATAATTAGCATCATTAACAGATAAAAGATGAATTCTGGCTGTATATGTATAAACATTGTACATAATAAATTTAATTTAAACAAAAAATCTAGTGCGCGCAACACACAACTTTCACTTACTCTTTGAACTTTGAATAAAAATTATTTTCTGGCCATGTTAGGCTATTATAAAATGTTTTAAATTGCATTTTAAACTGAGATAAAGCTAAAAAAACCACAAAAGCTATTAAAATAACAGAAGTCCTATTTATTATATCACCGGTTGATTATAAATTGTACGATTCGTTGATTATGGATTGTTCGATCCATTGATTATGGATTGTACGACTATAAGTCATTGAACTGTTATTTTCCATTGCAAAGTTTATTAAAACGGAATTAAGAGATTCGCAGTGTCTGTCATAGACAGGTCAAAAGTTGTCACACTAACTGTAAGTGGATTCTGTTGGAATATCGCAAAAAAAGAATTATCAAACTATTCACTAATTTAATTTTCTAAAAGGTTACATAATGATTTTTCGGAATAAACGGACGATAGATATCTAAATATTCAAATATATTATGAGATCTAGAGTTATTAAACTACAGTAAATATATTTAGACAATATTTTGGAATTAACTTTAATACCTAATTATTTATAGAGAAATACTTTATTAAAAGTAATGCTGCCCTACTACATAGGGTTGCTTCGTACACAGCATACTTATCAATCCATAAGGACATTAATTTTATATTATATTTTTCTTTCTTTTTTCTTCCCCTTCATAACAATATTCTTACAAATTATCAACAATAAGCCACATTAAACAATAGACATAGCATAATAAACACTTTCCCAAAATAAAAAAAAAATCCTTTTTTCTCTTTAAATTCTCAAACGCCAGGAACGCAATATAACATCGCACACATATATAACACAGCAATTCCTAGAATGTAGCCAAAAAGATAAGACGATTATGGACCAATTTGAAATTTAATAAATAATTACTAAACTACAGTAAATGTATTTAATATTATAAACACATGATTTATACATCCATGAAATGATTTTATATTTTATTTCTTCTTTCACACAAGTACACTGAAATAGTTTTTTTAACAATGCCATCAACTTGCTTAGGGGGATTTTACATACATTTAAAAAAAATTAGCATTACCTTATTAACACATTCAAAATTCAAAAACCGAAACAAAGGATATAACCATTGCAGCAGAACGTATTAAAAAAAAACTAGATACCATATGTTATCTCCTAATTATCCGATTTTAACGATCTTTTTTTTGTTTTTTAGGCTATTCCATAAACTTTTAGAAAACCATATACAACATTCCCAAAAAAGTGTAAAGTATTTGAGTTATTCGGAATTTAATTTTACCATCCCTCATAACTTTTTTTCAGCTTCTTTTCGCTGATGAATGTTGTATAGATAAATTTGAAGGGTGTCGAGAAAATGACTTTAGCGAAGTTTCAATGAAATCGGTACATTCGTTTAGGCGCTACAGTCTATAGCTACGTTTTTCTGCATTTTTATTTTTTTTCTCCTTTATTAACTTATCAAATTCTTTCAAAAGTTATATTTAGCATTTTTTCGTAACTCTGAATAATGCGAAATAATCATCTTTTTAAAATAAACCATATCAAAGGTACTTTAAAGGAAGACGTATATGAACATTGGGCATTTAAGCCCTGTAAAGTGACATCAATGGGGATAAGACCTAATTTATATTAAAGACCACTTAATTATACAATGATACACAGAGTTTAATCAAAATCGTTAGAGCCGTTTTTGAGAAAACTGTGAAAATGTGTTTCAGCGTTGATATAAAGTGGCACTTCCGGTTAGCTGATTTTAAGGAAAAAGTTGCCGTCACAACTAAGGCATATACCTATCTTAAATACGTGATATCAATTTCATGGGACATTTTTGTGTTTTTGAGCTAGACTGCTAACATACAAACACACAGACACACAGACCATTTGTCGGGACTTGGTCATTTCGACTCAGGGTACCTCAAAACGTATAAATCCGTCGAAAACTCAGGTTCAAAAATGTTCTCGATCGCAATACTTACACTTACTATATATTACATATATATGTAAGTGAAAGTAAAAATTATACCTAATATTAAGATTGATTTTAAAAAATCCATTTAATAAAACGTTCAAAATCATAGTCATTTTTTAAAGAACCGAATGAGAAAAAACTAATGATTGGAAATGAATAACTGCTAAAATTATATATGAGCAGGGACTGAACCTATAATGCTCTAATTCAGTAGGAAAGAGAATGATGGAAGCAGATTTCTAATACATTGTGTACTTTGTCCACTCAGAGGTTGGGGACAGGAGCCGTATTTAGTCAGAAGGCCTTAACTCCACGGCTATGGATTGTGAATGTTACCATATCGTGGCATCCTCGGAAAGAACTAGTCCTACTTATTGCTTATGCCCCTCAGTAATAGTTAACCAGAGAATTAGGATCATTCTACTGAGGAGCATGTAACACACGACCATTACGTCTGTGACCGGTGTACCACAAAGCGGCCCCGGCTGCCAGCCCAGATAGCCTTCGCTTAATACAGGCAGGCTACCAGCCCTTAGTACCATTTTTGGACCTAAGGTCCCAGAAGACTTAAATGGTCACCAGCCCGGGGCGAACCCCTACAGTTCCCCTATCTCATTATAGGAAGGAGGTTATCCACCTATCATGAAAGAGGGAGGGCTCCGTACCCTCAGATTTCAAATACCAGATAATTATAATTATACGAAAAAAAGTTAACTAGACAGGCTACTTCAAATATGTATAATCGTACCTATATGTATGTATATACACAATACTCTTAGAACTGTTCTCAAAAAAAAAATTTTTTCCAGCACAATGTTGTTACATTAAAACAATTTAGTAGCAAGTTATCTTATAATTGACCGTTTAATGACAGTGGACTCATATATGAGTTAAGATGGAATCAGGCAAGGGTATGGTGGACTCAAATATGAATTGAGAGCCTGTTGGAGTGACAGGTTGCTCAGTGCTAAATTGTATTTTCAAACTATTTTGTGGCATTGCCATCAAATATATAACAGTTAGATAAAGAAAACAAAATAAAAAAGTTTGGAATGATGCCCAAATAAAAAGGCTAAAAAGTGGTGAGTAAAAAAACCTTTACCGCTACAACCCATGAAGAGTCTTGGGTTCAGTGCTATGTGAGGAAGTACTGTTTTTTTTTTCCCCAACATAACTATATAGTGCAGCCTCATAGAGGCCTGTTGTGTATCATCCTAAATCTCTATTAAAACAGGCCAGATGCCTTTAAGAACATACTAAAACTAATGGAATCTATTAGTTTGTAGTGCTTAGGTTCAATGATACAATCGCATCCAAAGTAAAAGTATCACAGTCAAATTATCACATCTGCATATAATATAGTGATAGGCTGTTTCATCCTCCAAGCCACACAGCCTGCAGGTGGGAGTTTCACTTAAGCCAAAGTTAAAGAGGTACTTATTGAGTCGACGGTGACCAATATACAGTCCTGTCACACACCTAATGGTCCTGTCCATTAGGAGAAGTGATACACTTCTCTTGTGACAGGATCGTACTAGGAACAACTTAGAGTGAGTTTTTTTCCTAGTCTGTTCCCAATAAAGCTTAGTTTTGTTGCCAATAACTGCCTTCATATGGAATATCAGCGGTAAAGAGAATGTAAAGGATAGGACCCAAGACGCTCCCTTGAGGATCTCCCACCTTAATGGAATAACAGTTGGAAAATTCAGTTCCACAGCGGACTTAAAAGGAGTGGTCAGAGAGATAGGATTGGAGTACTAGATTTGAGAACTGAGGTAGATAGGTTTTAAGCTTGAAGAGCAATCTGGTGTGCATAGCCGTTCAAATGCGCAATGTCCAGAAATGCACCCGAGCAATATTGCTTGCTTTTTATGACTGAGAATATGTGGTCAACAACTCTGAGGTTTTGTTGGACAGTGGAATGTTAGGAACGAAATCAGAATTGGTAAGTAGGAAGGTTTTGAAATTCTATTATGGGTAGGATTCGTTTCAGTAGAATGTTTTCAAAGATTTTTGAAAGGATGGGAAGTAGGCTTATTGGTCTATAGGATGTTTTGTTGTTAGAAGGTTTACCTGGGAAACCATTTTTAAAAATCAAAAATCTCTTGACATTAGCACAATTAGATTAGCTTGCTTCTTAAATAGGTCAGCTTGCTTAAAATTAACTAAACCGTTTTTACAGACTTCCAAGACAGGTGCACATTACAGTAAATATATATATTTGATTATAATCTTTCCATTATTTTAAGAGAAAGGTTTGATATAATATAACATTTATTTATTAGCTATTGTTAAGTTGTAACTGTTACCTGCAGTGAGTAAACCATCCACCCTGCTCTTCTCTCTAGCAACGTCACTGACTACTCTCTTTAGGCCAGTATTATCAATAGTCCCAGTAAATATAGAGTCAATTTTATTCCACAAAAAAGGGAACAAACCATAATCTGTTAAAACGGCTAAAGAAAAGTAAAGAAAAAAGTCCCCAACAAGAAACATTAAGTCCCTCCATAGTTGATCATCTTTTAAAAACGCTGATTTAAGAATATCTGTAGCAAACAAAAAAATAATAAGCAAATTAGGTAAAAATTATAAAAACATTGAAATTTTTATAGCACACCTGGACAGTTTACTGTTACACAGTATTTGCAGTTTCTTTTTTTTTCTGCCAAAGTTGAAAAGTCCACCATTGCTAACATCGAAGCAGTAAATGGTTGCAATTTCATAACTTTACTGTAAAAATTACTGGAAATATTTGCAATAAAATTACCAATAAAACCTAAAAAATTAAATGTCACAAGAATATTAGTAATGAATTTTAAGAAACTAAAATTTACTTATTTTATAATTGAATGCTATAAATAAAATATTCCTTCATATAAAGTATACTTTTATTTATTTATATTCTTTTCCTCTTGACTCTCGGCAATACAGAATTTTGGTAGAAGTATTGTGCTACTTTTCTGGTTCTTCGGTCTTCATTAGTAGACGTTGAAATGATTATTCTCCACCAATTTCTTCCATCCGTAAACAAATGCTTCATAGTACGGGTAGTTATCCTTACTTACTAGCTGAGGGAAATCGTTCCCCGTGATGATGTTTCCCTCCATAGTTTGGCCCTTATTTCTTCAAAAGCAGCGCAAGTCGTGAGAACGTGCTCAGCAGTTTGGAAACACCACAACAGGAATATAAGGGATTAAGTTCTTTCCCAAAGGCATGAAGCTTGGCACAAAACCCCTCATGCCCTGTTAGGAATTGTCGCAACCAATAATCAGGGAGGACCCATTTCGCTTCCAACCTTCAATAAACGGTAGGAAAGTATTTCTAAAGGCAGAGTATTTATGAGTATTTACTTACCATCGATTCCACTCCTCAATGATGTCCTCCCGATACTTTATGTATGCATAATTACAGTAAAATAAATAGTTTAACTACCAAGCCAGAAAGAATAGATCATACAGTTTTAGTTGTTTGGCAATAATAACTTCCAGTTGTTAACAATTGTATATTTTACTATCAACGTTACATGTTAACAAGTTAGTTGAGGTTTCGAGACCTTTATTCCCATCATCAGAACTGCAATTCCAATACTCTTGTGGATGCAAGGCTAAACATTTTTTAAAGTTACAATATTGTGCTTGTTACATTACATATTTGAATTATGTTTGTTACAATAAATTTGTAATTCCCTTAAATTTAATAATAATGTGCTCCATCGTCAATTTTCTAATTTATGTTCTAAAATGAATCATCTAGAGCAACATCCTCCTTTTGACCAATAATTGGGTTTCTGCCATAGTGAAAAATTGACTTTTGGATCTGACTGTTTTATCTGACTATTTTGATTGTTGTTGGTAGTGTTTATTTTACGTGTCCGTGATTTCACTTCTATTAAATTATAATTTGGTCAATATGTCCGTATAATGGGTTCCTAAATGTTTAGTGTCTATTTTGTAGTTGACTGTTGTTTTTTGCAATGTGTATTGCTTAAAGTAATTTTCTATTGGTGTTTTTTGGTTCTGTGCCTATTATCTGTGGTTTGTTAAAGTTAAATTTATGCTTTGGTTTTATACTTTGATGTGCTAAGGCTGTTGTGTTTATGTTTTTTGGATTTTTACAGTTGGTGATGTGTTGTGAGATTCTAGTTCCTAATTGTTTGGATGTTTCACCAATGTAGATTTTGGGGCAGTTTTGACAGTTTAATTTATATATTGCATTTTTCTTGTTTATTGGTTCTATTTTATCCTTTGTGTTGGTGATGTGCCTGCTTAGTTTCTTGTTATTGTATTGTCCGAGTTTAATTTCTGTCAAGTCATAATCTTTGAACACGTCTTTAATTTTGTTAGTAAGTTCAGGTATGTATGTCATTTTGTAGTAGTAGTTGAAGTCCATTTTGTTTGTTTGTGATATGTTATCCTGATTGTTTTTGTTTGTTGGATTTGTTTTTTCAAAAAATTGGGTGATGAATTGTTGTGTAGGTTTCCTTATTGTAATGTTTTCTTCTGGTGTTTTTTATATTGTTTGATTTTTGGCTCTAATTTTGTTATGGTTTAGTGTTGTATGTAATCGACTGTACCAAAGTTTGTTGATTGAGTTTATAGGGTAAAAGTTCTCGATAAGTATTTTGTATATTTGTTTTTACTTGTGGGATGTAAGGTTTGTCAGTGAGTTCTATTGATTTGTGAATTAGGTTCTTGGCTGTATTAATTATTTGATGTTTGGGATGGTTTGAGCTAAAGTTTAAGGTAATTACAAATTTATTGTAACAAACATAATTCAAATATGTAATGTAACAAGCACAATATTGTAACTTAAAAAAATGTTTAGTCTTGCATCCACAAGAATATTGGAATTGCAGTTCTGAAGATGGGAATAAAGGTCCCGAAACGTCAACTAACTTGTTAACATGTAACGTTGATAGTAAAATATACTCAATTGTTAACAACTGGAAGTTATTATTGCCAAACAACTAAAATAAATTGACAACTTCCCAGAAAAAAAGAAAAAAGAAGATCATACAGATTTCGATTCCAACTGACGAGGACACATCATTGATTGAAGGAATAATAAGAAACTGCATAGGGATGGCTTGAGTGTCCAAAACATTCGACTCAATTGTAAAGTGAACAGGTTGTTGCATGTGGATTGTGAAATGTGTGCATATAAGCAACTGGTGCCAGAACAAAGAAGTATGGAACAATGTCTGGCACTTAAGTCTTTTTCCTACTATTGAGGCCTTCATTGTTATGCAGACTTTCAGATGGGTTGCTCTGAGCTACATGTCCTGCTCATCTTAACCTCCTCACTTTCATATCATGATAGTGATTGAACAGTTTCTGTAAGCAGTTCCTTATTGGTCTTACTTCTCCAAGCATTAGTATTATGATCTTAGATGGCGCAGAGGATTTTTCCCTCAAATATTTCAATACTTCTTTCTAGGGTGCTGGTTAATGTCCAAGTCTATTTAAAGCTTCATTAGTTGCCGTAATAGGACCTTAATCATTAATGGGATATATGAATTCTTTTATTTGTTCTATTTTTATTATTCAGTATGTTGTTGCAAAACATTAAAGTGAAAAATAGAATTTATTAGGATTATCGGTTTAAAAGATATTAATTTTTAAAGTTATGATATCATGCTTACAGATAAGGATGTCGTGTTTGACAGTTGACGTTGGTATGAAGTCATTCGTTCTGGGGCTTTGTTTTATAATTTGTCTAGCATGCTTTATCAGCATTGTAAGTAGCAAATCATCTTATATAAAAAAAAACTTGAAGATTTCAAGCTCTTTATTTAGCAACAACGTACTACTTACAACAATAATAACTATAACAAGACATAATTTGGCTCATGTTACTAAAAAATCTATAAATTACAATAATTTTTTCATTAAGGGATAGTCACACAAGTCCTCTCAGAACTATTTACTTGTCCCTATGGCTATGTTGCGAAAAAATGAAAAAAATAATGTAAATGACAGAATATTTGGCATTACAGACCACGTAGATATTTTGCCGCCTTAACAAGCCTGCTCCCCAAGGTTTAGTTTAGGTTTCATAATAAGTTATTTTTTATCGGGATCGGATTATTTATTAGCCCTATCCCCAACCCCCAACCTGGAGTGGACTAGGAGCTATGGTGTAAGACACAGGAGTCGCTCACCTCCCTGTGAATCTCTGGGTGGGGAAATCCCATGCGGGAATCAAACCTGTGCCGTATTCTTCGAAGTAATTAATAGTAGTAGCGCTTGTAATTTTTATTTTTAAAATTTTTATATTTATTATTATTTATCTTTTTTTTTTTTGTTCCAGCAAACGGGATTTGGACTTATGATGTTTTGATAAAAATGCATTTCAGACGCCTTAACTCTCTTGACCACCATAGCTGTACATAAATTAAATATAAATAATAATGAAAATAAATTTTATTTACTCAATTCGTAATTAAATGAATAAAAAGTTACTTTAGTTTTTAAAATATTAGTTGTGAGATATTCACTAAACATGTTGCACTGATAGATGTCTGTTATATAATATTAATAGACTTAAATGTATTTGATGCTTTAAACATCTAATTTATAATGAAGTTGTTTATAATGAAGTGGTTATTTCAATATATTTTGCAAGAATAGTTAGCATTCGACCATTACGACTTTTTTGCCAACTGAAATATCACTCTATCTACGGTAAATATAGGAATTTAATACATTTTTTAAGCCTAAAATAATAATAAAATATTACCAATTGTGAAGACTGCAGTAAAGTAGAATACTACAACTGATCGCATCGTCTTGAATAAAAGAGAAACAAAGTAAACTGATGAAATCATACTCATACCAGATAAAAATAATACCAAGAATAAAACATCTGTAATTAGAAAAAATAATGAAGGTACTTAATTACTAGGTGTTACAGGTAGATAGACAAAATATCAAATACAGTTAGTTATTCTAATTTTAATCACATAAATGAAAAATTACCAATATCAGGATAAGGTATTTAAAAGTAAATTTTAATTAGATCTTAAAATTTTTTTAACGTTACATATTATCAAATAAAGTTTATAATATTCAAGAAAAAATATTTTAATCCTTCTTATTTTATAAAACTCTTTATTTTATTACTACATCTCGATGACGTTTCGGGCAAAACAGGTGTAATAATGAAATAAAGGATTTTATAAAATAAGAAGGGTTAAAATATTTCTTTCTCAATATTATAAACTTTATTTGGTCAATTTTAAATTCGTTAATATTCTTGTCAGTTACTAAATCTCACTTATAATGTTGCTCTATTATATTCCAATTAATTTTCATAATTAAAAAATTCACTTTATTTGTTCTTAACCCTAGTTAAGTAAAAATTAAATATTATTTTTTTTCTTTTGGTGTACTATTTATGTTTATATTAGTATTATCATATCTGTACTATTTAACTTGTTATCTTAGCTTATTTAAGTACTTCTGTCTATATCATGTATTTCTGATATAATTTTTAATTTTCAGTCCTGACGATGACCATAATGGGACAAAACAATAAAACAAAATCTTAACTGAAAATCCTATTTATCATATATAAAAAAAAGAAGAAAATAAATACAAAGAGAATTAATTGCCATAAAAATACATATATATAAATTCAAATTATCTTTTCTGCAATTCAAGATTTTAGAGATGCATCTATCTATTTGCTTAATTAACTAATTTCTTTGATTGATAGTTGGTAAACAACACCTATATACTACAGTCGCGGTCATAAAAATTACATCACCTTCTTTTTTTTTTGTTCTTCCCTACCTCGCCTTTTAGGCTATACGGGATTTTCCTGGGCCGGAGGGTGAGGGCGGGGAATTTAAAATCCCCTCCGGCACTGGGATGCGAACTCATACTTTTTTAATCTTCTCAAATCTCTTATCCAGTTGCCAGGCAACTCGCGGTGCAGTGCACACGCTTTAGCCCATTCGGCCACCCCGCCCCCTCAAAAATTGCATCACCAAGTAACAATTTTATTTTATTTACTAGATTGCTATCTGCAAGATATCTGGATACTTCTTTGCCATTTTAATGCAATATTTTAAAAACAATTACACCATTAAGTGATGAAATTGTTCAATTTTTTTTTCTCCTCCCAGTTCCTTTCTTTTGCTCCATGATGTCCTGAGAAAGAAATGTTTTCTAAACTATGGCTTCCGTTGGTCATAATTACAGCTTTAATTCTGGCATTAGTTCAAATTGAACTGAAAAACATTGTTTAAGTTTTCATGTAACCTAAATAAGTAAAAAAGAAAACAAAAACATTAACAACCTAACAATCAAAAGAAATAGGGGATGCAATTTCTATGACCACGACTGAATATTTAAGATTCTTTACAACTAATTGTCATGGCTGAACATCTGTTTATAGATGTAAAGAACTATTTACATTCTTTCTAGTTTTCTCACGAAACAAAAACAAAAATCTCCAAGCACTCAATTAACTATATGAAAAGGCTGATCAAACCTGGCAACAATAATTGGAAGCTTCAATAGAAAAAATATATATGGAAATCTGAGCTGCTATACAATACATATGATAAAACAACTTATATAAGTACTGGGTTTCTTAAATAATAAAAAAGTTCATGTTTCGCTAACATGAAAAAGACATCCATAAAACTATAATGATAAAACACTGAAATATATTTCTTGGATGAAAGCTTAGAAGCTGGAAACGCTATATCAAGCTACCAACTATAGTATTGATCTAAGCACTCTTGGACATAGATTGAGCTGGTATTAAATTCAATCATCCTGTCCTATTCCATCCAATTTTCTTTAAAACAATTTCTCTTTGTAAATACGTAGCTGAAAAATTTGAGACTTTTAACATTTTTATTTTTCTTACCTAATCTTCATAAAAAATAATTTGTGCAAGTACTCCAGTTTACATCTTATAGCTGCATTGCATTCTTAAGTTGAGTAAATAAAAATTGCTTTTGAATTTTGAATTATAGCTAAACTGCTATGTTTCCATCATCCAAATATTAACCTAAATAATTATTTAAAACAAATAATAATAAATAAAAATCACTAACTTTACAGCATATAATTCTAATTGCTTCTTAAATAAATATAATGATATATTGGGTTGTCCGGAAAATAATGCAGGATTTTGGTTTAAAAAGAAAGATTTACAACTGTTTATTCAATCAAAATAGTTTCGACTACTATAAATATATTTCTGTCAATGTGTTGGCAACTTTTCCATTCCCTCGGAATAGAATTTCCAATCTTTAGAATTGATAAACTTCAAAAATGCATTTTCTAATTCTCTTTGTTCATTAAATTTTTCGTCACGTAAGTAGTGGTCCAGAGGTCTAAAAATGATAATCCTTAGGCGAGAGACCCAGAGAGTAGGGCGGATGTGGTAGAGATTCATATTCAAGCTCTAACAGTTTTTGTGATGTCACACTTGAGACATGTGGCCGGGCGTTGGCATGGAACAAAATAGGACTCTTCCGATTGATCAAAGATGGATTCATTATAGCCAATTTCTGATGCATTGCATTAATTTGGTTACAATAACAATTGGCACTGATGGTATCTTGAGGATTTACGAAGCTACAGTGTATCAAATCAAATGAAGCTCACCAAACAGTAACCATCACCTTTTTTTGATGGTGGTTTGGTTGCTGGCTTTGAGTTGGGGACTTCGGAAAATGTTCTGCTGCTTTTCCCGTCCAGAACGTCTACTAGTATCGTAAAGTATCCACTTCTCATCACAAGTAACAATTCTGGACAGAAAAGGGTCGTTTTTGTAGCACAAACCATAACGTTGTTTTTTTTTACGGTCGCTTAATGTGTGCACAACCCAACTTTCAAGCTTTTTTATTTTCCAATTGCCTTGAGTTATTCATCGATGGTCGATTTGCTAAGGTGAAGTTCCCCTGCAAGTTCTCGAACAGTTGCTCTGGGATTTTCTTCCACCAAATCCTGCAGGACAGTCATCAAGAGAGGAAGTCCTTTTATGACCTTTATCTTCAAGGCTATCTCTCCCGAAATTTTTTGAACCACTGTTGAACAGAGCAATCACCCGTCCCCGACTTGATTGATGTTTCTGGCCGTCTGAGCCCCATTCTGACTGAGCTTAAACTCATCATTACAGCAAAATTATATGAAAATCATGCATTGTCATTTTAGTAAAGACTGAATTACTTCTTAGCAGTGAAATGCTACAGAAGTAAATAAACATTATCATTTGGAATAGGATTAATAAGTGTTGACATTCATACAAATGAATAATCCAGTAAACTTTAACAGTTTGTTATATATAGGGGTATTTTAAAGAAAACTCAAAATCCTGCATTATTTTCTGGAAAACCCAATATTATAATACTCACAAATGCCACTGCCTGTGTCGAACAGAGTCCCATAATCTAATGTAAGGAATGTAATCCAAGAAATTATTACAAAAATCAAATATAACATAGCATCCCATAAGAGCACAGAACTCCAATAAGTAAGTGGTGAAATCCCAGTCATAAGTATAAGATGTTTGACAGTAGATATTCTCTCTTTGTGGACAAAGTTAAAAAAAGTTGACGAAACAATGAAAATGACGTAGGAAACCCACAACGAGAACAAGTAAATCCTTATGGAACGAACTGGGTCCGAAAAACAGGGAATCTGGAAACAAAAATTGAGATTAATTGGGAATAATAAATTATGGAACTAAACAGTGAGTGAAATAGCTGCATTTATTTTGAGGCCATGGTGGCCAGATGTGTTAAGGCAGGATTGATTTAATTCCAGTCTGATTTAAATTTAGGTATTACTGTACAAGTCTCACTCCACTTTGGTTGATGGCACAAGATCTCATGATTGCACCATTAATGGAACCCCGAGAATGATCGAGGGTGTCCAAAAGTTAACAGAAGTGACTGATCAGACTGGCAAGATCCAGACCAGAGGTGCCCAGAAGGGGGTTTCTTGGTGCAAGTTGCGCCATCGAAATTTTTGAGGGAGCAAATTTCAACGGGGTTATGAATTTTTGGACTAAGGGACAAGGGGGAAACATAGAACAGACCGCAGCAAGTGTAATTGTATATGAGCTACAATTTTTCTAATTCTGCTTTTGCTTATGTTTTTAAGTTAAGATGAGCAATAAAATATCTTGGAAGGAGGGGGGCAGGTAGGTTATTGCACCATTGACTTTGGGGGAAGGGGATGGGTACCCCTGTTCCAGACCTTATCTGAAAAGGACCCATTGAGGGTTCGGGAGTTGAAAGCAGGGATGTAATTGAAAATAATTAATGCCCCAATTTAAACTGAAAAGCACCAGTAGGGAGGGAGTTTGCTGAAGTCTTAAATCATATAAATATAAATAAAGAGAGGTTATACTGTGAACACATGTCAATCCTCAGCTATTCTCAGAATCCCATTTATGACATGACACTTGTACAGTCATGCCAAAGTTACTAATATAATAAGCTTCTGACATTTTATTTATTCTTTAAAACCTTAAGTGCATCTTACCGAGACAGGTATGACACTGGAATTTCCATAACTTAAATTAACATTCAAATCTGAAAGTAGAAAAAAAAAATTAATTCTGGTTTTATTCAAGGCATAAATAGATTATTAACTTTATTTTACAAAAATGTTTTAATTCCCAATTAGATACAGGCATGTTGACAGTAAAACCTAAATATTTATTTTTTACAACATTTAACGTGTTACAGGACCATTTTGCTTCCTAACTACCGAAGGTAGGGAAGCATTGTATTCGAGTTGCAAAATTGTTGTGCTTAGAATGAAAAATTTCCACTAGCGTTTTACATTTCATACATCAAGGATTAAATTTGGTTGTGGCTCTTTCTTTTTTTTTTTTTTTTTTTTTTTTTTTTTTTTTTTTCTTTTTTTTCTTTTTATCCTCGCCTTTAAGGCTATACGGCATTCTCCTGGGCCAGGGGAGTGTGGGCGGGGATTTAAAAGACCCCCGGTACCGGGATGCGAACTCGGAACTATTTTTTATCGTTGTATCATATGTCAGGTTGCCGGACAATGGCGGTGCTGTGCACAGTCGTTAGCCCATTCGGCCACCACGTCCACATTGTGACTCTGTAGTCAAATTGATGTGACGGGCATATCATCTACCACCTTTCATCCAATTTTCAGTGATTGTGCAGGTTGGTGTCTAGATGGTCCCATATCAATTTTATCAAATTCTATCCACTACTTCCGCTTGCGCATGCGTTAACTTATTTTCATAGATATGGCAATATTTCAAAAACGGCTCATTCGATTTGGCTCAAAATTGGATAAAATATAAGTATTGGTGAAAAAATGAGGTGTCAATTTTCTTGAATTCTGACTACTTTCTCTGATATGTGAGCAAATGTGTTTTCCTTGATACGCCTATGTCTCTAAAACCACACCTTCAATTTGGCTCAAACCTGGAGGGAAGTTACGAGTTGGTTAACAAATGATTAAGTGAATATCAAATTCTATCCACTGTGGCCCAACCTAAAAGGTCTCGTTCTTTCCATGGCTCCCTTCAGTACCATGTTCAGCACTATCATAAACAAGAAAGGGCTAAGGCTACAGCCTTGCCTAATTCCTTGGGGGCTCTGAAACTCCGTAGAGGTGTGGTTATTGGTTCTGACCAAGCTTATTTTCTTTTTATATAGGATAAGAGTGGCCCTCGATAGGCCAGGATCGACTTCATGCTCATTCAGTGCTCTGTTTACGTCCGTTTTTCTGACCTTACGGATGCTTGGATTAGGTCCACAAAGCAGGTATATATATCTTTATTCTTTTCCATGAGCTTTTCTGAGAGCTGCCTCATTACGAATATTAGATCTTGGGTGCTTCTTCGTGGTCTGAAGCCGTATTGTTCTTCTTCTAGGGTTTTCTCAATGGATCCTCTTATTCTCTTCTCTAGAACTTTAGAGTATATCTTGCATGGTACACTAAGCAATGAAATGCCTCTGTGGTTTCAGCTTTCCAGGTAGTCTCCTTTTTTATGAATTAGTACTATGACTGAAATTTCCCAATCCTTGGGTACTTTTTTCTTTTTCCATACCAAATTCAGTAGATGCTGAAACATTTCCTGCCTTTTTGCTCCCATGCACTTCAGCATTTCAGGGATTATACCGTCTATTCCTGGTGATTTGCCCATTTTCAGGCTGTCAATTGCATCTGCTATTTCCTCCTCTCCTATGGAATCTTCCTCATTCTCATTCCAAGTGACATCTCTATTGATACTTTGTTCTGGCATTGACAAACTACTTATATCGTCATTCAGCACCCTCTCAAAGTATTCCGCCCATCTATTCATTATTTTATTAGTATTTGTTAAAATAACACCTTCCTCATCTTTTTTGTGTTTTATGATGGGCTTCTTTTCCTTCCTCATATTTCTTAGGCATCTGTAGAAGAGCTCCTGATTTCCTTTTGCATCTTCCTCTAACTTACTTCTGAAATATTCCTAAGCTTTTCTCTTCGACTGCAGGACTTTTTCCTTTGCTCTTTATTGTATCTTTCATAGTCTTCCATGTTTTTTGTCTGAAGATACCATTTCCATAATTCCTTCTTTGGTCTGATTACACTTTTCACCCCTTCGTTCTACCAGGCTGTTCTTTTCAATCGTTGGACAACTTTGGTTTTTCCACAAGCCTCCTCTGCTGCTCCCAGCAATATGTGTTTGATTTCTTTCCAGCTTTCCTCTGTCTCGTTAGCATCCCATTGATATTCGCTGCTAGTTGCTTTTACAGTTCAAATTACTTATTATAAAATTAGTTTTTTTTTTGTTTCATTACTATTTTGTTTTCCAAATTAGCGACACAATAATGCTAATCCTTTGGGAGTCTTCTTTTCCAAAAATTGCTTTTAAAGAAATGTGGACATGTTTTAAATTTTCCCTCACACCGCTCCATGGTAGAAGGGGGCAAGACCAAGAAGATGTTTTAAATTTATCAAGCCATCTATTTAAATGGTTTTCAAATGTTTCTAATCCATTAGGTCATCTATTTTCAGCTAGCATCTGACAGGTCTTCACCAAGTAATTCCTCCAAGTCTTAAATTTTTTCGACGCATCAGAGCCTTTCTTATCTCTAGGATTAAAATAAATTTTTTTAAGTGCCGAAGTCATTCTCTATATATCGTTTCCGATACCATAGAGCCTCAACCATTACCATAAGCCTCAACAATGTTAGGAGCTACGGAAAAAAAAAGTTTACATGCTTAGAACCTAACATACACTGAAATTCAGGTTTACCGATAGTAGTCCTTGGAAAATTTTGTTACCCTCTGAAATGAAATGCACATAGTACTGCTGCTGCCATCTATTAAGAAACAGATGACAAGAACTCATTTAAGATTGTGATATATTGCTTGAGGTGCTACTAAATAAAACTTACCTTGTGACCGGTTTAATCTATGGTACTTGGTTAAATCAGTATTAATCCCATCCATTGCAACGTATGTAGCCACTAGAGGACAAATAACAATCTGGAATATGGAAAGTATCTCAATAAACATGAATCAGAAGCCATTTATGGATGATCAATTTCAAAGATATAGTAAGTACTAAATAGATGATTACACCACTAATCTCTATTTGAAATTAGTTTTACAATGACATAAAATTAGCCAAATATATAAAAAAAATCAAAGAGCATTAATAAATAAGGAATTACAGGATGTGGTCAAGTCTTAATTCTTTTTTTATTTGAAACTACAAAATTTGCAATTGATGTTCTAGCAGTCTTTGAAGGACTGTAAAAAAAAAATAAATAAATGTTAATTACAGAAATAATAATGCTTTTAATAATTTTTTTTTTCTTTACACGGTTTAACATTCGATAGCTGTATAAACTTTATAATTTAAAAATGCTGCAGATTATTACACAATGGTTTATTATTTCCAAACAATTATGTATACATTAAAAGTAACATTACTTTCCTCGTAACATAAGAAAAATTAAATAAAAGGCTATTCCAAATATGTTAAGAGGTATTAGGCCTTTTATAATAATAGTCCTAAATATACTTTTTTTTTCATCATTAGTAATTTTCTAAAAAAAAATAGAAAATATCAATCCAGTTGATGTAATTTTCAAAAAAACAAAACAAAGAATATAACCTTTGTTGTAGAACATATGAAACATATTTAAAACAACACATCTCTGCACCAAATTGTCCGATTTCAAAGATTTTTTTAGGAAATTTCATAAACTTTTAAAAAACGATACATCATCAAATTGTATACTTTAATACTTATTCATAAACCTAATTTGACCACACTTTTTTATCTTTACTATTAGTGCTGTGATTTCGATGAAACTTTTTTTGTGTTTTAGAAAATTTAAATACCTTTGAAATGCCTGATTATAAAAATCATGAAAAACGTGTTTTTCTGTACTTTAAGAGTTATTCAGAAATCTAGCTATATTAACCTCTCGCATCTTTTTTTCCCAGCTTCTTTCCATTAAAGTATGTTACATAAATAAATTTAAATGGCATCGAGGAGAATACTTAAGCCAAGTTTCATTAATATGGGGTACACCTGTTCAGGCGCTGTATATACAACAGAAGTCTTTCCGCCACCATCTTGAAAGAGAAGTACTTTGCGATGAAGTATATTCTATACATACATACAAATAATACTGAGAAGAAGACTTTAGGCAAGTTTCATTGAAACCGGTACATTCGTTTAGGTGTTACAATCTATACCATCTAACATACACCTTTATTGGAAGTGAGTAAAAATGATTAAATAAATTAATGTAATAGTTAAAAAGCAAGCTAATCTAGTTTCACTAGTTCAGGGAAAAGAGAATGGTTACTCTATAGTTTCCCCAAAAAGGAAAATCCCAAAGAGGGGATAGCACAAAGGATTTTGTTTTGGTAAGCAGTTGTGTGGCTGCAGTGAAGAAAAGATAGGAAAAGGGATCCTGGCTCCAATGGGTAAAATCCAGTAATAATATTACCATCTTGGAAGTTTGAGTTCAGTAGATGAAAATGTTACCATTATGGAAAATGTGTTTGGCAGAACATAAGAAAATGAATGAAGATAAATGAATTTAGAGCAACAAAGAAAGAAACAGTATTTATAGAAAAAAGGTTAGCTTGCCAATCCAGACTTGACTTTATGTTAAAATCAAACAGTATTAAGTTTAGTAAATGTTAGTTTGTCTGAGTGTTTTGATCTGATTGTCAGTAACCCACACCTGAGATGAATAAATATATTAATACTCTTATAATTTTGTTTATTATTGAATAACCTCTTATTTATTTGGACAGTATAAAGTGGTCTTCCGTGAGGTTATATTAAAATTATTTGTAAAATATAAGAGAGATGGTACAACCAACACAAGTTTTTTAGCCACTATCTTGAAAGGAAAGGGCAGATGGTAGTGTCGAAGTAGGAGGATCATCCTCGGATGACCTCTGACTTTGCTTCCAAATTTGAAAAAAAATAGGTCCAGTAGTCTCAGAGAAAATGCGCAGACAGAGGACGGACGATTTTTTTTTTTTTTATTTGATTTTTTGTATTATACCTTTACCTGAAACTTAAAACCTCAAATTTTGAGGGAGGTTAAGTTTTTGAATTTCTTTATGTTTACAATGGTTCATTATTGAAAATAATAAACCAAAAGAAAAAATATTGTGACTTTTAAGTATTATTCCATCAGTATTATTTAAGTATTCACCATTCTGTGAATGATCTGTGCGAAATACTTAAAAATCACAATATTTTTTCTTTTGGTTTATTATTTTCAATAATGAACCATTGTAAACATAAACAAATTCAAAACTTAACCTCCCTGAATTTGCGGCATCGAGAGACCTCAAAATTAAGAACACAAGTTTTCAGCACAGAAATATATATCTTGGCACATGGAAAGCACCTGGAGGAAGTGTGAACCAAATCGATCATGTACTAATCTCCGCAAGACAAGCATCCAGTATAATTGATGTCAGAGCATGCAGAGGGCCAAACTGTGATAACGATTATTTTCTAGTGGCAGCATTGTTTAGGCACAGGATTGCAAATGCTAATAAAGGCCACAGAGTAGAAAGGAAAAATAATGTGGAATTCAGGTAGCAGGAAGAGGTGAGCTTTTGAGGAAGAGGTGACAGATAAACTGCAACAATGTGATGTGAAGGATGACGTTGAAAATGAGTGGTCTGCTATAAGAGAAATAGTGCAAGGAGCAGCAGAGCAGGTTTTTATAAAGACAAAAAGTAGGGTAAATTCAGAATGGTTTGATGAAGAATGTGCAAGGGTATGGATTGATGAGGAAATACCTGAGGAGTGGTGCTCAGGTTTAATTTTCTCAATATTGAAAAAAGGTGATAAAATGGTATGTGAAAACTGCCAGAGAATAATCCTTTTAAATGTTGTAAATAAAATTTTATCCAACCTTCTGGTACAAAGAATAAAAATCATAACGATTACCAGTGCGGTTTTTGGCCTAAAAGAGGTACTCAGATTTTTATTTTACGAAAATTGCTTGAGAATAGCATGATATTTATGAGCATGATATTTATGTGCATATACTGTTTATAGATTTTAAACAAGCCTTTGACCGAATTAAAAGAACCCAACTTTTTAGTGCATTGCGTGAATATAATATCCAATATAAACTAATCCACCTAATTGAAATGACTATGCTGAACACACAAGCTAAAGTATTAATTGGCAATCAGGTTAGCGAAATCTTCCAATTTAATTCTGGAGTAAGGCAGGGAGATGCACTCTCAGCAATTTTATTTAACTTGGGGATACATAATTCAGTTAAAGAGATCATGCCAGGTGGTAATTTAGCATGCCAAACTAGACAAATATTGGGATATGCTGACGATATTGCAATTATAGGTAGAAGCAAAGCAGCAATAATTGAGGTTCTATCAACATTGGTTGTAAAATGTAAGAAGACTGGATTAATAGGTAACGATACGAAAACAAATTATATGGTAGTCTCGACCTCAGATTCAAGAACGAAGCCAGAGGGTTTTGTTTTCCAGGAATACTTTTTTGAAGCAGTGGAAAGTTTCACGTACCTTGGGGCGCAAGTCAATAGTGAGAACTTGATTAATCCGGAAATAAGAGAAAGATTCATGGCAGGCAATAGAGCATACTTTGGTATGTTAAAGCTTTCTAAATCGAAACTCCTATCCAGAGTCACAAAACTCAAAATCTACAAATCGTTGGTTCGACCAGTTGTGTGCGATGGAGCCTGGAACCTGTATGCTGAAAGCAGGTGACCAGAAGGCATTAAGAGTGTTTGGAAAGAAAATCATGAGACGAATTTTTGGTCTCCTATGCATACAAGGAGAGTGGAGGATAAGAACAAATCAGGAGCTGAATGAACTATTGAAGCACGAGGATATTGTACGCTTTATTAAAGCTACAAAAATTAGTTGACTAGGACACGTGGAAAGACTGCCAGATGACAAAGCAACGAAAAAATATTTAGAGAGGAATTTCCCGGATAAAGGAAAAGAGGACGACCGAGAAAATGTTGGAAAAGTTACTTGGAAATTGGATTTAAAGAGCATGGGAATGGTAAATTGGAGGATAAGAATGAAGGGTAGAGAGGATTGGAAAAATATTGTCAAGGAGACTAAGGTCCACCTCGCACTGTAGAGCCCATCAGTGAGTAAGTATATCGCCAATGGGCATCTCAACAATTCAGTTATTATAATATTTATGCCAATGGAAGGAAGAATTATTGAAAATATACTCTATCCTCAGCAACAATGTAATTTTTTTCCATAATATCAGTTATCAACTTTACCCAGTTGACCTTTCCAATGATTAAATCATATTAACACAATATGTGATAATCAAATATTCTAAGTTGCTAATTTTGATATACCTACCACAAGAAATGTTTTAAACCACCTTGCTAAACTACAAATCATATTTTTCTTCACCAATTCCATAAATCTATAGAAGTAAGCCATTATGTTTCCTTTTTCATTTGTATATTTTTCTGAAAAAGATAAAAATGAAAATATATAAATTTGTATTTGTATTTCTGCAACCATGTCAGAAAATAACTTGGTTTAATAAGACTCTCTCTCTCTTTTTTTTTTTTTTTTATACTCAATTGCACTCACAAAATAAATGGTTTACAAGTGGGTCAGATATGTTTCTCGCAATTATATAAAAAAGTTTTTAGTGACTGTGTCAGACTTCATTTTACATATACAAAACTGGACAGACCTTAACTAACAAAGACACAGTGGGCGGGGTGGCCGAATTGGCTAACGTGTGTGCACAGCACCACCGTTGCCCGGCAACCTGATATAAGATTAATGATATAAAAATAGTAAAGAGTTCGCGTCCCGGTGCCAAGGATTCTTTTAAATCCCCGCCCACACCCTCTGGCCCGGGTAAACCCCGTATAGCCTTAACGGCGAGGACTAAAAAAAAACTAACAAAGACACTACACTTCTTATTCCCAGAATTATTTATCCTTCATTATGTTTACCAATTGAATAATTATAGTTATATTTGGGGGCGGGGTGGCCGAATAGGCTAAAGCGTGTGTAACAGCACCACTAGTTGCCTGGCAACCGGATAACAGAGATTTGAGATGATATAAAAAGTACGAGTTCGCGTCCCGGTGCCGGAGGGGATTTTAAATTCCCCGCCCTCACCCCCCGGCCCGGGAAAATCCCGTATAGCCTAAAAGGCGAGGTAGAGAAGAACAAAAAAAAATAATAATAAAAAAAATTATAGTTATATAATATTATAAATTAGCCAAAAGGTGTGATGTATAATATAGATTTTTTTTTTTAATTAAAAATTTGTCCCAACCGCAGTTTAGTTCCGTTTATTTTATGTTGATAAAAAATAATACAATCTGAACTACAGAATTCATGTAAATTACAGTTATACAATTTGAGCAATGAGTAAAATTGAATGAACAGTTGTAAAATGGAGGTTGGTCCGGTGTTAGGTGGACAGGGAGTTTTAATTTTAAAAAATATTTCATTCTATAATATAATACTTGTTTTAACAAAAGATATGGTCAGGAATGCACCATTTAAATATTCAGAATTATCTATATCAAAATGGTGCAAGATACTAAATTGCTGAGATTGCAAAGGAACAATGACATGACACAATAGAAACTGATTTGCCACAATCTCCATTCAAAAGATGTTGCCAACATTGAACTGGCTTAAGGACATAGGAATGGCTAGAGATATTTATTACCTCTTCATAAATTTTGAATTAAAGTGATCGCGAGATATTATGATTGGATCTTGAAGAGATTGAAAATAGAAATAAAAACAGTATATTTCTTATTTACCTTGGGGTAAAGGTGATTCTGATACAGTGGGTATTTCTCCACCTTCTTCTGCCTCAACTCTTAAAAATAAAATAGAAATATAAAGTAAATCACTACTGGATCATTAAATAAATACACATTAATAATATGAAATCACTTCATTTATAATAATAATAATATGATCTATACACTTAAAGAACAGATGAGGGCTTGAATTTTTCGATAATTAAAAAAATCAAAATCAAAACTGAAAAAAAAATTTTAAAATCAATTAATGATTTCTTTTAAGAGTAATTTTTATTTCTGATCATAAATAATAAAAATCATATCCTGATCATTATTTCTGAAAAAAAATTATAATTAAAAATAATAATAATTCTTGAGTAATACTTTTTCAAAACAGAAATATAATTTTTTTGTAATCCCTATGGTAAATTTTGAGTCTGGAGTAGAAGGTGGAAAATATTGCGAAATATTAGCAAAAAACATCCTTTTTTCAGCAATTCATTAGAAAGCGATTTCAGAAATATAATATTAAAAAATGTGTACATTAATAACATAAACATACATATTAATATTCAGAGTAATTTTTATCTTTGCATGAATATTAATATTCAATTTAATTTGTGTGTAAAAGGTGATTTTTATTTTCTCATTAAACTTTTTTTGATCACAATTTAATCAATATTATTTATAAAAAACCATATCAACCAGTGACTGATCATTACTTTTAATTGAATCAATAAACATCACAGTTGATCAAAATTTTTATTTATAAATCAGGCATGATTTTTTAATTAAAAAATAAAATATAATAATTATTACATGATTTTCTAGAAAAATAATTATTGATTTCAAACTCTGACTATAAGGTAAGATTCAGTCAGAGACATCTCTATACTTCAAGATAAAGGAACTGCTTCCGAGAGTACCAGACACCTAGAAATGATACAGTTGAAAGAAAATAAAAGTTCAATTCAAATTAGCAATTTCAATACGACGGGTCCACTCCAAGTGTCAGCAGCTACGACTGCCAGGTAACCACTAGGACTGGCAAACACAGCTGACCCAGTATGAACGACAAGCGCCAAAGTTAATACAAAGTACCTGAATATCTCGCATATAATCTCTACAACTGTTGCAAAGACCCAGAGAGGTGTAGATCAAATTTTTAAATTATGCTAAGGCTGTCAGTGGGCACAAGATTACAATATTGCTCAACAATTATTCTTAAATAAAGTTGTCCCAGCATCAGTGTGCAATGAAACTAGTGTTAGCTCCCAAGTGTACCTTGAGGAAATGGGAAGACTGGCAAAAAGAATTATAGACTATAGATTATAGTATAGACTTAGGATGACATGGCCAGGAGAGGAGTGGTTGTGGATAAGTATTAAAAAATATTACTTTAAATAAACATCCTCCATTGTTGTGCAGTTGATTGAAATTCTAGATGTTTTATTATCAGACTCTAATTGTTTGAATAACTCTGGAAAATGTTCAGTTTTATTAAAGGGTAATTTAAGTTTTATCCATTCTTGAGTTTCACCAATAATTGTAGCTTGAGGTATTTTTTCAGTAACAGTTTCAATTATCTTCTTGTGTTTGTCCTGGCTACAAGATACTGTAATATTATATCCCGCCCCTGTAAAATAAATCAAACTTGGAGTTAATTTAGTAGAAAATTTAAAGAAATTAATATACAAGTATACTTGTTAATTCATGATGAAATAAGATAATATTTATAAGGGAATATAAATTATTTTAAATCAGACAAAAATGAAAAAAATGACTGAAGTTGAAATGGAATGATTTATCAGAACAAAAATTTAAAAAACTACAAAACATAAATTTAGTCAAGCTACTATAAAAATATCTATTGTGTTCATATGACCTAACCCTTTGGGTGCTGAGTACATATTTTGTAATATTAGCCTAATAAGGATGTTTTATATTTTCTAATTTTAACTTTGTAGAAAATTTAATTATCAATGAAACAAGAATGCAGTATTTTAGGAGAAATACAGATAGCAAATAATACAAAAAAAAAAAAAAACGGATTTCTATGGGAGCCTCAGTTAAACGTTTTGTTAAGATCAATTTAAATTATAATAAACCATCTCTTTGCTAATACTGATTTAATTAAATTAATTTTTTATGTAATGTAGATAATTTAATTTAATAATTTTGTAAAAAATATTTACAAAAAAAATTATTCATTAGTTTGTTTATTAGATTATAACAGAAATCCAGGGCAAAGGTGATGTTTGCTGATGAATAGTAATGATAATTTTTAAATATACCTTTGTGTAAAGAAAAACAGTTCGAGTGTGTGCAAGTTATTATCAACCTTTACCTAGTAGATATAATGAATGAATGAAAATAATTTTATTATTCTGGGACTAGTGTCCCTTTAGAACAAGTTACAAATACAGAATATATATTAATATTTTGGTGTGTCCATAAAATACAATTTAATTATAGATTGATTACAGGTTTCTACAGCTTAGGTTTTAAGTGCATTTCGTGATCAATCGGATTGGGAATGGAGTAGGTGTTTAAAGAGGAGAGATTTGAAAGAGGATATTGATTTTGCATGTCGAATATCTGAAGGTATAGAGTTCCAGAGGGAGACAACTTGTATTAAAAAGGATTTGTCAAAAGCAGAGGAGGATAGAGGTCAGACGCACGGGATCTGGTGGGACAGGATTGAAAGGAGTGTTTGAATTGTAGGATCTGTAGAATATAGGCAGGTCGCCATGTTCTAATGGCTTGGTATAGGAAGGTAGAAAGAAAATATTGATGGCGGTAGGAAAGATAAAGCCACTTCAACTTGGTGTACAACTGGGTAATATGCGTATCCCTTGAGATCACGAAGATAAAGCGGATTGAGCAATTCATTAGACGTTTAAGTTAAGCTTCGAGTTCTCCCGAGAGTCCACCATACACCATGCAGCCATAGTCGAAGTGGGGGAAAACAAGAGAGGAAACCAAGAGTAGACGGGAAGAAGATAACGCAGATGGTTAAACTGTTTCAGGGTGGATATAGTACGGCAGAAAATTTGGGAGATGTGTGGTTTCCAGGAGAGGCTTTGATCGAGGGTAACGCCTAGGTTTTTAATGGTAGTATGGAAGGAGATAGGTGAGTTGTTCAGAAGAAGATTAGAAGGTGCTGAAATGGATTTGAGAAGGGAGGGGGATCCGATCAGAATGGCATTTGTCTTCTCCGTATTTAATGTCAGCATTTTAAGATTTGCCCATGCGCATATTCTATTGATGTCTTGTTACAGTTTCAGGATGGCATTAGAGGAATCTGTCGGGTTGAAGGAAAAATAAATTTGGACGTCATCAGCGTGTAAATAACCTACAGAAAGTTAAAAGTAAAATAAAGATGTTTTGGCGGGAATAGGGGCATAACCTTCCGCTTTTATATCAGGGTTTAAGGTTATTTACACTCTTAATATAATAATTATTACATGATTTTCTAGAAAAATAATTATTGATTTCAAACTCTGACTATAAGGTAAGATTCAGTCAGAGACATCTCTATACTTCAAGATAAAGGAACTGCTTCCGAGAGTACCAGACACCTAGAAATGATACAGTTGAAAGAAAATAAAAGTTCAATTCAAATTAGCAATTTCAATACGACGGGTCCACTCCAAGTGTCAGCAGCTACGACTGCCAGGTAACCACTAGGACTGGCAAACACAGCTGACCCAGTATGAACGACAAGCGTCAAAGTTAATACAAAGTACCTGAATATCTCGCATATAATCTCTACAACTGTTGCAAAGGCCCAGAGAGGTGTAGATCAAATTTTTAAATTATGCTAAGGCTGTCAGTGGGCACAAGATTACAATATTGCTCAACAATTATTCTTAAATAAAGTTGTCCCAGCATCAGTGTGCAATGAAACTAGTGTTAGCTCCCAAGTGTACCTTGAGGAAATGGGAAGACTGGCAAAAAGAATTATAGACTATAGATTATAGTATAGACTTAGGATAACATGACCAGGAGAGGAGTGGTTGTGGATAAGTATTAAAAAATATTACTTTAAATAAACATCCTCCATTGTTGTGCAGTTGATTGAAATTCTAGATGTTTTATTATCAGACTCTAATTGTTTGAATAACTCTGGAAAATGTTCAGTTTTATTAAAGGGTAATTTAAGTTTTATCCATTCTTGAGTTTCACCAATAATTGTAGCTTGAGGTATTTTTTCAGTAACAGTTTCAATTATCTTCTTGTGTTTGTCCTGGCTACAAGATACTGTAATATTATATCCCGCCCCTGTAAAATAAATCAAACTTGGAGTTAATTTAGTAGAAAATTTAAAGAAATTAATATACAAGTATACTTGTTAATTCATGATGAAATAAGATAATATTTATAAGGGAATATAAATTATTTTAAATCAGACAAAAATGAAAAAAATGACTGAAGTTGAAATGGAATGATTTATCAGAACAAAAATTTAAAAAACTACAAAACATAAATTTAGTCAAGCTACTATAAAAATATCTATTGTGTTCATATGACCTAACCCTTTGGGTGCTGAGTACATATTTTGTAATATTAGCCTAATAAGGATGTTTTATATTTTCTAATTTTAACTTTGTAGAAAATTTAATTATCAATGAAACAAGAATGCAGTATTTTAGGAGAAATACAGATAGCAAATAATACAAAAAAAAACAAAACGGATTTCTATGGGAGCCTCAGTTAAACGTTTTGTTAAGATCAATTTAAATTATAATAAACCATCTCTTTGCTAATACTGATTTAATTAAATTAATTTTTTATGTAATGTAGATAATTTAATTACTTGAATAATTATTAATTTACTAAAAAATATATCATCGATTTCTTGCATGAAGTCACTGAGTACGCTTTTGATAGAGCTCGATTTTTGAGTTCATATTTGTAGCTTGATGATATTAATTATTGAAAAATAAAAAAAAGTGTTTCAAAATAATACGCGGTAGCTGCACATGTCTCCGTTCTCCCACACTCCTATAAATTGTATATTGTTGTGTTCCTTGCAACTATTAATTTAAAAAAAACACTATGTTCCCATAAAACAAAGTGGCCATACTGCCTGAAAATAGTGTTCAAACATGATCGACTGACAAATTTGACTTAAGTTACTTTTTGGACTACTGACATTCAACAATTGAAGGAAGGAAGTAATAAAAACTGATAAAATAATTTTTACTTTTATTGATATAGGACTAACCATAATGCTTCTTCAAAAACATAGGGGACCCATAACATACAATCTCCCCATGATTCATAATTGCTATCTGATCGCCCAATGCATCTGCTTCTTCCATGAAGTGAGTTGTGAGGAGCAAAATTCTATTTTCTCTTGATTCCTGTAATAGTAAAATGGTTATTGGCGCATTAATATAATTTCTGTTTTTAAAATATTAATATTGGCTGAAGCAAAACTTGAAAGTTATTAAGTTATTTTATGAATATATTGTTATATTTTTATATAAGGTCATTTTGATAAATAATAATTTTAAATTTGACAATTTACTAATCATTGTTATTAATAATTCACAGATTGAATTCTTCTTCCTCCTTTTCTTTCACCCATTGGTGTTTCAGGCGTGAGAGTGCTTCTAGCCATTGGTGCCACGCATTTCTGACCCGGTCCTGGCAAGATTCCTTATTTCTCCTAAAGTTTCTCCTCTGCATTTTCTTATTTCTTCAATGCGGGTGCTTTGATGTAGAAGATTCTTGGCAGCCCAATGTTATAATTTCAGCTAAATAATTTTCAGTAGGTATACATTATTATCATTATTAGCGTGGCTCTACAATCCGATGTCGAATTCTGGCCTCCTTCAGCAGCTTCCGCCACTTATCTCAGTCCCTTGCAGCCATCATCCAATTCCGGAGCCTCAACATATTTATTGCATTAGCAACAACAACAGCCGATCACAGCTTTGGTCTTCCTCTTCTCCTGGTACCATGGAGTGGCTCCATCAGCAGTTGTCTAGGTGGATCCTCACATTCTTCATTATTTGAACTACATCAGGCTCCTTAAACATGGTATACAGTTTTTTTCTCCTTTTTCCAATCTCCTGATGAAAACACCACTACATCTGAGGATTCTTCTTTCAAAGCTAGGAGTTTCTGTTCACAAGCCCAGGAAGTAGTCCAAGTCTCACAGCCATACAACAAGACTGGGCGCACTATCGTCTTATAGCTTTGTTCTTCTGAAGAGAGCTTTATTTTGGAACTGCCTTGCCATAGAAAAATAACACAAATTTACTGCCATGATCCTATGCCAGACCTCATGTTCAGGGGCATTGTCTTGAGTTACCAAAGAGCCAACATATACAAAAACCTTAGTCTTTTCAAATTAGTATTCTCTGAATGTCACCTCCTCTCCAGGCTTAGACCCCTCTTCTGAAACCATATATTTTGTTTTGGCAGTATTGACTTCCAATCCTTCTTACAGGACCAACTAGAGCAAGGAAAGTGTCTGATACAGCCTGGAAGGAGTGTCCCACAATGTTTATATCATCCGCATAGGCAAGAAACTGTAGAGATCTATTAAAGATTTTTCCTTTGGTCTGTATGCCTGCATCTCTTACTGCTTTCTTGAGCCCAAAATCAAAGAGTAGGCAGGCTAAGGCATTCTTTTGACTTCTATTATTATCTTTAACGGTATTAAATTTGTTTTCTTATCTAAATACATATTGATTTTATAATACAATACATATACTTTTTTCCAAGTATTTGTATCTCATTCTGTTATTTTCTAAATAGTTAAATGAGTAAATACTTTTATTTTCTATATCAATTAATAGTCAAGTACATATTCAAGTTTATTTCTATTATTCTACACATTTCTTTAGCTTTCCTATTAATTATATCCAATCTCATCAAATACACTTAAAGTGAAACAACAAAATTTATACTACTTTAACTTAAAAAATTTATTCTTGCACATATGCTGATAAAAATTAATATTTCGATTTCCTTCTTTAGTATGATTCTGCTTTTAATATGACTGGTTAACCTTGCAAACCTGAGCAACTTTAAAAGGGCTTAACCATAATCTGCTCCATGTAGCTACGTCAAAGGAAAGTGTTTATCTATTTGTGCTGTATTTGGATGGGATTTTGAATTCACAGACGGACTTTTCAAAGATGTTTTTATATTTTAATTTTTTGTTTGCTTATCAAATTAACTCTAAAATAATACTAAAAGAAAATAAATTTAATAATTTTTTTAAATCAAATGAATTTTGAAATTACAAAATAACTACTAGTTTCTTTGTTTATATCTTGGTTCCCTTATTTCCATTTTATTTTAATTTTTAGGACAAATTAAAATTTTTAATAATCTTGACCATTTAATCTCAAAATATTAATCACTAGAATATTTTGAATATTAAATGTTTGTGAATCGGGACAGGAAGTATTTTTAAAAAATATTTACAAAAAAAATTATTCATTAGTTTGTTTATTAGATTATAACAGAAATCCAGGGCAAAGGTGATGTTTGCTGATGAATAGTAATGATAATTTTTAAATATACCTTTGTGTAAAGAAAAACAGTTCGAGTGTGTGCAAGTTATTATCAACCTTTACCTAGTAGATATAATGAATGAATGAAAATAATTTTATTATTCTGGGACTAGTGTCCCTTTAGAACAAGTTACAAATACAGAATATATATTAATATTTTGGTGTGTCCATAAAATACAATTTAATTATAGATTGATTACAGGTTTCTACAGCTTAGGTTTTAAGTGCATTTCGTGATCAATCGGATTGGGAATGGAGTAGGTGTTTAAAGAGGAGAGATTTGAAAGAGGATATTGATTTTGCATGTCGAATATCTGAAGGTATAGAGTTCCAGAGGGAGACAACTTGTATTAAAAAGGATTTGTCAAAAGCAGAGGAGGATAGAGGTCAGACGCACGGGATCTGGTGGGACAGGATTGAAAGGAGTGTTTGAATTGTAGGATCTGTAGAATATAGGCAGGTCGCCATGTTCTAATGGCTTGGTATAGGAAGGTAGAAAGAAAATATTGATGGCGGTAGGAAAGATAAAGCCACTTCAACTTGGTGTACAACTGGGTAATATGCGTATCCCTTGAGATCACGAAGATAAAGCGGATTGAGCAATTCATTAGACGTTTAAGTTAAGCTTCGAGTTCTCCCGAGAGTCCACCATACACCATGCAGCCATAGTCGAAGTGGGGGAAAACAAGAGAGGAAACCAAGAGTAGACGGGAAGAAGATAACGCAGATGGTTAAACTGTTTCAGGGTGGATATAGTACGGCAGAAAATTTGGGAGATGTGTGGTTTCCAGGAGAGGCTTTGATCGAGGGTAACGCCTAGGTTTTTAATGGTAGTATGGAAGGAGATAGGTGAGTTGTTCAGAAGAAGATTAGAAGGTGCTGAAATGGATTTGAGAAGGGAGGGGGATCCGATCAGAATGGCATTTGTCTTCTCCGTATTTAATGTCAGCATTTTAAGATTTGCCCATGCGCATATTCTATTGATGTCTTGTTACAGTTTCAGGATGGCATTAGAGGAATCTGTCGGGTTGAAGGAAAAATAAATTTGGATGTCATCAGCGTGTAAATAACCTACAGAAAGTTAAATGTAAAATAAAGATGTTTTGGCGGGAATAGGGGCATAACCTTCCGCTTTTATATCAGGGTTTAAGGTTATTTACACTCTTGAATATTAAAACAAAACCCCGGCACTGGATATCGACTTTTTGAGGGTGTTTAACTGTGATTGAGAATTCGGGGATCTATTACCTTTTGTGACATTGAGTGAGAAGAAACAATAAGAATATATATTTGAAATGTGGGACTTAGTAAATACACTTTGAATGAAGTGACTCACCTGTTTTGTTATTCTTCAATCGTGAGGCATATAGGACAACTAAATAAATAAATGACTTTTCTAAATAAAACAATTTATTTACAACTGTAATAAATGAATGTATAAGAGTCTTGTAACTGTAGCCTTGATATTCTTGGTCTTCAATGTAGTAGACCTCTCTTCCCAGATGACGTCTTCTCTTGTTCCTGTCCAGGCCTCAAGTGCTTGGCGTCCTCTTCACCATCTGTTGCCAGCTACCTGATCGGACCTTTTTTCTTCTTTTCGATTGTTTATCGATATGAGATTTTCCAATGAGCAATTTGTCCAATTCACAGTGCAACCTCACATTCCTATATCCGTACATATATTATTACAGTAAGGCTTGAAATCGGTTTTGTACCAAATATAAGCTCCTGTCATGCTCAAATACCACGAATGGGGTACCGTTGGATTCAGAATTTCACGGGGGTTAGCGAATCGTATTCTCCACTTTTGTTTTTCTTTCTCCAAAATCGTCAATACAAACATTTTGCTAGGCTTCGATACTGGAACAGTGGTAGGTCTGTAGATCGATACGGAACAAATTGGATCTTAAAGATTTTGATGTGTATAGCAAGACCCGGATAGTTCCTTCGGAACTATTGAATCCTACGTTTTTAAGCCAAAAAACATACTATTTTCGAGATAACGCAAGGCATAGGGTTCGCATCCACTCAACCTTACATTAATTGTAGTACTGTCATTGAATACATGTCTCATTTCGTCGACTTGAGGTCTCTATGATCGAGAGAAGGGGAGTTTATATTGTTATAAGGGGAGTTTTATTCATCGATGGTGTTTTTGATAGGCAAGCCATATCATCGTTAATTTTTCACCAAATCTCAAGATTGAGCCACCAATTTCGAAGGCTTCCTTCTCCTTCAGGCTGACAAAATAGTCCAATCACCCAGAAAATTCAGGCAAACAAGTTATGAAATAAACTTTATTTGCGAATAACTGAAAAATTACACATTTTTCTCTTTTCACTTTTCCCCGTTATGCCCATAATTATATAAAAGATTACTAAATTCCCTACAAAAGGAAAAAAAAAATCTTCGCAATCGGACAATTTTTAGCAAATATACAGCTTACTGAAATTTGTATACTTGTTGGTTCCAAACAAAAATGAAGATTTAAATTAATTTTTGTTTGCTTTGCTTTGTGGATTATATTTATCGATAAAGTAACATTTAATGTCTCAATCTTTTGATAAGTTGCATTTTCTTATTAATTTGGCATTTGATAACAATATGCTGTGCGAATTTTTCACACGGGGCTACTAGTATTATATATTCCTTCTCATTTCCTCACACATTGTCATCTAAAGGAGTAAATACAGGGGGATGTCTACTACAGGCGTATAGGTGATATTGACAGTGTATGATAGAGGAAGGGAGGTCATTGATGTAGATGGAAAAGAGGGTGGGGGATAATGAGGAACCTTGTGGGACATCTCTGGATAGAGTTGGATATGAGTTGCATAAGTTGTGGAGGAAGAAATCATGGAATTCATCTATATGGGCTAAAAGTGACTGTGCGTTGACATGACAGGATAATAAGACATCAGCCATAAGAGATGGTAGATTGGGATAGTGAATCGGTAGGAGGGGTGAGAGATATGGAAATAATCAGGTTGGATTGATCTGAGATGCACCGTAGATGCTGAAACATAAATAGCAAAACTATTGAAAAGTAGAAACTAGAAAAATAGGTAGAAGAAATAATCTGGACAGTATCCTATAATGCTGATATAATTGATATCCTTCATTATTTCCACTTGCTATTAAGCCCTGGTTTTAAATATAAAGTTAAAATTCAATTAATTAAATATAATAGAACTTGAATGACATGTACAATCATGAACACAAGCCAACTCCACCACAAATACATATCTCCAAACATCGCATTTCTGCACCATTCAGAAAGACTTTGTGCATCGATGAACATTCTTTTTGGTTTGGCACTGTTCTATATATTCATTGTGGTGCGGGACAAAAGTATAAATTATAAGGAGTGTTTTTATGATAGAATTAACAACCTCAATCATGCATAAACATTCTTACCAAAAGTATATTCCAAATTTCCCTTCTTGACTCAGGATCTACACCAGAGGTAGGTTCATCAAGAATTACCACCTAGAAGAACAGAATCAGTAAGTATTAACAACTCACTTAACAAATATATTTATGTAAATATAATAATATTGTTTAACCTCTCTATAGTTATAAAAAATAAAACCCACTTAAAACTAAATAAACAATAACTATTATAAATGATTAGTTCTACAATTTTTAAAATCATATAAAATAAATTAATTTAAATAATGATTATACCTTTCAAGTATTTAAAAAACATAATTAATTAATTTTTATAATTAATTACTTTTGGTTTTCCAACAAGTGAGAGGGCAATGCATAGTTTCCGTTGCATACCACCAGACAATTCAGTTATTTGAGCATATTTTTTTTCAAATATTCCCACAACTTTCAAAAGATCATTGGCACTTTCTTCTGCATCTTTTTTCGACAATCCGCTGAGCTATAAATATACAAAAAGTGGACATAAAATGCAATCAATTCTGTAGCACCATAAAAAAAAAAATTAAAAGAGTTATTGGAGTGCTACCAATGGGTAGTTTCTCCTCATGCTGTACATGTTATATTGCTTGTTCATATTTACTTGTTGTATTTATTATTAATTACAGTTGTAAATTTCGTTAATAAAAAAAAAAGAGTTAAATGGATTAAGCTATTATTTGTTAGTTATTGTTTGGTTGTAGCTAGTGTTTGGTAATAATAAATTTCTAAAAAATAAAATCCTATAACAAATTTATAAATCAACACAATATGGAACCCATCAAATAAAGATTAGACACAGTTAGGAGACCAAACATTTTATCATGATTAACGACAAGGAGGCATTATGGAATTGAGATCATTAAGGACAAGTTGAATAAACTATAACAGTAACACTAAAATATGCGAATGGGCTAATACATGTGTACAGCACGGCGAGTTGCCGGGCAACCAGATAACTGAAGTTGAGATTAAAAAAAAAGTACAAGTTCGCGTCCCAGTGACAGAGGGGATTTTAAATTCCCCACCCTCATCCTCTGGCCCAGGAAAATCCCGTATAGCCTAAAAGACGGGATAGGAAAGAACAAGAAAAAAAAAAAAGTAACACTAGCAATAAACAAACAAAGTTTTTAAATTTGATTAAAAAGCTGAAAAATAACAAGATTTACTACAAAGTTCTTGAGTCTCAAAAGTTTATGATTGGAAAGATAACACCTGTGACTTGATAAAGTTTTTGAATGACATAATAGCAGTTATATAATAAAATTTGCCTCTTATTATCATTTAATTGTTATGGAACTACCTTCACTTCAGTTTTTAACTATTAGTCCTTCTAGTTTAGGTTCTATATAAGTTATATTCAATGATCATCTATCTAGAAATATTCATTAAATATCCAGTGTAATTTCATCTTACAATGAAAATTAAAATATTTTAGGATAAATATTTATCAAAATAGGACTTGCTTTTACAAGTCTTAAAGCCAAAAATGAACAACAAAAAAATAAGAAAAGAGAACACCATTATTAAACAGTGTTGTCAACTATATTTTCTTTTTAAAATACATAAAAGTATCTGTGCTTTATTTCCAAGATACTCTAAAGTACAAAAAATGTATTTTATTTTGTATTTTAAATACATAAAATAAATTACCAAATATAGCAGGTTCTTTGTATTATAGACTGATCATCTACCAGTAAGTATTTTGTTTCTTTTAATTAAAATACAAAATAATTCCGATATTTTGTATTTGAAATACCTTTCCTGAAAACATTTTAATTATTTTGAAATTAAAATACACTGTGCTGTGAAAAACACAAAATACTTGGTATTTTAATATAACAATTAAAATACTTTTTGCCCAGGTCTGTTTCTAGGTATAATTTTTTATTGTTTTGTATTTCCTACTGTAATCCATACTATATTTAGGGATGGGTCGGATTGTATGTATCAGATACTTTTATCTGATACTAAAAAAGTATCTGATACAACCAGTAGATACAACCAAAAAGTATCTGATACAAAAGTATCTGATGCTCACATGGATACAAAATGGTTGTCCAGACATGCCACATTGATATAAGAGAAATGTTTAGTTATAATTTTAGTTGTGCACAATTTTTTTAGAACTATCTATTCATTTAGTTTAATTTAATTATATATTTATTTGTAGATAAATATATTCACGCTTTTTTTTTTTTTTTATGTAATGTTAATTTCAGATATTTTTATCTGATACTGCTATCGGATATTTTTATCTGATACTAGTATCAGATACTTTTATCTGATATTTGTATCAGATATTTTTATCTGATATTTGTATCGGATATTTTTATCTGATATTTGTATCGGATATTTTTATCTGATATTTGTATCAGATATTTTTATCTGATACCCGCATCGGATACTTTTATCTGATATTTTTATTTGATATCTGTACTAGATACCCAGCGGTATGCATACTGGCGCTTGGGCTTTTTAGTTAATATGTAATAGTTCTAATGACTGTATAGTTATGTCAGGTACTAAGAAAATATTTACACAATTTTTTAAACAAAATATGCTTCATATTTGACAAAAGAATGGAATATATTAAATAAAAATATAACAAATTCATGCAGAGGAAATATTTTCCTAATACAACGTTCTTAAGAATTTTGTAACAATTAAAAAAATTCTTTATAGTTAAGTTTAACATACACACACACACACACACACACACACACATATATATATATATATATATATATATATATATATATTTTTTTTTTTTTTTTTTTTTTTCTGTTTGTATTACAGACCATGTAGATCTTTTGCCACCTTAACAAGTATGCTCAATCTCTACCTCTCTTGGGCTATTTCTTTCCATTATCTGATATTTGTATCAGATATTTTTATCTGATACTCGCATTGGATACTTTTATCTGATATTTTTATCTGATACCTGGACTAGATACCCAGCGGTATGCATACTGGCACTTGGGCTTTATCTCAATAATTGTATCAGATATTTTAATCCAACTGTAATTGATTATTGATTGGGTTTGATATTTTAATACCTTTTTGATACATAATAAAACAAACATTAAATATGTACCTATATATATTTTATTCCTTTATTATTAAATTTGTCCTTGTAATAAATATTTTACACCATTTTTAAATATAATAGTTCTAATGAATTTATAGTTATGTCAGGTACTATGAAGATATTCACTATACGATAGCTAAGTTTAACATACTCACACACACATATATTTCTTTTATTTTCACTGATCAATCTACATCTTGGGATTTAGATTATATAGGACTTGTATAATGTTTACAATACTATTATTGTATTCTTTGAACATATTAAATTACATATGTAAATCATTTAATATGTAATATGTAAATATTTATCCACTCTTTTATTATTATTTTTTTCATTAATACAATATTATGACAACAAAAGTAATTTGTTGTTCATTTCAAATTTCAGTTAAAATTCCATAGTTCATTGTTGTTTAGTAACTATCTTGCTGTATTGGGACCTCATTGCTCATATTATGTCTTTAATATATCAGTATAGTTATGTAAATCCTTCTGTTATTACTAATATTTTAGTTTTTTTTATTGTAATATGCATTTTGGCCAGATGTTATGTTAATTTTTATGTACAATATTGTTATTCTCAAGGGACTTTGTCCCAGAATAAAGGTGATTATTCTATTCTATTCTATTCTATATATATATATTTATTTTTTCTGTTTGTATTACAGACCATGTAGATCTTTTGCCACCTTAACAAGTATGCTCAATCTCTGCCTGTCTTGGGCTATATTTTGCCATTTATCTGCAGGCAGCTCTATTGTATCTTTGTTGATTCTATCTATCCATCTGCTTTTTGGCCTTCGACGTGGTCTTTTGCCTACTATAATAAAAATAGCCCAAGACAGGTAGAGATTGAGCATACTGGTTAAGGTGGCAAAAGATCTACATCATCTGTAATGCAAACAGAAAAAATAAATATATATATATATATAGAATAGAATAGAATAGAAGAATCACCTTTATTCTGGGACAAAGTCCCTTGAGAATAACAATATTGTACATAAAAATTAACATAACATCTGGCCAAAATGCATATTAGAATAAAAAAAAACTAAAAAATAAGTAATAACAGAAGGATTTGCATAACTATACTGATATATTAAAGACATAATATGAGCAATAAGGTTCCAATACAGCAAGATAGTTATTAAAAACAATAAACTATGGAATTTTAACTGAAATTTGAAATGAACGACAAATTACTTTTGTTGTCATACCATTGTATTAATGAAAAAAAAAATAATAAAAGAGTGGATTAATATTTACTTTAAATGATTTACATATGTAATTTAATATGTTCAAAGAATACAATAATAGTATTGTAAACATTATACAAGTCCTATATAATCTAAATCCCAAGATGTAGATTGATCAGTGAAAATAAAGAATATATATGTGTGTGTGAGTATGTTAAACGTAGCTATTAAGAATTTTTTCAATTGTTACAAAATTCTTAAGAACGTTGTATTAGGAAAAGTTTTTCTCTGCATGAATTTGTTAAATTTTATTTAATATATTCCATTCTTTTGTCTAATATGAATCACATTTTGTTTTAAAAACTGTGTGAATATCTTCATAGTACCTGACATAACTATAAAGTCATTAGAACTATTATATATTGACTAATAAGTCCAAGACTAGACTAGATACCAAGCGCCAGCATGCATACTGCTGGGTATCTAGTCCAGGTATCAGATAAAAATATCAGATAAAAGTATCCGATGCGGGTATCAGATAAAAATATCTGATACAAATATCAGATAAAAATATCCGATACAAATATCAGATAAAAATATCTGATACAAATATCAGATAAAAGTATCTGATGCCAGTATCAGATAAAAATATCTGATGCTAGTATCAGATAAAAAGTAGTAGGAAGGTCATGACCAACTACTGACCCATTTGTATCAGATACAAAAGTATCAGATAAAAGTATCAGATACAAAAAAGTACCCGTATCAGTTGTATCTAGATACAAAAATTTTAGTATCAACCCATCCCTAACTATATTTATTTTCACATGTTTCTTTGAGGTTAAATTTTGTTTTGCCATGCCCTGATGATGACCTACAAGTTGGGATGAAAATTTGGTATATTTTAAATAATCAATGCATTATTTTGATTTCTTACCATTCCAAAAAATATCAGATGATTGTTTACATCAAGATTTGGATGTAGTAAATTATTTTGAGGGCATAGTCCAATATCTTTACGAAATTTTTTTAAATTTGTGAATATATCGTAACCTTGATAGAAAGCTGATCCTGAAGTAGGTGACAACATACCTGAAATTCAATTTGGCAATTAATCAATAAATAATTCAAAAGATTATTTAAATATAAATAATAAAAAAATTTAAACTAGTGGGCCGGCCTGTGTGAGTAATTTGTGTGTGTGAGTTCACAAAGTATAATAGTAGTAATTCGCATGGTCAGTAACTCCGAATAGTAATACAAATTTGGAAATCAAAATGATACCTCAATCATTAGATTTTATGAAGTATTAAGGAAGATATGGTACACTCACAAAAAAAAAATTGATAAACAATGTATAAAGGTACTGTGATAGATTATATAAATGAAATAAGAACCCACTCAATTTATATAATATCTGATATTATTTATAAAATGTATTGTAATATTTATCAAAGTTTTTTTTTTTTCTAATGTTCTATATCTTCCTTACTACTTCATAAAATCCAATATTTGAGTCATCATTTACATTTCCAAATTGTATTAACGTTTGGGGTAACTTACTTATTTCGATGGTTTCTACAACCCAAGGTGGGTCTTAGCCTCCTCTAAGGGCTTCCGTCATCCAGTTCGGTCTCTCGCTAACTTCCAGTTCTGTTGGTGAATTATTGTCCTCGAGTCTGCGACCACACTGCTGATATACCTCAATCTGGTTCTTCTTCTTTTCCTAGTTTAGTCTAGCACCCCCTTCATAACTTTTTTAGGTATCTTCTCAGCTATGTGTACAAGGTGTCCAATACAATTGAGCCTACCCTCCTTGATGAACCATACCACGTCGATGTCTCTATACAAGCTGTACAATTCATGGTTCTTCCTTCTCCATGCTTCTCCTTCTCAAAGAGAGCCATTTATTCTTCTTTATATTTTTCTTTCAAAAATTTGGAGAAACTTCTCATCTGCCATCATTAGAGTCCAGCTTTGGTAGGTATAAGTAAGAATTGGCCTTAGCAGAGTCTTATAAATGATCTGTGCCTTTGTTCCTCTGGTGAGCAGGCAACTCTTCATCTGTTTTGGGTTACCAATGCGAATTATTCACACAAGCCTTCAATGGTTTAAAATAATTTCATATCTAATTAATTGCTTAATTTAATTAATTCATTTTAATTAACAATTATACTAACAGTCTCCTGCAAGTGCAGTAATTAGAATTGACCTTAAAACAATCATGGCCTCCCTCTTCCCCTGAAATTATTTTCTAAATATTAACCTTCTGTGTTATTATAAAAATGTAGTCTTAATCCTAAATATGAGCTTTTCAGTTGATAGGACGACTAACTCCAATTTCAACATTTTTGAGTAAAATAATTTTAGTAATATTTCTAGTTGGAAAATTTATAAAATCTGTACAGTAAGTTGATTCCTGAGTAGGTGATTGCAGTGTTGACATATAGAACTGTGAATAAAGGTACACATTTTCCCATTAGAAATATCACTAAAATTAAGAATCAAAAATGTTGAAATTGTAGTAAGTCATTTTGTCAACTTAAAGGCCCATGTGTTCATAACTACATAAATTCTATTTCGGCTCAAATTATCACATTTGTTTTTCATGCAACACCCTATTACTTTTAATGACAAGACTTCAGTCAGTTCTATACAAAATAAATATAAAAGTATTTCAACTGATCGGACAATGGATTTCATTCTTATAAAATATACTTGCCTTTTTCACTAAGCCAGATACTATTTTTATTTAATTATGTGGCTCTACAGTCCAAGATAGACTTTGGCCTCCTAAATAATTCGCATCTATTCCTCTCTATCCTGAGCCTTTCTTTTCCAGTTAGTTATGCCAATTTTCCTGAGATCGTCAAGCCAAGAATACAAAAAGATTAACTTACCTGACAAAATGGAAAGAGTGGTAGTTTTTCCAGCTCCATTGTGGCCAAGAAGAGCAGTAATTTGTCCCATATATATATTTAATGACAAGTTTTTTACTGATGTAAGATTTCCGTACTTTTTGTATAGGTTTTCAATTTTTATTCCTACTTCAATGTTCAATGGAGTTAATTCATAAAGACCATTCCTAAATTTCTCACCACTTTTACTTTTATGTCCTTTAAAGTGACTTGGTCTAAAGCATCCTTGAAGACCTTGCTAGAAAATTTACAATAATTATAAGCATACCAAATTTAGATTACAATAATAAATAAAAATATTACAATATTTTAGGATAAAAATGTAAGTTGTAATTAAGAATGAAGATTTAGGCATTAGTTTGAGGCCATGACCACCAACCACATTGGAGAGAGGGCTCCAGAATGCCTCCTCAACTTTGTTTTCAATAAAATAATGGATTATTTGTGATTTTATTTTTTTATTAGTATTAGACTACAAATATCTCAATTTTTAAACCACTTTTCATATTTGAGCCTTTCAGTTGACAGAATGTCCAACTCCAATTTCAACATTTTTGAGTAAAGTCATTTTAGTGATATTTCTAGTTGGAAAATTTATATCTGTGCAGACAGGTGATCGCAGTGTTGAAATAAAGAGCTGTGAACAAAGTTATACATTTTCCCACTAGAATATCACTGAAATTAATAATTAATAATCGAAGATGTTGAAATCGGAGTTAATCATTCTGTCAACTGAAAGGCTCATTTAATAAACCATATTAAAATTAAATTCATATTAATTAAGATGAATTTGCCGCATGATAAGTTGAGGTTTAATACCAGTTCTGTAAAAGAATTATATGGTACGAAGTTTGATTTCCTCAAAGTACCCGTGTTTAGGCAACTTTTCTAATTAAGGCAAATAATAACTCTCATGAGTTTCAATAAGGAAACATTCTAATTTTATGCAGTGGACTGTATATTAATGGATTGGTAGGTTATAATGATCGTGCAAAAAATAGCTTACTGCCTTTATGCCAGCTTACATCTTTTGGTTACCTAGAGGGCCCTCAGTTTGGTGATGCGTCCAGAGTCGCTGCCAGAAGAGAAGTGGGCCGAGGAAATCAGCAGCTCTTGAGGCTTAAGTGTTATCTTTTATCTTTTAGATCTGCTCCCACCACTTGCAGTAAAGCGGGAAACTCAAACCATTTTTGAGTTTTAACAACAAAATATTTTTGAGTACAAACAACCCGTGTTAAAAATATTAAATGGTAATAAAATAAAATAAAATTACTTACTGGCAATATAAAACAAATAGGCCTAGCACTCCCATATGGCCCAGGATTAATATTTAGCAAGTAAAAAAAAACTAGCAAAACAACAGCTGAACCAAAGATCATCAGAAGGGGAATAACCAGGAGTGGGATATCATTCCTGTCGGTAGCTGATATTAGACTCTCTAATGTAACTCCACCATCTGAAATTATCCACATGAGTCATAATTTGGTATTACTCTTTTGTTAATATCCTAAAAAGTAATTGAATAAGAGATTATTATGTAAAAGAGAATTGATATTAATGAATTAAGACTTATCATAAACAACATTACAGAAGCCTCCTTAAACTTAAACCCCATACTAAACAAACTTTACAGAACTAAAAAGAGTGACATTATTAATTCATACGAAATGAAAAAAAATCTAGGTAATGCAAAAGAAAACATAGAAGTAATCAGTCAGGATGTAAAGTCATCATTCATAAACATTTCAGCAGAAGAATTCATACAACTAACAGAAGATAATTGGGATACAATAAAAAAGGAACATGGTCATACAAGATAAAAATATATTAGAGGTGGATATATAGTTGACTGTTGAAGTATGAAAAATGGTAATGATAGATAGATTGATAGATAGAAAATAACTTTATTCTGGGACACAGTCCCTTGAGAATAACAAAATTAAAAGATTACATTTGACCAAAATAAAATCAATCGAAAAAAAGAAATAATATAAAGAAAATATAAGGTAAACATCCTATATACAAAACAAATGAAACTATATACAATACAATTAACACTATGACAAGACACTTTAAGTTATTTGCACTGATAGACCAGTATACACTTTTAAGAAAACAACAAAGAATTAAAAATAAAAATATATTAAATTCTTTATTGAAAGTCTCCAAGGCAAAAAAATGCTCCCCACAAGAGATTTGTCAAACGTTCCTAGCTGAACTTAGTAATTACCAGTCCGACAAAATAATATATACAGACGGCTCTAAAACAAATGAGTCAACATTGTGTGCTGTGTTGAATGACGGTAAAATTCTAAAATTCAAACCGGAGAGTATCTGCAGTATTTTCACAGCCGAACTGATGGCAATTTTAAAAGCACTAGAACTGGCCCAGTCATCAACGGAACAGTCAATAATTGTATGCTCTGATTCACTGAGGGCCCTCAAAGCCCTTTACAATTTATTTTCAGAAAACCCTCTTGTTCAAGAAATCCACTATCTCATAAAACAAATAGAAGATTCCTCGAAAAAACTAGATTTCCTCTGGGTTCCCAGTCATTCTGGTATCTCTGGAATGAGGAAGTGGACAGAGCAGCAACAGAAGCCCATTCACTGGAAGTAATAACGCCCTCTTATATCTCACCATCAGATTTATTGAAACCTATAAACATAATGATTTTAAACGAATGGCAACAGACCTGGGCCACGTTGGACAATAATAAACTGAGTATAATCAAACCAACCGTCAGTTGTTGGGCCTCGTCCTCAAGAAAGTGTAGAAGAGAGGAAGCAGTCATCACACGCCTCAGAATTGGACACTCCCGGTTGACACATGGCTACCTGATAGCAAGGGAAGATCCACCTCAGTGTCAACTCTGTAAAGTGGCTCTCACAGTGAGCCATATCTTTCAGGAGTGTCCTCGCTACAGGAGAGAGATGGAAAGACGTGGTGTACCTCGTCAGCTCTGTGAAGCACTAACAGATAACGAACAACGTATCGATAGTACTATTTAATTCATTAAGAACATAGGGCTAATTCAACTAATCTGAACTAAATTATAATTTCTCACAAATTTGGGATATATTGACTTAATATCTATTTACTCTATACTTTTTTTTCTCTTTTCTTTTTCTTCTCGATAGTAATTTATATAATGTAGTATTTTTTTTTATTATTATTTTTAAAACATATTTAATTTTATAATAGTAGTTGTATGATTGAAAAATAAATCAACCAGTACAATTTGAGAGCAATGATAACCGTCAGCAGTTTTTTGCTCCTAAACCCATAACAACAACAACAATTCTTTATTAAAATAAGCCTTGTGTTTCTGTTGAGAAAACAGGAAGCTGAATCTGACAATATAAAGTGCCTGATTAATATATAAATACATTATCATTTAGGATATACAGTAATGTGTATTAAATTTGCTGACGTTTCGACCCAAGCATCAGGGCTCAAGATTAAAAAATGTTGTCCAACATTCTCTTTCAACGACTACTCCCCTATGCAGAAAATATCTTAGGCCAATACCTGTGTGACTTTCGGAAAGGATGATCTGCTATTGATCAAATATTTTGCTTGCGCATCATGCTTGAAAAAGGATGTGAATATAATAAGAGCTTAAAACAAATCATCTTTTCGTTGATTTTAAAAAAGCGTATGAATGTGTTCATAGGGAACAGCTTTATAAGGCAATGAGAGAGCTCAGAATCCCTGAAGAGCTTATTAGAATGGTAAGACTCATCATAAGAGAAGTGAGATGCATGGTGCAAGTTGGAGGAGCAAGATCAGCAGAATTCACTTCTGGAAAAGGACTAAGGCAGGGAGATGCGCTGGCATTTCTCCTTTTTCATTTAACTTTAGAGAAGTCCATTAAAGATTCTGGTATTCAAGTGGGCGGAACAGTATTCAGCCAGACAGTGCAACTTCTTGCTTATCCAGATGATATAGACATTGCTGGATGCTCTTTCCAGGCAGTCTCTGATGGATTCTTGAAACAGTAAGAAAAATGAAGGAAGCAGTAAGAAAAATGAGCCTTAAAGTCAACACTGCAAAATCCAAATATGATGGTTATGCTTTCGCCTGGTCACTGAGAAAAATCCCAGACCAGGCGAAAGCATAACCATCAGAGAATTCTCCATTGAAAAAGTATCAGAATTTATTTATCTCGGATTCCTCATAACTCAAGATAATGTTGTGGATTCTGAAATTAAGCAAACAGTGCTAAGTGGCAATCATTGTTATTATCAGTCCATATTTTAGGAGCCGTGCTTTAACCAGAGGGACAAAAGTCCTATTGTATAACAATTATCCGGATGATACTCTTTTATGGCTCAGAAACATGGACTATATCCAAAACTGGTGAGCAGAATCTAATGGTCTTTGAGAGGAAGATTCTGCGTAAAATCTTTGGAGCAGTGAAAGTTGACCAGTTATGGAAATAGATGGAGGAACAAAGATTTGTTTAAAGAACCAGACTTCATTTCATGAAGCTCGATAGATTGAGATGGGCTGGGCATATCGCTCGACTGACTGAGAATGACCCTCCGAAGAAAATTAATTCAAAAGCAATGAACAGAACAAGGCGCAGAGGAAGACCTCAGCTTCAGTGGAGTGACGGTGTAGCTGAAGATGCCAGGTCCATATTGGGAGTGAGGAGCTGGATGACAGCTGCACAGGATAGGAGCAATTAGTGGAGGCTGGTACAGGAGGACAAGACTCGATATCGGGTTATCGCCCCGACTGAATAGAATAGAATAAAAACATAAGAATATGCTCAGAAAATGTTTTTGTATTATAAATTAATAAAAAAGATGAGTATCTAAAAAGTAAAAATACAATAACCAAATAATTAGTATCAATAATACAAAATAAATAAGAAATATGTAAAAAAAATTATAGAAATAAAAATTGACAAATATAAAAATTTTTAAACAATTAGCAATTGTTTGAAGACAAGACAAGAACCGAACAGAAATCTTACGATTTTGGGAGGGAAGTGTGAAAAGGAGGAGTGAGGTATTGGTCATTTGATCGCTATTTGACAGAAAATATTAAAAAAGTACCAAATCTAAATTATCTTAAGAAACATATAACTCAACATAACCCTTAGTGGGCAGGGTGGGCGAATGGGCTAACGCGTGTGCACAGCACCATCGTTGCCCGGCAACCTGATTTATCAATCGAATGATATAAAAAAAGTCACGAGTTCGTGTCCCAGTGCCCGAGGGAGTCTTTTAAAATCCCCGCCCACACTCCCTGGCCCGGGAAAACCCCGTATAGCCTTAACGGCGAGGAAGGGGAGGACAAAAAAAAAAAACTCAACATAACCCATTTGCTTCAAAATCATCAGAACATGTCATATCTCTTAACTACTCCTTTGACTTTGATAATCCTTCGTTCTTCGCTACCGTACCTAATCATGAAAAACACAAGCTTGGATTGAAATTTCAGCAAACTAGATAATTATTGACTGCATATCCTGACTACTTTTTCATCCTTACAATTTCTACATTTACCTTTACATCCATTTCCAAATTTAAGAATAAACTTTAAACAATTTAGAGATGGATATTTTTATTAACTCTTTTTTTTTTTTAAACATAAGCATGATAATAAATGAAAAAACAAAAGATGATATAACAATTGATTAGAACAAATATAGACTGTAAATTCTGATTATTTGACATCCTCAAAGTTTAAACCCTATTGTTTGACCAAATGCCAATTCTGAACCATCAGTTTATCATATGTTAACTTGCCTGCCTTTAGTTGGAAAACTGCAGTTCGTTACTATACATTTCATTATAGAGTTAACATACAAATAAATATCTTTATATATAATACGATAGTTTTTCACAGTAATGATCGCTTTTCTGACTCAGGAGATTTTGATGAATGAGGTATCAAATGAAAGCGTATAAATGGAGCAGTGAGAAATCATAGTAAAATCCACCCAAAATTTCAACAAAAAAGTTACAAATGAAAAGAAACTTTATTTGCGAATACTAAAAAAGTATACATTTTTTTCTTGATTAGACTCACAATTATTTGAAAGTTCATTGAATTCCCAACAAAATAAAAAATTACGAATTTGGCCCATTATCACCATAGATACAGTCCATTGGATTTGGTATACATAATTTCTCCCTGTTCGAATATACTCCATTTAATATTCTAATTCCATTCTTTTCCTGGCTGATATATACTTCATTATTTCTTGAAGGCATTTTTTTGTTGGTACATTTTATAATTTAAATAGACTAAGATGTGTGGTTTAGACCACACAATAGAAGTGAAAACATCAACAAGGTGAGATTCATAATATAAAATATAAATTATAAATAATAGCTTATTATAAAGAGAAGGAAATTCTGAACATTTCCCTCACTTACAATATGCAGGTTCAATTTATAGTTTTATGAGATATTTTAATCCCCATGCAAAAACACTTTAATTAGTCGACTCCAGCCAACTTTACCCGAGCATTACACATCGGAGATCTGATGGCTCAATCTTATTCACTCTTCACAAAAAAAGTGCAAAGCGCACCTAAAGAAGTTTTCACTTCAAAAATAATATGAAGAAGGCCTTATTTTGAATATGAAAGGTAGTATTCAGCATTTAAAAATAGGCCCTAGAAAAGTATTTTGTACAAATATTTTGATCTATTATGCTAAATGAAATTTTGTATTCGACCAAGAAAAACACAATTAATTCCTTCAGCATATAATACATAAGATTTACTTGTTTCTATATTATTTTACTCTTCCTTAACTAAACAATATATTCTGCAAATTATTGGCATGGGCCAACTATTTTATTTTAAATGTGATAAAAGGAATGTGGTTCAAACATTCAATTTTATGCTATTAAAATTAAAATTTAGCTTTAAAACTGCAAAATATGCTATTTAATACAACTATGAATTAAAATTGTGTATTTTCAGCTTAAAAAGAACAAAACATGTCATTTTATGTAATATTAAATTTTAATAATTGATAAATATATATAATGTATAACATTATTAAAAACAGTAACTATACTATAAAATAGGTGAATTATACAATTAAATTGACTTACGTGCTTCCAAACCACATACTACTGTTGATAAAGTAACTAAGCAAAACGGTGCAAACATATGACCAAAATATTGTGCAGTAAGAGAAAAATTTTGCTTTAAAGCCCACAGATAAAAATAGATAAAGGAGACATTTCCAACAATTCCACGAAGAATACCTAAAGAAAAAGTAAAATATAAATAATTAGGGCATCATATAGAAAAAGCCAAAATCACACAACTTCATTTCAGATGATGGTTTCCAAGATTTAAGCACTTAAATTTATCATCACTTAAAATCATCAACTCTGCTTATTAGCTAAATTATTCTTAATGATTGAAATATAAATTTCATATATTTTTCCACAAAACTAAGATAGTAAAATGGATGCTAATCTGACTTCTACCATCAAATAGTGTGACCCATAAGCAACATAATAATTGGTTCGTTTAAAGAGGTGTTGCACAGGCTATAAGAGGAATATGCCAGAGCCCTTCATCATACAATAATGAGTAAGACAACCGCTGCCAATTTTACTAATATTAAGGTAGTTCTGGAAATAGTTAAGGGAGAGCTATCACGACAAACCATGGACGTAAGTATGATCAAATGACACAGTAACTAGCTTTCACAGATGATGCAGCAAATACCAGTACTGGTCCTGCTAGTGGTGGGAGGAATTAGTACAGCAAGTGAACCTTGTGGCTCACTCCTAATAGGAAGCTTCTGGTTAAGGCCATGTACTCACTTGAGTAGGAATGTTGATTCATTTTTTGTTTTTGCCAAGAAATAAATATTAACTAATCCAGGAGGGAATCAAACCCAGAATGTCATCACATCTTCGCAACCACGTGTAGAACTAAAAACTCCCTACTGAGAGCATTGTAGGAATGTGATATGATGGCTATAATGAAACATCTCGAAGGAGCAGGATGTTACTTTTAAAGTGTTAACAAATTTAAGAATCCAGCAATTGTTATTATTATTTCAGAGAAGAAATCAAAGTATAACAGAGTAATTTCATAGCTTTATATTCATACTATCAGAAATTGTATAATATTTTGACAGAGTAAGAAATACTAAACAAGTTACTAAATCTAGCAAGGATGTGAATGACTGAAAAATTCAATAAACTTGAAATCATAAATTATTTTTTCCAAAAAATTTTGTGGTTCGTTGGGGTTTCACTTATTAGAGAAGGTTATCCCTTTTTGAAGCTGGGTGAACATATTTTAATGTTAATATTACATAGTGATTTTAAATAGTGGCTTGAAAGCAGTGATTTCACGACCTACTGTCAAATAATACTGGAGATAATCAGTTGAAATCTTCAGGAGTTATTTAATTGAAATGTAGTACCAATAAGATGAGAGATTATCAACTTAGTTTTGTTGCAGTGGATGATACATAATAATAATAAAATTAAACCCTTACTGGGGTTGGATGGTTGTGTTAACTTAAACCTAATCAAAAGAATAAAAGATCTTACATTAGATAATCAAAAGAAAATAGAAATTGTGAAGAGAAATGAAGACATATTTAATGGAACTGGACTGATAAAAAATTATGAGTGTCACATTAAAGTGGATAAATCTGTAGCACCAGTCATCCAGTGGCGGACCCAGGAATTTTTTGAGGGAGGGGCGCACCCCTGTACCACCACCTGTGTGAGTTTTGCTATCACTCTTTTAAATATTTCGCTCTACTTACAAGACACCCTGTATATGGGTTTAGACATTTAAAAAACTGAGCAAAATCCAGTCTCCAATTGATAATGGATCAGGAAATCTCTTAAGAGAAATAAATCCTTGAAGAAAAATTAGTGACAGCAGAAGTTCTGGTAGAAACCCATCCAGTTAATGTAATTGATACCAAGAAAGAACTTCTCAAGTTTCAAATCGAGTTCAAAGGAATAAAATCCAGCAGTAAAAAATATGGTAGTTATTTTAGTTCAGAAATTTCTTTAATTTCAGGAAAGACAACTCTACGATTCCAAGATAAGTTAGGAAAGTTCGATGACTGGAGTAAGGGAAGAACAGGATTATATAAAGAGTCGTTCCATGGACTCACTAAGTATAAATTTGAGTGTGAGGGACTATCAGTCACCCTATTCGTTCTAGAATATGAGTTTTATGTGGGTTATATGGTCCTGGATCATGTCAGAATAGGCTGCTTAATATGTTATATTAGCTCAAGGTAGTTTTTATCCTAACCCAGCAGATAAAAAGGGGTTTTTAATTTAGCGTCCCTTCCCTTGACGAGCTATAGGATCCTGGCGAAACCATCGTTAGGTTACCCAATCTGGATAACTTGTAAATATAGTGTGTAGATATCTTTGTAAATAGTGTAAGTAGGTTGTTAATATAGATAAGATCAGGATTTTAATCATAAATGGAAGGTAATGGACCTCAGAGTAAATTAATGATTCAGTGTAGATTAAATAATTAATAAAAAATTATTAATAAAAAACTATACAATTAAAACAAATTGTTTATGTGAGTTGTGATATGATTGCTGTGACCTAATTTTTAAAGAATAAGGGCAGGCATAGTTGAGCGTCAAAATGTAACATCCCTCTTATATTTGACAAATAATATTAATGTAACCTCGGAAGCTCACTTCTTACCATTGGGATACTTCCTAAATAAATGAGAGGTTGTTTAATAATAAACAAAATAATAAGAGAATTAATATATAGTTTATTTTATTAACTATTTATTTTATTTTATTTTATCTCAGGTGTGGCTGATTGACTGACAATCAGATCAACTCAGAAAAATGATTAGGTACTTTTAGTCTAAGGGGCCGTTTTGAAACCTCACTTCTTATCTATCTTATCTAACGTCATGTCATCATGGTACATAACCTCCCTTTTCTTATCCCGCCAAACTTTTGAGTTATTGCATTGTTTGGTTTTCAGTTATTCCCTTATTACGTTCACTTATTAAATTGTTTACTTTTGGCTCGTTTGTGTTTATTTTTAGTTTTTGGCCCGTTTGTGTTTATTTTTAGTTTTTGGCCCGTTTGTGTTTATTTTACATTTTTTTTTAGTTTGTGACCCCTTGGTGTTTATTTTTCATTTTTTTCCGTTTATTTTCGTCATATTATGGATCATCTTAGAATATGGGATTTACCGTCTTCAGAAGAACAGGCAATTCAGTATTTTCAAAATGTTGGAGTACTTGCCGACGTGAAATTGTGTGAACGAGGTCATCTAATGAAGTTAACCAAGAAGGCCAAATGGAGATGCTTTCGTAAGACTTGTGACACAAAACTTTCAATAAGAAAAGGAACATGGTTGGAGGGTTCGAGGATTTCGTTTTTAACAGCTTTAAAATTGATTTATGGGTGGTCCCATAGCTTGACAACGATAAAGTGGGGCAAAGAGCAGCTGAAACTATCCTACGCAGCTATGGTAACGTGGAACAAATGTCTAAGAGAGGTTTGTGCCCATGACATGTTATACAGGCCAAGAAAAAAAATTGGAGGACCTGGCAAAGTGGTTGAAGTAGACGAAGAAAGTCTTTTTTCGAAACGAAAAAATCATGTGGGGAGAGTTTTACCTCAGCAGTGGATATTTGGTGGAGTTTGCCGTGAAACAGATGAATGTTTTATCGTCAAAATAATTGATAGAAAGGCAACAACATTATTACAAGCCATTAAAGAAAATATAGAAGAGGGAACGACCATTTATTCGGACTGTTGGAAAGGATACAACACCCGACAACTGAACGAAGCAAACTATGACCATTTCCAAGTGAATCACCGGTATAATTTTGTCGATCCATCAACTGGGGTTCATACTCAACACATAGAAAGATTGTGGGGCTCAGCTAAGTGGAGAAATAAAGTACATAGAGGAACTGCCAGACAACACCTCGATTCATATTTGTGCGAATTTTTGTGGCGGCGGGTTCACAGAGAAGAGGACCCGTTCCTCGCTATTTTAAGTAGCATAAAACAATTTTGCCTTCCAAAATAAATAAGACAAAAGGAAGTGAATAATTAACTTAAAATAATTTGTATATACGTTGTTTATAGTGTTTATATTTTTTCTTTTCTATGTAAATATGTTCTTTTAAATTTGTTATGATGCCGATGTTATGATTATAATTTGTTATGATGTTTGATGTTTTATATGTACATATCTTCTTAAAGTGTTTTTTTATTATTTAATTAATATATTTGCCGTCAAATAAAAGTATTTTTGTTGTTATTACATTTGTTTTTGTATCTGTTTACACTTTCAATAATACGAATTTAATACAATAATACGAAGATGTGAAGTAGGAGAAGGCTTATCACTGCGTTATGGGAGCTATCAGTGTTCAGGTTATAAACATTGCCAGATAGCAGTCAGTAGCGGCCCCTTAGACTAAAAGTACCAATTATTATTATTTATAATAATGTAGTGATGGTTGACCGTTGATGTAATATGAGAAGGACGTGAACGGGTGGGTGGCGGGGTCCCACAGTGCTACATCCTACGCCCTGATGAAGACCTGCAAAGTGGGTCAAAAAGTCGCCAACAATTAAATAATTCTACTTGTTTAATTTTGCATTAATTTGACCGCACCCCCCGATCAACTCCTTCTCATTCTTATTATTTATACTAAACATTGTTTGATTTTAAAATAAAGTCAAATATGGATTAGCAAGCTAATCTTTTTTCTATATATACTTCTTCTTCCTTTTTTGAACTGAATTCATTTGTCTTCAAACACTTTTCAAAGTTCTGCCAAACCCAACTTCCAAAAAGGTGACACTATCTTATACTCAACTCAAGCTCTCTGGAATATCCTCTCTTTTGTGATTACAACTCTGTCAAACAACAATTTCTAAGAAGGTAAATCTATTACTGGGTTTTTCATATTATGGGGAGCCAGGATTACTTCTCCTATCCTCTCTTCAGTGCAGTCACACAACTGTTTGCCAAAACAAAAATCTTTGTCCCTCTCCTCTTTGGGATTTTCCTTCTTGGGAAACTACAGAGCAGCCATTTTCTTTTCTCTGCACTAGTAGAACTAGATTAGCTTGCCTTTCAATTGTTAAACATTAATTTATTAAACCCTTTTTACTCACTTCCAATAAAGGTGTACATTACAATATATATATAATTTTTTACTTAATTGTAGCAGGTTTGAAACATTTTCCTCAGTTCAAAAATTATACCATAATTAAATAAACCCATGTCTTTTCTTCATATATAATTTTTACAGAACAAACATGTTGCATTTTATAAGACTATCTATATTGTAATAAAATAAACTATATAAATGGTGGAGATATTGTTGATCGATAGATTATATGCTGATTAAATGTTAGGATTAAAATTATAATCTTGTAGATTATAGAGTCAATATGTAATTGTTTCCCATTATCTTTTGACTTTCCTGAGAATTTCTCGATTGTTTTGATTGACCTGTTTTATTTTTTAAGTTTGTATTTAAATGTTAATTAAGGCACATAGGCATTGAGAACAATTTTTTAAACAAAGTCACACACAAAAGCGAATATCGAAATGGTTAAACAATATACTGAAAATATATTATTTATTTTTTATATCCTGTATTGTTATTTGTTATTAGGTTCAATTTTAGTCTGTATGATTGTATTGCTTATCTGGACTATTTAAGTATTCAAGGCTAGGGCTGGGACTGATTAGACTGCACTAACACCCCAAAAATATTTTTTTTAAATAATCTTTCTGACGAGTTTATAAAAACTATCATAAACTTACTAAAATAATAATATGATTATAGTTAATATATAAAATACGATTTATATACTTACTACTATTAAAAAAAGAAGCCACACCAAGAAAGTAAACTGTGGAATGAAGACTCACTAGAAATATTGTCACAAAAAGTGAAAAAAAATCTAAACGTTTTACAATTTGTGGGTCACCAAATCCAAATTTTAAATATAATGATATTAACAAAGCAGATATCAATTGCTTGATACCAGCATGCATAACATAGCTGCATATTATAGACAAATCGCTAATTCCATACATCCTCATTCTTTCCTGAAACCATTTAAAAAAATGTGGTAGACTGCTAAACAATCTCAAAATTACATATATAAATTAATCATTTTATTATTTTCTATAACTCTTAAACAAAGGTAATGAGTATTAGTAAGAATCTATTGTTATTCACAATGATACAATAAAATTTATAGATGTCAGTCAATTAAAAACTTTTGAACTACAATAGCTTCAAAAGATAAAAGAGTTAACAAAGAAAAATCTTTTAATAGAAAGTGCATTACTTTTTATTAAATGAGCAAATTTTCTATTATAAATATTTCTGATCCAGATATTAGTTTATCCAGAGGTCTGGAACCAATGAAACAAGAAAATTAATTATTTAACAGATATAAATAATAAAATACCACAGTTCCTGACATCCTTTCAGCATGGGCTAGGGTTCCAGCACCACTCCAAGTTCCAATAAAACATAGAAGGACAAAAAGACTACAAGTAATTGTGCACATTTCATAATACAACGGGTGTCCTTGGAGGGCTTCTGGTTCAATACTCCTCTGGAATATACAAGAAAAGTTTATTGGCACTTCAGAAATAAACACTCAGAATAAATAACAAATGATTCAGATAAACAAATATAATTACATAATCATCAATGTATTTAAATTAAATACATAAAAAATTTTAATGGAATCAATTAAATTTTGTAATAAGAATGTCCATAATTAAAAATTGTTGGTATATATGCAGAAGCATTTTTTGCTATTGACTAAGAATCAGTACAAATTGAAGACATAATTTAATTCACAAAAAATCTATAATCCACAACTAATAAATCACTCAAACATTGTACTTCATTAATGATATTTGTGGTTTCAAACAGAAAAAAATAATGATCAAATATAGATGTGCGCACTCATACATATACATTTATATTATCTTGGGACTACTTTGTAAGTGAAAAGATGAAGCATCAGAAAATACTAATGAAATCGAAATCAGAAAAAAATAAAGAAGACCATTACGACAATTTTGTGAATTCTCTGACTGTCCCCTGGAAATATATAAACTGCTGACAATTTTGTGGATTCTCTGACTGTCCCCTGCAAATATATAAACTGCTAAAGATGGATCTATGGAAATACCAGAGAGCTAACAGGATTTTGAGAATTTTCTCTATGCTAAAGAAACAGAAATTTTCTTACAAGAAGGCTTAATGTTTCTGACTGTTTCAACAAGGCCAGATATAGCCTAGATTCCAGGTCATTAGTAAAACCTTCCTAAGAGAGGTAAATCTAAACAAGTGTCAAAACAACAAAATCTATAAATTCAAAGTGTAAATAATGCTAACAAAAACAATTTCAAGGCTTAAAAAACGAAACAACAAAATTACTAAAAACATAAAAAGAGTATTTTAAAAACAAAATAATAGAAATATAAACTTATAGGATCAAAAATAATGTAAGAAACATATAGAAAGGCATGGTTTTAGATGTCTTTCAAGTATTTATGTGGGTAGGAGGGAGTGAGAGAGACTGTGAGTGTGTGTGTGTGAGAAAGAGAGAATACTTACTTTAATAACTTTGATTTCTCCATCTTGATATTTCTTCTCATTCCAAATATTTTGATCTTGAAATTTAGGTTTAGTGAACTGGCCATCTGAAGAAGAAAAAAATCATGAATGTTTTACAAATCTAAACTTCAGTCAAGGCTGGAACAAAGATTTTTACCAGGAGGGGCAAGCTTAATTTTGGAGTCCCATCTTTCATCTCCCACTGCCCCCAAATAATCATCTACGTTTCATACCACTATTTTAAGTGTATCTATAAATAAATATGATCATTCAAAAAGTAGAAAGAAATATTTTTTACTTGACATGGGTGATAAATATTCAGGACGCAGTGATTATAAAGTTTTTATTAGTGCTGACGTTTGAGTACTTGAATACCTTCAGTGCTCAACTACCCCTTGATGATGACCCACTTGTTTGGGTTGAAACGTTGGTACTAATAAAAACTTTATAATGACTCCTGAATATTTATAACCCATGATATGTAGAACAGTCGACTCACTTCCATTTTGTACTTGATCTAAAAAAAGATTCTCTAAATTTGCCTCCCTCTAGATTCTGTCGTACAGAGCACTTATAGATCCTGGATATAATTTTTTTTTTTTGGAGGGGGGGCTTCAGCCCAAAAGTTTTTTTTGGGGGAGGCTTCAGCCCAAAAGTTTTTTTTTTACATATATATTTGATAATTACTTAGGAAGAAAAAGAAAGAATTGTTTAAAATCATCAAATTGTTACAACAACCATGTAAGGCCCACCAGGCCGATCTGGTAATAAATAAATTTAAAAAAAAGAAAGAAACTAACTGCCTATATGAAAAGTGTTCAATCGATTCTTGAGGTCCAATTAAAAGTAATTAGACGAACAATAATACTTTTTTAAAATATTTTTTTCATAAAACATAGTTATATTTTACCATTTTTTGGGGAAGGGAAGAGGCCATCATGGGAAAATTCTGGAAAAGCACATCTTAAAACGCCTGTATCCCATTTATAGATTCTAACCATATATCTGATCGCCAATTAGGATTCCGCAAATCCTATTTCATTATTCAGCAATGCCATCATATGGTAAACGTTGTCTCCCCTGCCTTGGAGCGCGGAATGTATTGCATTGGAGTCTTTCTCGACGTTGGACTGGCGTTTGATCGAGTCTGGCACTCCGGATTGCTTTATAAACTCCGTGAATTCCTTCCCCCTACATACTTTCTCATCATCAGTTCCTACCTTACTGATAGACACTTCAAAGTAAATCACAATAATGCCTTTTCATCCATCTTTTCTCAGTCTGCTGGTGTTCCTCAAGGTAGTATCCTTGGTCCTATCCTTTACACAGTTTATACAGCTGATATCCCAACCCATCCTAACACTGTTATCACCACGTATGACGATGAGACATGTATTATTTCTGTTAATAACGATCCATTAATAGCATCCCAAACCCTTCAATCACACATCAAAACCTTGAAGAATGGAGTCAAAACTGGAGGATTAAAATAAATTCCATCAAATCACCTTAATCCTTCGTCGTAAACCTATGACTTCCTGTCCTACAGTATCCTTTAATAACACCCCACTTATCAGTGTTGAACAAATCCGATACCTAGTACTCTAACTGAACAAACTTCTCACTTGGAATCCTCATACGAGAGTGAAACGACAAGAAACAGCTCGACGTTTCCGCTTACACTTACTAGACAAACGATCTAAGCTTCCAATTAATTACAAAAGACTCATATACATGACTATAATAAGACCTATTTGGACTTATGGAGTGGAGCTATTGGGCTCCACTAAACTATCAAATTCCTCTAGTATCCAATCCCTACAATATAAAAACCTTAATGCTCCTTACTTTGTCACAAATAAAATAATCCATAAAGTTAATGAACCTTAATGTTCAATATGTTTTCGATTTGGCCCAATCCAGATACCTATCTTTCCATTATATACTTCATAACCATCCGAATCCTTTTGTTTCTAACCTTGCTTCCTCTTCAATTCCTGATAATCCTCCGAGGCGTCTGAAAAGAAGATGGCCGCGTGATCTCCTTTTGTAGACATATTATTAGAGTGCTACCAGTGGACAGTTTCTCAACAAGAGTTTATATGTGATTATATTTCTGTGTACACATTTACTGGATGTATTTATATTAATACAGTTGTCAATATCATAAATAAAATTTAAAAAATATATATTTATTGAATTTCACTTTAAGCAAAAATTGCTACAAAGCACGAAATTGAGGCTCATAGTAGACGGTATATTTTTGAAGTTTAATTCGTATTTTAATATTTTCGATCGTTTAAATTATTATTCAAAGTTTCTTTCTTTTATTGATTCTTAAAAGTCATTGACAATAGAAGTATATTCGATATCAATCTATGAGGAATTTCATGATAATGAAATGAAGTTTAGATTTACATTCATACGTGACAGAAAGCATTAATATTTATAAAAAGTTACCATAAACCATGGTCTGATTACATACAGAGAACCTGGAAACTTAAATTTTATAATTTAACCACGTTTTATGTTGAATAAAAAGCAATAATTAAAAAAATGTTTTATTTAGGTTACAACCAACTACTTTATAGTAAACTATATAAATTTACATTAAATGCAAGTAAATCTTGTCTTTTTTAAAACCATACAAAGGGGACTTTAAGAGGAGTTAAACTACGGTAAGTTCAGGTTTTCATAAAATCAAGAATTCTTCGCGATTTATTTTGTAACCCCCCAACTGAACTAAAGATACCACACACATCGGTAAAACTTCCTCATTCCATGAGCTTTAAGTAAATATTAATTAAGTCGAGTTTAAATTTTCTCTAATAGAGTAAAAATATTATTAGTATGGTAAAATTAGGAATCGATCCAAATATGTGTACATCTTTTTACTCAATTAGGGATAAATCTCAACTTACTCTGTAACAAACAACAACTTAATTAATATAATCTTAGAGTTTATCAAACAAGGAAGTTTTTCTGTAACTGCGGTATCTTCAGTCCAGTTGAGGACTTAAAAAATAAATCACAAAGAATCCTTGATTTTATGAAAACCCGAACTTAGTTTAAGAGCTTAAAAGTCCCCTTTAAATGGTTTTTAAAAAGACTAGATTTACTTAAATTTAAGGTAAATTTAATCCATTTTTCTACGAAGTAATTAGTTGTAACCTAAATTTTTTTTTTTCTATTTATTGCTTATCATTAAACATAAAACGTGGTTGAATATTTAATAGTTGACCGTTGCATTATAAAGGAAGGAGATGGTCCGGGGTTGCAGTCATAAAAAGGCTAAATAGTGGTAAAACTATTTCATTCAAAGCCAACGTTTCGACCCGACTTTGCAGGTCTTCATCTGGGCTAGAACGGACAAGATACAAAAAGATAGAGAATTGTGGCAATTACATAATATTTTGATATAATTTATAAACAATGTGAATAAGCTTATTAGAATTATAAACAGTAAGTACAATAAAATATGGACTAAGTAAGCTGAGTAACACGATCCTAAACTAAAGTAAATAGATGCTAACAATTGTTATAGTGTAATATATAATAAATGAAAATGTGAGTATAATTCTACAAAATCTACAGGAGAAGAATAAAATTAGAGACTTACAGGTGTGTTCATCTAGGAGTTTCATTTAGAACTGGAAAGGCAGCGGTAAGGATTGCAGGTATAGGGGAAGTTAACATGTGTTAACTAAGTAAACATTGAAAAACCCAGGAATGTACAGTATCTAGGAATTTTTGAAGATATGGATGGATACAATGGAAAAATACTATATCTATGAAATATTAAATTATAAATATATAAATATACATATAAAATAGAATTGAGAGATGTGAGAGGTATTTCATGATTCTAGATCAGAGTACAATGTGAATAAACCCAAAATTGGCAAAAGTAAAATATAAATATAAAAATAACTTCATTAACATACATACATTGCAGAGCTAACTTAAAAGTATAGAGAGGGAAAAAAAATTAATACTTATAATTATATTTGGTTGTACATATGTAAGAAAATTACATTTGAATATTAGATAATGAGACATGGTTAATAAGTAAAATTAATACAAAGTGGGAAAAAAGGATGATCATACATTGGTGTAGAGTGTAAATGTAAATTTAGAATAAAATAGAAGAGAGATCATACAAAGAAGGAATATTTAGAATAATAAACAATTAAATGAATTAATTAATAAAAATTGAGAGTAGATGAAAATAATAGAATAGAATATTTAAGTTATTTCTCCCTTATAAGACCTAAAATGTGTCTTAGGGCCTAAACTTAAAATATTGACTACCTGTGGAGGTATATTGGTAGAGGGAATATTGTTGAGCCATTATTCTCTCCAAAAACTTAGTCACAATAATCCTTACGACATTCATAATTCATTCCATCTTAAAGAAGAGTTATCTTCGCTCCATATTCCTGATAACTTTATCCTGGTTTCCCTAGACGCCGAAAGCCTTTTTACCAACATCGAAATAGACTTGAAGGATAGACAACTTGAAGGATCCCATACTCTTACAACACCGATTCAATGTAGTTTACCGGATACCCTACTCTACTCCTAATTGCAATAGCTCCTATATTGGTGAAACCAAAAACTATCTCAAAACCCGCATTTCTCAACATAAAACGTTCATAACACCCCGGAATCCTTCCACCTCCAAACTATCAGAACATGCCTTAACCCTCAACCACTCATTTGATTTTGAAAAAACCTCTATCCTTTCCACGATCCCTAACCATGAAAAAAGACTCATTTCCGAATCTATCCACATTCACATGGAACACAATCCCGTTAATCACAAAGTAGACAAAATCTGTATTTCTCTTACATATAGACACATTTTAGGTCTTATAAGGGAGAAATAACTTAAATATTCTATTCTATTATTTTCATCTACTCTCAATTTTTATTAATTAATTCATTTAATTGTTCATTATTCTAAATATTCCTTCTTTGTATGATCTCTCTTCTATTTTATTCTAAATTTACATTTACACTCTACACCAATGTATGATCATCCTTTTTTCCCACTTTGTATTAATTTTACTTATTAACCATGTCTCATTATCTAATATTCAAATG